GAGTGTCGATCACGTTCTGGTGTTGTCTGTTGCAAATTTCTAAATGGTGCAAAGTGACATGCAGACATTAGCATCATGCACCTTATATGCATAGCGATATATAGTCAGTGACTCATGGGACAGGTAGATTCTGATCCATGTTCACTATTTTTTATTTAAACAGTTGTTTAGCAAGTTCAAAATGAGTTGCCTGAACTCATTAATCAAGTCAGATTGTTGCACATTTCTATCATTGTTGTTGAAACCCACAAAAGGTGTATTACACTTTATTACACTTGGCTGCAGGGGAAGGCAATTTCACTCGAGAATGCAATTCAAAAGCAGCAGCCGAGTTGTGTAATCAATTGTGTAACCAAGGTTCTATTATTGCTTTTGCTAATCTCGATGCCAATTCCCCCAAGGTAGGAATCTTACTCTGTTTGTCCGTGTTTTGTGCGGAGCACAGTAGGCGTGGAGATTACTGTCCACTATATCGCATTTGGAAGGAATTTTGGACTCTGTAGAATTTAGTCTCTCGAAATTTCTAAATCAAGGTTTAAGTGAGCTAAGCGTTCCCATGTGGCCTTAGCAAAATACGCGTCTCCCACACACAGCCACAAAACCAGTCTCCCTTTCTTCTTAGATGCAAAGAGTGGTCAACCAAAAAGGTCATCACTACTAACTCGGATAAGGGCAGATAGGAGCCAGGATGCGGCAAAACGCACCAGGCACATCGACATGCAGAAGGCGGGGACAAAGATATAAGATCTGAATGAGAAATGGTTTTTCCACTGTAGGAACTTTCTGTTAGAGTCCGAACGATCAGAGGGATCAGAGACGAAGAAAACCGAACGATCCGAGATAGTAGAAGAGAAAGAGTGACAAGTCCGAGCTCAAGCCAAAAGGGACTTTGACGAGCGACGCACTGACGTCGGCTCGTGTCCTACAATATGTTTCCTTTTTTGTTCTGATATATTCCGTTTCTATACAAGTTACTATATAAACGCCAGCAGTAGCACGAGCGCATCTCAGCTTCTTTCAAGAGACTGAGATGTGAGTTAATAGTATCGTCGTATCGATTAGAAAACTAAACTGACGAGTCATTAGTATACTTGTTTTATTAGGTACTTAGCTCGCTATACGAGCTTCTTTCAAGAGACTGAGATTATACTTGTTTTATTAGCGTGCAGTCCCCTCCCACTCGTTATTACTCACCCCACTTCCAACATGCCTCTGATCAGCGCCAGCCCAAACAGACGGCATTTATCTGAATCGCCCTGCTGTTTGCCTGCTGGGGCTTGAAATTTGGAAACCTGGTGCCAATTGTGCCGATTGAGTGATAATGTTACCGACCACCGTCGATACATAGAATTGAAATAGGACATACCATTTTCTACCACTCAAAGAGGTACGTCAGACTGGTTATGAGTCTACTACTATACACATGTCTTGAATATCTTACTGTTCATTTATCCTCGAAGGTACGTATGTCAGTGAAGTGCCTAACCCAGCCTGCAACGAACTTTGCAATCAGCAGAACTCGTAGGTGAATATATAGGAACAAGACTCTATAGTGATACCCACCAGTCTCCCCCAAGTCATGGGACTCATGGCACTGTGGGGATGTTCGCCCGTTTAGATTTGAGGTCGTGTCTGACGTTTGGTGGCAGAGTCTTTTTGAGTGCACACCAGACAGAGAGAGGTAGCAGCCACACCCAGGTCATGATCTCTACTGTCACCAAGAATTGAAGCCACCAGACTCCAGAAGCATAACACGCCATCATAAGAGCTACGGAATGCCATCAGATACATCTCGCTGTCAAGATACAGTGACTACTCACATGTCTTCAGAAAGACGATAGAAACAGTGAGGGATACAGCCGGCCAGCTCATGAGAATGAGTGTATAGCACAATCGAGCATGCGTGCCCATCAAGACCTGCAAATGTGTGAAATCAATAGCCATATGTGCAAGACCAGGTCTGCTACCAACATCTCTGGTCCATTCTCGATCAGAGACTTCGTATATGTTGACCACACCTACACCACAGGCCAGGCCACTGAGGGCATATGCCAATGACCCGAAAGCAAAAACATAGCAAGTGGGTGTTGTGTATGGAAGAAATGATGTCAGGGGAGGTTGCATTGAAAGAAAGACCGCGGAAATAGTGAACACCTGCAAATCAAGTGTTATAATTCTTTCATGTCCTGACTGCTGAAAGCGCTACCAAGCTTGTCTGTAATGGCATAGCATCAGTACATCTGTGATTGGTGCCATACTGATATTCGCTACCACAATGTTAATATTATTCAGTCTCTTGACAACCATCTTCCTATGTTTATCCCACTCACCCTCGTCTACCTTAGAATTCCAGTGATAGTCAAGGGAATATCTTCCTACGGAGATCAGACAAAGTAGTCGAAACAGCACGGAGCATATAGGAAAATCTTCAGAGTTTGGGACCTTCCACCAGTTTGGTAGTGGTAGCCTGCAAAAACTGATCAATCAATGATCTAAGAGCAGTCAGTTACTTACCTATGGGGATCAGTTCCGTTCGACATTCTACCAGGTGAGTCTTGATGTCGAGGTTCCATCCTCTGTGAAGCTGGGGCGGTCTTATATAGCACGCTCCAAATTATATACAGCTATGCTGGTTGGCTATACGTGACGTACTGGATGGGCGTTGGCTAGCACACCATTGATGGGTAATGAAATATGTGCATATACGGATACAGACTATGGTTCCACAAATATGAATACCCTGAAATGTATCTGCGGGAGGTGGAGGCGTGTTAGGGGCGTGGTGAGTATTGCCAAAGCGCTCGAGAATCAAAGAAAATGTTGTGGTTCTTTGCGCTCTACTTTACAACTTTGCGCTCTGCTTGCAATTAAGATCCACAAGTAGTCGATTGCGAACGCCATGATGAACGGCGCTTAAAAGATTCATCTAGCCCTTAGGGCTGATGCCCTCTCCTATCGATATTATACAGGTGAGTTACATACCTGCAACTTCCCCTTAGCACTTTCTAGTGCCTCCTATGCTTCAAGAGTGATAATAAAGTCGAATCGGAATCTTTGCGTGGGCCTGTCTTGCATCATTGAACTGCTGTGACATGTTTTTGTGACAGAGTGTCAGAACCAGGAAGTGAGGATGGACAAAATTGAATGATTACAGGCGCCTCTAGACATGCGACAAAGAGACCAGATCTGAGACCTGAGACTAGTTTTGCCCACGTGTAAAGGCAATCAGCGACGATGCAGCAGGGCGCTGCAAGTAAACAATTTGAAGTAGCTGCGCATGGGTGTGTTGCTGGCTTAAACTGCGTATGATGTTCCGCCGGGTGTTATTGAGTGAGGCTAAGCAACCCATTCCCTCCTATATTTGCGGTACTCACTCTGACAAGATGATGCGAGTCGTGATTCGCAAGTACTGTTGCTGTTGTTCTATTACATACAGCCACCGCGTGAGATCCTACAAGGGTAGTACTTACGTCTTACATATGTACATAATTGACAAAATTCCTATTTCTTACCTACGACTCGTTGGATGTTGGAGTCAATGCTGGCTGGATGTTATTAATATCCTGTAAGTACGATAGGTGAGGGTGTAGGATAATGAATAGGAAATGAGTGTCTATGGTACATGACACAGGCCGCTGATAACAGGGTCAGCGCTAGTCTCCCGTAGGGTGACCCTAATAGAATGAAGACAGTACTAGTAGTCGTTCTTTCTCATCGATCATCGATCAGTGCTAGTGCCGGCCCAGACAGGGAGGAACAATGAAATGGCATCCGGGGATGTATGACGAGCGGTGCACGCGCGTCTACACTTGCCCCTACCAGGTCATGAATCACGGTCATGGTCCAACTTCGTTCCATCATCTCAACTTCTCAAAATATTCCCTCAACATACTTCACATCAAAGCACATGCTTCTTCTATTTCTCCTGTAGCAACAGCAAATTCCATTGTTGACACTTCCCCTCGCCATCTCCTTCTCCACCCTTACCCCGAGCCCATCCCTTGTACCACCATCACTCTCGACACCTTTTCCCTTTATTCACACGTTCAATTTCATTGAGTCTTCTCTACCCTCGGTTCTTACATCCTGCCTTCTGCGCACACCCTTGGACTGCCGCCTCTCTATGACCCGCACACTCCCCCCGATCACCCATACGTACCCTCACTATATGCCTACTCCGCCATCGTACAATGTCCCGCCAACTGGACACTGTTAGCGTTCGGTTCTTATGTCTAGGGGAAACTCCATCCTCCGAGTCATGCCGGTTCGGATGTGAATCCCTCGAAATCCACCCATCATCTAGTCACTTTGTCGAATGCCACCGTTTCCCAGAATCGCGCAATAGGTCGTCACAGGATGTCTTGGATATGACTTCCGCGCTTCTTCGTGAAGCAAACACAATGAATCATCGGAGTTGTACCTATATACCGCACGGCGCCTGTTTGTTGATGACGCCTCGACTTGGCCTCTGCGCATCCCGGTGTTACTTGGGCGCCATCCCCAAATTGACAAACTTTACTTGCATCCCCTCAGCATCTACGACTAAAATTGCGCCCTTATGGCATACTGCATGCATCCGTCTAGCAGCTCAGATTTAGGGGATTTGCAGGCGTCCTCGACCCGCAGGATGTTCAAAGGACGTTCGATCTTCCCACAGGAATGAACATTTCGGTTGTTCTTACCATATGTAGTACCTGAGTTACATTTGTAGTGTAGTTAGCCAATTAAAATCGTCCATCTACCACGGAGTTCAGACAAGTCAAGTGGTTAGGCATAGCCCAGCCGCTGGTTCATCATGGAGTGGCACGGAGCAGCGAGCCTGAAAACCTGCAGGTGCTGATTTTGCCACTTGAGATTAATTTTTCATTTGCACACTGTATCTGAGTTATCGCTGTCTCTCCTCGAACCATTAAATACTTACAGGAGCTTCGGCACTAAAATTGAAATAGGATTCTTGTTCACAAGAGCCTATGTATCTCTGTGGGATTGGAGCTCAGATCTCAGAGTTGAATTGGACTCATCTGCAACCCGCAGACCACCCGAGAGAACTAGTATATATTTGAGTGTCACCTTCAACTCCTGGACTTGGAGTTGTATAACACATTGAAGGGAAGCCCTCCGGAATGGATGCTGAAAACACCTAGTATGACACAAGGTCCACCATTGAACTGAGCATCATCAGTTGAAGGTGGATCCCAGCACCCACGTAGTCCATGATAAAGGAACCAACTCATTGAAATGTTAGCTATCCTCACCAATTTAAAAGGAACAATTGGCGATTTTCAGGAGAAATAACAGTTCTGCCACTCACAGGATCCACGAACCCCTATGGACTACTGGATTCACGGCAAAGAGTAAGGTGCCTATGGAGATTTCCGTTTTATTATTATTACCAAACTCACTGGTCAGACCAATGTCAGACTGGTCACAAGTCTACTACTATACAGGTGCCTTGGGTATCTTCCTTTCATGGCGTATCCTCCAAGGCATGAGGCTACACCGCTGAAGTGCCTAACCCTGCCTGCTGCCATGAGCTTCGTGATCAGCAGTGTTCGCAAGGAAACGAGCTGCCATGGGTGTCATGGCGCTGCGGGAATGTTCACCCGGTTAAGTTTTTGTCTGATGTCTCATGGCAGTCATTTCGAGTGCACACCAGACAAAGAGAGGTGGTAACCACACACAGGTCAAGATCTTTATTGTCGCCAAGAACTGAAGCCACCACACTCCAGAAGTATAATGTGCTGTTATAAGAGCTATAGAATGCCATCAGGTGTGTCCCACTGTCAAGATAGTGACTGCTCACATATTGTCAAAAAGACAATAGAAATGGTGAGGGATAGAGCTCTCTTTGACACTGGGGCAGTCTGCCGCATGCACAGCGATTACGTAGAGGCGATCTATATGGACATTACCTGACACACCATTGATGCACTTTTCAGTTCGAAATGAAAGACATGCATATATGCATATGGGCTACGGTTCCACAAAGACCTTAGTTCCTTGATAACCCTGAAATATATCAGTAGAAATGTATATAAACGAGTTGGAAACATGGTGAGTATTGCCAAATTGCTCAGGAGAACATCCAAGGAGAAGCTGTGGTTCTTAGCGCTCTACTTACAATTGATAAATGGCAAATTGCGAATGCTATGACGAATGGCGCTTGTGGGGTACATCTAGCACTAGGGTTCACTCCAACTCTGAACAAAAAGGATAATGCAGGAGTTTCATATCCGCAACTTCGTTTTAGCGCTTGCTGGTGCCTTCTATGCTTCAACAGCATTAATCATGTCGCATTGGAATCATTGCATGATCCTGTCTTTATGTCAATTGATGGAATGAACCCCCGAAATGTGCCTTAGTACAGGCTATAATGTCATTTTAATGCACAAGAACAGGCTAACACATCGGGGATTCAAATATTTAAGACTGGTTTGAATGTTGTGCGAAATGTCAAGATAATACTTAATATTTAGGTTGTCGTCTAAGCGGATGTAAAATTTCAAATGTTAAAGAGATCTTGCACGACAAGAGAAATATAAAGTATCAGCGAACATTTTGTTACTGTCTGAACATCAATGATAATAAGAAATATAAATATATCTTTAATGCTGGCATAAACTTCAAAATGAAACTTCACATTTAAGACTCGAAAAAACTTCAACTATTGCACATCACTGAACGTCTGCTCATGTATGAAGTTTAGACCGTCGCTTAGACAGGCATTAAAATTCAAAATACCCCCTGACAATAAAACGTGAAAATAAATCATCAAGTTTTATCTCCAGATAAAACTGATCGCCCACTCACGGCTGAATTATCGCCCACTTACAACATCATCACCCACTTAAGTTTGAGATGCAAAATATTACGGGACTAGACGATGAGTTATATACACGTATGCGAATCTATGTAGTAGAGTGAAACTGAAAATCAATCCTGTTTGACAGTAGTCAGACACCGGTGATTTCGGGAGGTGAATGAATGTACTTACGCAAGATAGAGATAATATGACTACCGTATCACTTGAAACTGCCCATCGAGCAAAGTGACTAACAACCCAGGATACCTTGACATTTTCCAAATGACTACTTGAGTTTGATGAGTACATTTTAGTGGGAAAACAAGGATACATAGCAAATGGATCAATGGTCTGATCGTGACGCAGGAGGAGCTTGTGGACAGCAAACACCAGTTCACCCATGGGCGTAGCATAGATATGTTGGATACTGCCGGGGACAGGAGACAATAACTGGTCACCCTGAGGATAAAAAAAACTTGACTATTCCTGACATGAGTAGGGGCTCTGCTGTAGACAATCCCATTGAATTTTAGTCGTGCGTGTAATATTGCTGTGCGTTGTTTGATAAGTGCAAACAAGTCTTCAGGAACAGCCACAGCTACAGCAGAGGAAGGAGCCTGTAAACTGTCGTCCAAAGGATCTTCAGCAAGTTCTTCACCGAGAGTTGAAGCGCTCTTGGGAGCATACATGCTGTCAAACAGAAATTTGCACTCTTGAATAGCCGGCGGACAATCAGGTCGACTAAGCCAATGGTGAAGTTTTGAAGTTTTGATAAATGAATATAACATGGTAGTTTCCAACTTGTCTTGAAAAGTCAGTCCCGCTATTACACACTGGTGTTCTGTAAAGACTCGCCAGTCTTATGATTTACTGGAAGACGCTGAAGTATTCCAATCAAACATTTGAAAGGAAAGCACCACCAAGAGTGGGCCGGGCCAAATAGAAGTAGATAGTTGTATATATGGAAGGCAGCGTGGTGATTTGGACGCAGAGTGAAGGTAGGGTATATCTTCTTCAAATTTCCAACATAATGCACAATGTGAGAGCAATACGCGTGTGCTCTCTCTGCAGTCATTGTTTGGGCGCACGTGAGATACACCGCGCAAACAAGTTCCATAGTATGGTCAAGAACAGCTCTAAGGTGAGTGCCAACTTCATCGGAAGGATGCGAGGTGCCAGCCCCCCACAAGCTCACCAGGGCAATAGGAATGTAGACAGTGATTAGAGAGCGCCATTCGTCCGCTTTCATCGTCCCGGCAGATGCGCTTCTGAAATCACTTGGGACTGAAGTAAACCAAGATGGAACAATTATCTGCTGGATGACATCTCGGACACGATGAAGGGCATCTAGAGAACCAAGCTGAAGCTCCTTCTCAGGAGCAGCAAAAGGTTTTCCACAGCGCTGAGAACAAACATCAAAAACTCGCAACAAAGTAGACATATTAAGAACTTACCCATTCCACGAGAGCTTTGACATAGTCAATTTTGAACAATCTACTAGATTTCTGGGGAGTGCATTGCAAGGCCTTGCAAACAAACTTGAGAGGTCCCGTATTCTTGCAAAACAGTGAATTTTTTAGGTTATCCAGATTTTTGTCATCAGAAGACAACTGGGAAACAAGAAGGGTGCATATAGCAGCGACCTGAGTCATTTCCTTCAAAGTCATCCCTGGAGGCATATCGCCTAAGTCGCATGAAAAGGCCAGAGGGGATAAAGTCGATGAAGTGGTTGCTGTAGTCAAACCGAGAAGGTTACGAGAGTGATGCTGGACTAAACCTTCCAATATACAATGCATCGGGTCGACAACAAGCTGGCACGAGGGATCCCAGTATGGCAAACACCACATCTCTGAATAGCGCACACCATGAGCTTTGAATAGTTTCTCTCATTCGGAGGTCATTGCAGCATCCCTCCACCGCTCAGTGAACTTCTGGAGTTCATCTTTATCACGAGGTTTCCAGCTTTCGAAGTCCACTCTACCGTACGTGGTCTTATGGTAGCAATTGCACGCGCTACAAAAAAAATGGCTACTGGTTCCAGCTAAAGAAGCAAGATGACGAGTGGCAGGAAGATCACAAACAGCCAAAACAATAGCGCTGCGAGCGAGCCGGCCAGTAGGAAAACAAGCAGTCTTGGAAAAATTGATGCTGCACTCCCATGAGTCTACCATGTCATCAATAAGTGGCCGGATGTAGTGATTGAGATGCTCGAGGGACAGCTGTTTCGGACCCAGGATGATTCCTGCAAGATACATGTTTTCAGGCTTATACCTGATATCCAATGGTAGATTCAAGCATGCCATAGAGATGATGCCAGAGGATTTGTTAGCACCACGCAAATTCATGCCCTCCAGATTGAAGAAGTCCACGTGAAGGGCAAAAGCATAGCGCCCTTCATCTCCTCTATCAATAAAAAGTGAACCTGGGTCTGGGCCACAAAATTGACGGAGAAACTGAGCCTCAAATGCGTGTTTCATCAAAGGCGGATGGGGGGAATTGATTGAGTCTTGCAAATCGTCGCAGGCTTGATCCATCGCCCCCTCAATATCTGTATGGGAGAGGAGACCGGTGAGGTAGTCTTTAAAATCGTGGTAAATGAATGTCTTCTTCGGTCGCACTACTCCATCAGGGCCATGGCTGAGCAATGACTTGCCACATTTGGCCTCTGGCGTGGGGTGGTGCATGCAACGTTCAGGATATATAGGAACAGTCGAGCCGTCTGCATGATGGGGGCTGTAAGTGCAGTGACAGCTGGAGCAGACCATGTATACAACAGTTTTCTCGGTGAGATGGAATCTTGAGAGCACGGTGTCGAAATTCATTGGAATTTGCCTGAGCACATTTTGATGGGAAGAGCTGAGGCTACCATCTGATCTCCTGGAAAGCGAGGAATAACATGATTGAAATAAGTCCCAAGAGGAAATTGCAGGCTTGCTTACTGACCCCCATGATGACTTTACACACCACAGTGATGAATAAGGCAACCTGTGCAATTTTATCACACTGATCCAGCGGAGATTCATGGTGAACATCTATTGACTATTCAGAACATGATCATGATGAAGATAGTCAACTCTTACCGGTATCAAATTTGACTGCTGCACGTAAGTCCATTTTGGGAGGCTTTTGACTGTTGAACTGGGCTTCTAAGCCATCTATCTCCAACACAATTGCCCTCTTCCATGTGATCACAAGGTCTGCATTTCGTTTGACGTTCTCCACAGCTGTGCGCAGCAATAGTAGCTCGCGACCAACATCATTGGAATTACCTGCAAGGAACAACCAAAAGCACCGCTGAATGCGGAACTCTATGTTATCGAGGATCGTCAAGGCCTTCACAGTTGGCCAATGTGTGATCTTTTGGGAGATGTCGCCAGCAATGGTGACTCTGGGTTCATGGGCAACAAAAGGATCTAGCAAAGTGAGTTGCTCAAGATCATCCGCCAGAGCCATAATAGATAATGGTGGAGTGGGATTGGGGTGAGAAACAGGCAGTTCGTTGTCGATAAGGGCGAGTGCATGGAGCTGTGAGACTAACAAATCTGTGATGACATCCGTGCGGGGAGAGCCAGTGGCAGCACATTCTGCTTGGGTACATTTGGTGCATTGTAGATGTGCAGCCATAAGACATTCTGCGATGAGTACCCACTTAGGGGTGCCATGCTCAGCACGATCGCTGGTTTTGATGCATTCCTCACAGAAGCACCATTTGAACTGTGAGCAAGACACAGGCATGAGGAGTGGGGCAAAAATAAGACAGCTTCGTTTCAGCCGTGGAAGTTGATTCAGGATGGTCACCAATAGCAACAACAGTATGTACCATTGTTTCTATGAATTGGATGGGAGTGAGAGTTGTAGAATTGGAGAGCCAGAAATGACTGCATAGGCAAGCTTTTAAGTCAGACAAACAACAACAATAGAAGAAACAACTCACAATTTCCAGTAATGAAATAACAAGACAGCAGTAAGCCTTGTATGAAAATATGACATTCATTACAAGAACTACCAAACAAGGAAATATAGCTCTGTTGTCAGGGAGAGCTGGCAGCGACCTGAGATTGGTGTGGATCGTTGGCAGTGAAAGCAGAGAACGCCAGGGCGGCACGACTGTACATACAGTCATGCCCTGGAAAAGGTCGTTGAAGGTCATTTTCGACGAGTTTCCACCCAAGTTATTTCTGGGATAGGCAGTCCCATGAAAGACCAGAAGGATGTTAAACCCATGATCAATATGGGACGAAGGGTCCTATGGAAGACCAGGGAAAAGATGTTAAACCTATGATCAATAAGAGGAGAATAACGTCATGACGACTCACTTCATAGATCTGCAGCTTCTGCCCAAGTTGTTTCTGCGATAGGCGGTCCAATGAAAGAGCAGGGTAAGGATGTTAAACCCATGATCAATATCGCAAAGGGCTGCCATGGACGTCGAACCAGGAAGCAATGGATGTTGACTTAGAGTTATGACATTGGCGGTGGCGATGAAAGTAGAGAATGCCGGGCACAACCATACATACAGTCATACCCTAGAGAAGGTCGTGAAAGGTCGCTATCGACGAGAAGTCTAGTGACGATGAAAGAGGAGAATGCAGAGCATGACTGTATGTACAGTCATGCCCTGGAAGGAGGTGAGGAAAGTTGTTGTCGACAAGGAGAATGGCAGGCTCGACAGTACAAACCGTTGAACCTCCTAGAAGAAGGTAGTAAAGAACTTAGTAATAGTAATAAAGATGAGGGACTTAGAACTTTGGCAATGAAAGCACCCAACAATCACAAAAAACCATATTAGGAAATTGTTACATAACGATAGGGACTTAGAACTTTGGTGACGAAAGCTGAAGAAGGTCGTGAAAGGTTGCTGTCAACAATAAAAGAGGAGAATGCAGGGCATGACTGTATGTACAGTCATGCCCTGGAAGAAGGTGAGGAAGGTCTTTGTTGACAAGGAGAATGGCAGGCTCGACAGTACAAACCGTCGAACCTCCTAGAAGGTAGTAAAGAACTTAGTAATAGTAATGAAGATGAGGGACTTAGAACTTTGGCGACGAAAGCGCCCAACAATCACAAACAACCATATTCGGAAATTGTTACATAACATTGACTGCTCAAGCCTTTCAACCCCGACGTTTATCACAACTACGAGCATGACAGTATGTACTATCGTGCTCGTCGAGTTCATCATTCCTGTCTTCAGAGCACAACGGTATGTACTGTCGTGTCTCCTGTGTTTCAATAAATCCCATTACCACCCACCCCCAACTCCATCCTTTCAACCCTGACGTTTATCACAACTACGAGCATGACAGTATGTACTGTCGTGCTTATCGAGTTCATTGTTCCTATCTTCAGAGCACACTGGTATGTACTGTCGTGTCTCATGTGTTTCAACAAATCCCATTACCACCCACCTCGCCAACTCCATCCTTTTTCGCTGATCAAGCCATCAACTCCTCTGGGTCATCCCCTCTACCATACATACAGTAGAGTGGGCGATGGCTAATCCCCCTTTGCTTACTGCGATCCTTTAGATCATGTTGGTCCAGTTCCTCCATACATCCTCTGAGTCAGGTAAGCTCCAATTGTTGACAGATCCAACCATTAATCAACCAATAAGTCCAGCCATCAACACCCGTCATCTGCTCCACCGTACATACAGTGGAGTGGGCAATGGCTAATTCGCTTTCGCTTATTGCGACCCCTTGGATCACGTTGGACTGTCCCGTCCGTCTTCTATAGGGCCTTGGGTAATCCAGTGACCGGGTTCCGTACAGTCATTGAATTTCCCGATGCGCGTATTCTTTTCATTGGTTTGGAACCCTGGGGCGTGAAAATTTCATCATCCAACACTCTCTGGTTATTGATGATATTCAGTTCTCGCTCTATCCCACGACACCATGCCATGATCTTGACCCGGAGTACACATTCAACGTCGTTTTCTACAGTCACTTTCTTCTGAACTCATACCCCCATCTCCCAGTGTCTTGATTAGTTTTTGAAGCCACTGCCAAGCTGGTAGGTCATCGTCCTCAGCCATCTTTCTTCAGCTCAATAACTTGCTCCAGAACTTTTGCTATGTGGAGATATTTCTATAGACACATTAGTATCCGAAGAGCCTTGTGATCATGCTGCAGACATACATTTCGCCAACAAGTTGTTTGATGAAACCAACTTCAGATTTTCACCTCTTTTTGCAATTAACCTCTCCTCCACTTCTGCCGCAGTCTCCAAGCTGCCCTTTGCTGTCACCTTTGGTTGTGCTGCTCTCCAGACCATCTGCAGCTGCTTGTAGCGATCTTTGAGTATTGCCTTATAATAGCCATCCGACCTCCGGAACGGCCACTCCTCTTCTACACTCCTCTTCTTCAATTCTTCAAGGAGAATATCGAGAATTTTCGCATTCCAGGGGGTGTTAAATCCGTGTTTGAGATCAAAGGCCAGATTCTGGGTGTTGGGGCCTGGGCCATCTTCGTACTTGTATGAGTACACATCTTCACGATCCGCTGGTTGGTGCACAATAAAATCTGCATCTTGAGATATACTGAAGGTATCTTTGAGGAGACGCTGGATTTCACCCTACTTCATGCTTAGCATCAGCATATACATCAAAAATTTAACTCTCACAAGAAGGAAGTCTCTTTCATGGCTCAATTCTGCAGCCCTTTCTATCCTAATTTCATCATCCTGCTTCTTTTTCCTTGGAGGACTACAGCTTTGTGGACATCAGGATATCCTTATTGACGAGGATGCATCTGAGTGCCACCTCTATGCCTTTGGAGATCGTGTTTTCCATTGCAGACATAGGGTAGACGTCGTCAGGCTGAAATTGCTGTGGCTCTTGCTCAATCGTCGCTGATCATTCTTGATGCGTTTCCATAGGGTCGTCAGCGTCCTGCTATGATGTGAGTTTAAAACGAGTTACGAACTGCTTAGTACTTACCTCTACTACAGATACCAGGCGCATCTTGCGTGTTGTTCCACATGCCTTCCTGATCTTTTTGATTGTCTCGAGGCACGGAGTCTTGAACTGTGGTTTCTGGGGCGTTTGGGGTGGCTGTTGAGCGTTCCTTCGGGTGGGGTCTGTGCCAATTTCTGTGGCCGCATGCTGTTGCCTACCGTGTCTTGCGAAGCGCTGCTCCATGTTAGCGAGCTTGTTCTCTTTTTCTACCTTCATTTTTTCTATTTCTAGTTGTAGCCTTCGCTCCATTTCGGCAAAAATGGCTCTCTCGCGTTCTTCTAACTGCTTGACATCATTAGCGATTCCCGTGTTTGGTCGTTCTTCCCCACCTCTTGATTTTTTCTTGTATTTAAATCTGCGTTGTGTTGTGCCAGTTCTTCAGTCAACTACTTGCCATCATTAGTAATTCCTTGGTCAGTCGTTCTTTCTCACCTCTTGGTCTTTTCTTGCACTTATTTTTGCTTCGTGCCGTGCTAGTTCTTCAGCAATGTTCTTCCTCAGCAGTGCTTGCTGCTGCTCTTGCCATGTGTGAATTTCCTATTAACTTGTAAGCATGCATCTGACTGAATGCATCTGTTGCACTTACTTGCTTTTCCCGCTCTCGCTCTCTCAGAGCTGCTTCCCATTGCTCGTTGAAATCGCGCATGTGGCGCTCATGCTCTTCTTCTGCAATACATTGCAGCTCCTCAATGTGGTCTTGAGCTTCTTGGCATATCTGCCGGTATGATCAGCAGTGTATTTTCAATGAGTTTCTCATGCGTACCACTTCAGTTTCCTGTATAATATTGTTAATACGTTCTTGTTGTTCATACACAGTCTGGCGAAGTATCTGTGAATAGTCGACTTCATGAAAGCGACGCTTCCCAGATATCTCGATGGGCATTATGAGTCATGGAAGCTGACTCGTACTATCTACACACCACTTCATCTCTGGCCCTCTTGTTGAGTCGTGGCACACTGGTGGGAGGCTGACTGAGAGCATCCACGAAGTCACCAGCACCCTTATCGTCGTCTTCATCGTCACCAAATAAATCTGCGTCATGAGATGTTTGTACGTCTTCTGGCTGAAACTCGGGATGTTGCATGTCAATGTCAATGTTATGGACACTCATAACGGGGCAATAATCCATCGTCAGTTTGCAAACATCATTCCTGGGTCTTTTTAAGTTATGTGCATGCATTTTTGTCTTGATTCTTTTAGACGTCTTGTTGTATGAATGAACAACAGAAGTTCCAACAGGTCCAGGTTCATCTTCATTGCTTTCAATTATCTTTTGCTCTATTTGCTCTTACAATTACCTCGTACAATTACCCTTGGCGACCAATGTATTAACAGGAATATATTACTTCACACAATTACCCTTGACAACCTAGCGCTGCAGGATTATCATTGCAGTATTGTCATGCTTCAGTTTGGCTCTCCACTATTTTTTTCAGTCAACTACATCCCCCAAACAATTATGGTTATTGTCTTTGACTCAGCACTGTGAAGTTATTAAAAGATGGATCGCTGCTATAGCCTGCTTCCATCGCCTGCTTTCATCACCCACATTCATCGCCCACTTCTTAGATTATTGCCTTGATCGAATTACAATCAGATGGTAAACACTCGCACATATATCCTTCCAACATCTGCTGTAATTTATCGCTTACTACCTCACACCCTTTATTTACCTTCAAATCAGACCCCAGAGCTTCACCTGCGGTGCAGGCTATATTCAGCATCGTGGACCAGACCCCATCAGGTCACTATGTTGACGCGTTGCTCTGGCCACTCACGCACTGCTCAGCGTTTTCCTGTTCCTGAAAGTCTTCTCAAGGAGGCTACTGTGCAGCCTTATGTCCACAACTGTTTTGTGAATGTGTGCGAAGGGAGACACATCTATCGATTCTGCATCTTCTTCAAGCGACATCTTCGTCTCAGAGCCAACGTGCTTCTTAGCAGGGGTGATCATAAGTTCCAAGGCAATGCAGTTGTTATGAGGGTTGGAGTCAACCATCCCTCAGTTGTGAACATGCGAGCCAGAGATAATGCGCTTGCTGACTTTATAATTCACCAGTGAGTAAACTCGATGATCTATTGAGCCTACCATAACTATCTTTTCAGCTTTGCGCAAAGCATAAGTAGTCGTCCAAGAGCTAGGCTCCCACGCGATCTTACTCTTGTGAAACCCTTGAGCACTCATACCAATTGTCAGTCAGCTGCAAGGTGTGGAGTAATATAATTTCCTAGACTATGAAAGCATTATTACATACTGAATTTCTCAGCTGGACTGCAGATATATGCCAAACAATATCTGTTCCATATAGAATGCCATATTGTCGTAGTACAGTGCCATGATGATCTTGACAAACATTCGAAAGTGCTGGCTTGAACTGATACTGACGGGTTCTAGGTAGCTTCACAGACGACTTGCATGATGTAGTTTCGCTCTCCCTGATGCGCGTAAAACTCATGGTTACTAGTTGGTATTCCATCCTGTCTGATACCGTAAATGAATATGCTTGATTTTGGAATGCCAGCTTAACATAGAATGCATACAGCACATAATAATGACAGAGACATCTAATGCAGTGGGGGTATCACTTCCTGACCTTGCTCTTGCTCTTGCCTACAGCCATTTCTCCCACCTTTCATCTCGCGTGACCAGACGTGTATTTCAGGTGTGTCATGATCAAATCGTTGACTGGCCACAAGTTGTTATAATTGTCAAGGTCTGGGAAGTTGTCGAGCGCCTGAGATGATAAGTTCATTGACAATATTGAGACTCTGCAAAACTGTTCACCTTGCCACGCACGATGTCCAATAGCGTGGGACTTTGGGCAGAAGCGCATTTTGTTGTGTCAAGGTGGTCCTCAATGAGACTATGCATAGACCTCTTAGGAATTCATGAGTTAATTTGCAATATTAAGGGTACAATGACAATTTGCGAACCTTGAATTTTGCATATGCCTTTGGATTCCAATCTAAAGCTTCGTGAAGTGTGTACCCCCCACGCCCCGGATGCCCAGGTTCACCAGCAGGTTTAGGAATCTTTGAGTCTTCTGATAAACTCATGCTCAAAGTTGAGGAGTCGCTATCTGAGAAAGAATCCAAAGAGCCTGAGGAATCTGAGGGTGAAGGCATTCGAGAATGGGAGTGCATGGAAGTGACTTTCTTGGTGTATGGAGAGGAAGAGCGATCAGAATGCTTGCGCATCTGCTTCGCAAGCTTGAATTCAGGGGCGGGTGTAGACGATGAAGCTCTTGCAGTGGGAATGATACTAGCTTTAGGAACTAGGATTTCATCGGCAATAAGTGTAGTCAGGCGATGATTGGCATTGCCAAACAGCTCCAGCTGGTCCGTGAGCATTGGGGGAAGGTGGTGGAGCACCAGGCTCCGAGTCATAGAAAGGTGGAACAATTGTAGTACTGCGCATGATAGAGAAAGAACCAAGTAGCTACCTGGAACTTAAGGATGGTTCATGAGAGGTAAAGCATTCAACAGACTACCATATTGAGCGAAAACAATAAGGGGCTTTGAAAATGGTAACCAAGAATAGCACTTACAAAGAATAAGAATAAGAATAATAGGGGTAGCCATCAACGTATCTCAAGAGAAGAATAAGAAGAATAGCAGAATAGCACTACACAAATGGCGTCGACAATGACTATAAAGTTACCATTGAATCAAACAAATACGGTAATGATACATAAGTATTTGAAAACAAATGAGAAGTACAGATAAATACATTGTGAGCAGGCGACTACAGCAGATCATATCATAATGTCTTTCCTTGCATTGTTCAACAAGTCAGCACAGCCACTGCATTACAAGCTGCTCGCTTGTTTAACTGCCTATAATGGCTCTATCCATGCACTTGCGATTTCTAATGATGGACACCTGCTTACATGCGGTGGTAAGAAAGCAGAAACTCAATCATAGACAGGGCTAACAAACAAACAGGTACCAAGGGAATCAAACTCTGGGATATCAAATCTCAGAAAGAACTCACATCTTCGGCTAATCATCATGAATCAAGGGGAACAGTCAGTTGCGCAATCTGGGCCACAACTATGAAAACCATGGCAGAAACCCTCTGTTATGGAACAGGCCTGGGTTATATCATATGTTTGCAACACAGTCTCACAGATGTAAGGGCCTAGGTTTGCTGTTCGACTGTCCATTGACACCAACAGGAAAAATTCCAGGAAATATGTGCCAGGAGACTGGGATCAGGTTTTGAGATCACATGCTTGTCATGGCGTTCAACTTCCTCTGAAGGCAACCTGCGAATTGTAGTCGGAACTAGAGACAAAATGGTTCAAGTTCTGACGCTCAACACAAGCTCGCAGCTCCAGTCCGTCTTTGCAGTGTGACTTGAAAATACAGTGCCCAAGTCAGTAGCGTTTGCAGATAACCAGAGCATCTATGTGTTTGGGCTCTATGATGGCAACTTGTCAGTCCTTCCACTGCATACTTTCATTGCCTATTGCCTGATGCTGAGAGCTGAACAGCATGAAACTGAAGGATGAAGATGGCAACATAGTGCAAGAATTTAGCTGCAAATCAGTGATGTGAGGAACTACCGCTCTCGACCTGGGCGTGTTACTGACATTATATAGTGGTCATGCTGTGGTGTACTCAAAGCGGGGCATTTTCATTGTAGATAATGCAACAGACGGCTTTACATTATATCGCCTTGAAGGTGATGGTGAGCCTGTTCGAACATTTGCAACTGGTTTGCCAAGCGTGTCGGTCCTGAAGCAAGTGGCATTCGGGGAAGAAGGCAAGGTAGTTGTGGGAGGAAGTGACCATGGGCTAGTATACATATTTGATCGGAAGACAGGGCAGATACTTGAAACCCTCCACCACGCGGACACTGGCCTTGTGCAAACAATATCCATAAGTATTAAGACTAGTCGGAAAGAATGTCACTAAACTGGTTTAGACACGCGATCTCAATGGCCACTGCACAATTGCCAGCACTTCGCCCATGCCAGGGCACGGGAAAACTACAATCAAGATATGGGCGTACGACTACGCAGTGCCAAAGGTATCCAAGGCACCCTCAGGGGATTACTGGTCCCTGTCGCACATACTGGTGATGTTGACATGACTACTGGCACTGCTATCTATGAGTGTCTTCCTGCTGATAAATTATAGAGACAGCTTTTTGGTAAGTGGGCCAGTTGGTCAGCAGGGATCTAACTAATGCACCTTCAGGATAGCGCACTGAACCGCGTACATGGGTACATGACTTCGGCAACAATGATTAATGCAACTGATGACTTTTCACAGTGTGTCCAAGCTGCCATTATATTTGACGAGTATGTAGATATCGAGAAGGATGATAAGGAAGGGCCGACCGAAGGATATGTCAAAAACGACATTATGATGCTCCGGGAATTAGCAGCAAAGCTCATGGAGCTAGCTTAAGAAGCGGACAGAGAGATCAACAAAGATGAACATAGAGGCAAGCACAATACTGATTACCCGCGAGCAGCAAAAGGAGGTGAAGAGACAAAGGACCTACATATCTCTTGTCCAGTACATGTAGCACGCTAGTTGTACATAGACATAGGTTTTGCATTATGCCCTTCACCGCATTGGGTAGATGGACATACAATAAGTCAATTCCCCCTCCACTGTATGTATGGTGGAGGGGTTAATGGCTGGATTGTTTAACGGTTGGTCAATGGGGTTGGATTTTTAACAAACGACTTGGTTACCTGACGTAGAAGACGGACGGGACAGTCCAACGTGATCCAAGGGGTCGCAATAAGCGAAAGCGAATTAGCCATTGCCCACTCCACTGTATGTACGGTGGAGCAGATGACGGGTGTTGATGGCTGGACTTATTGGTTGATTAATGGTTGGATCTGTCAACAATTGGAGCTTACCTGACTCAGAGGATGTATGGAGGAACTGGACCAACATGATCTAAAGGATCGCAGTAAGCAAAGGGGGATTAGCCATCGCCCACTCTACTGTATGTATGGTAGAGGGGATGACCCAGAGGAGTTGATGGCTTGATCAGCGAAAAAGGATGGAGTTGGCGAGGTGGGTGGTAATGGGATTTGTTGAAACACATGAGACACGACAGTACATACCATTGTGCTCTGAAGATAGGAACAATGAACTCGATAAGCACGACAGTACATACTGTCATGCTCGTAGTTGTGATAAACGTCAGGGTTGAAAGGCTTGAGCAGTCAATATTATGTAACAATTTCCGAATATGGTTGTTTGGGATTGTTGGGCGCTTGATCAGCGAAAAAGGATGGAGTTGGCGGGGTGGGTGGTAATGGGATTTGTTGAAACACAGGAGACACGACAGTACATACCGTTGTGCTCTGAAGACAGGAATGATGAACTCGACGAGCACGATAGTACATACTGTCATGCTCGTAGTTGTGATAAACGTCGGGGTTGAAAGGCTTGAGCAGTCAATGTTATGTAACAATTTCCGAATATGGTTGTTTGTGATTGTTGGGCACTTTCGTCGCCAAAGTTCTAAGTCCCTCATCTTCATTACTATTACTAAGTTCTTTACTACCTTCTAGGAGGTTCGACGGTTTGTACTGTCGAGCCTGCCATTCTCCTTGTCGACAAAGACCTTCCTCACCTTCTTCCAGGGCATGACTGTACATACAGTCATGCCCTGCATTCTCCTCTTTTATTGTTGACAGCAACCTTTCACAACCTTCTTCAGCTTTTGTCACCAAAGTTCCAAGTCCCTATCGTTATGTAACAATTTCCTAATATGGTTGTTTGTGATTGTTGGGTGCTTTCATCGCCAAAGTTCTAAGTCCCTCATCTTTATTACTATTACTAAGTTCTTTACTACCTTCTTCTAGGAGGTTCAACGGTTTGTACTGTCGAGCCTGCCATTCTCCTTGTCGACAACAACTTTCCTCACCTCCTTCCAGGGCATGACTGTACATACAGTCATGCTCTGCATTCTCCTCTTTCATCGTCACTAGACTTCTCGTCGATAGCGACCTTTCACGACCTTCTCTAGGGTAATGACTGTATGTACGGTTGTGCCCGGCGTTCTCTACTTTCATCGCCACCGCCAATGTCATAACTCTAAGTCAACATCCATTGCTTCCTGGTTCGACGTCCATGGCAGCCCTTTGTGATATTGATCATGGGTTTAACATCCTTACCCTGCTCTTTCATTGGACCGCCTATCGCAGAAACAACTTGGGCAGAAGCTGCAGATCTATGAAGTGAGTCGTCATGACGTTATTCTCCTCTTATTGATCATAGGTTTAACATCTTTTCCCTGGTCTTCCATAGGACCCTTCGTCCCATATTGATCATGGGTTTAACATCCTTCTGGTCTTTCATGGGACCGCCTATCCCAGAAATAACTTGGGTGGAAACTCGTCGACAACGACCTTCAACAACCTTTTCCAGGGCATGACTGTATGTACAGTCGTGCCGCCCGGCATTCTCTGCTTTCACTGCCAACGATCCACACCAAGCTCAGGTCGCCGCCAGATATCTAACATAATGGTTTGTACTGTTGCGGTAGTCTTGACTGCAATATTCTCAATGTCTCTCATCTAAACCTAACATAACGGTTTGTACTGTTGCGATAGTCTTGACTGTGAACATCTTTCATCTTGACTGCGATATTCTCAATGTCTCTCATCTAAACCTAACGTAACAGTTTGTACTGTTGCGGTAGTCTTGACTGTGATACTCTTTGCATCTCCTCGCTTCCATGAGTAACAATCTCCATGTCATCATCCATGATGGGCAGGTTTATACCTCTCTCACCGCACACTCCCTTCCCGATGTCATACCTCATGAACCTCCTTGGGATCCTCGCGAAGACTACGACTGTTCTCCCGATGATAGTAATACACCACTCACTACTTGCTGGGCATATGGAACTCGTCGGTGGGTTCACCTTGTACCTTTGAATCCTAGCTTCAATGGGCTGATCTTTGGATGCCTCAACCACTCCAGGTTTTCCCTCCTTACAGAGGTAGATCCATCGGGAAAGCACATTCTCCACCATGATATTTGGGCAAAATGGGTCGACTTAGAGCAGAAACTGCTCTGGTGCCAGGAACATTTGGGTGCCGGATTATTCATTCCATGGGGGACTAAACTTCCACATGCTCCAACTACCTATGGGTACCAACGGTCGCATGCAGACACTAGCGTTGCTAAGAAGGTTGCAATAAGGTTGCATGATGCATTTCTATGTAAGTCAACCAGTTTATTCATCGTTCATGATTGCCTGACGGATTTCCAGTAATTGCCGCCACCTGCTCATGGTACATCATGAGTCGTCGATACCAAGGTGCCAATCAGTGGATGGCTATCTTAAAGAGTGACCCCCAACATCCCATACCTGCTGAATGGGTTCTTGAGTTGTCGCACTCATTCGTTGGAGATCTGACGACAAATGTGCCACGTACAGGAGCCTTGATCTCTTCCATTCACTGTCCTTGGCAAGTTCAATTGCCCATGTTTGAGAAATTCTCACTTCCGATTTGGGTCCGCATTTCTCAGAATACTTCTGCCGCCGTTGATTCTACTTTGCATCATTATATCCCGTCTCCGGCAGCTATCGCCCATGGGACCGAGGAAGCCCAAAGGAAGCAGACGCCTGACACTTGGGGTCAGCCGGATGACAGTGCGTGGGGTCAGCCGGACTATAGTGCGTGGGGTCGACCAGAGGACAACACTCAGAATGTCCTTAACTGGGATGATAGCGCCCTTGGACATCAGGAAAAACTATATCTCTATATAGAGGACCATCCTCTATATAGCCCCGATAGCACACCACAGCTCTATACAGTCTATGGCAAGCTATCACAGCACTATAGACCAGTATAGACATCATGAAAGTCTATATATTACCATAAAGTTTGGTAAGTGTATTTAGAAGTAAAACATTTCAACAACTATAGACCCCAGTAGACCGTGGGAACTTTTTTCGATGAAAACCAAAGTTGTAGTCCTTGTCTAGGGAAGTCTATCCATAGTCTTATGACTTCAATAGGTTAAGATCCTAGTGAGTTATAAGGAAAATACTTGAAATTGAAGGGTTCAAGAAAGCAACTTGACCATGGGAACTTTTTTCGATTAAATCAAAGTTGTAGTCCTTGTCAAGGGAAGTCTATCCATAGTCTAATGACTTCAATAGGTCAAGATCTTAGTGAGTTATAAGGAAAATACTTGGAATTGAAGGGTTCAAAAGTGTTAAGGTACACCTTATTTATGTAAGCAAAAATGCGAAAATTCACCTTATGTGTATTCAAAATCCTAATGCTAACAGTCAATTTCATTGTCTTTTTCTTACTGTCATAATCCTAGTCCTATTAACCAAAAACTCGAAAATTCACCAAGTCTTGTGTTGTGGCTTTGTTTGGCACTGCTTATGTAAGCAAAAATGCGGTCAACCAACAAGTCTTTTCCCATTCTTTCCTTCCCCCCCCACTGCCCCCTCATTAGATTATCTTCCATATTTTTCTTACAATTTTCGAGTTTTTGCCTCTCTTCTCTTCTTCTTGCTTCTCTATCCTTCTCTTGGTGTTGATGTTGTTGGTGCTGGTACTGGTGCTGGTGCTTTGAACTCTGGTAAGTCTCCCTCCATAATTTTCGCATTTTTGACTATTTGACTAATCTTTTTTCTAACCCTCTCCTTCTAGCTCTCTTCCCTCCTGCTCCTCCTCCCCCCAACTATTTTCGCATTTTTGACCATTTGGCAAGTCTTTTCTCTGACTCTCACTTCCTCCTGTCTGATCCTCTCCTTCTAGCTCCCTTCCCTCCTCTTCCCTCAAGAATTTTCGCAATTTTCACTATTTGGTAAGTCTTTCTTTTTTTTGTATTCATCTTTCCTCTCTGATTCTTCCTTCTAGTTCTCTTGCCTCTTCCTCCTGTAATTTTCGCATTTTTGCCTGTTTTGTAGTTATTAGTTTACATGTATTGTAGTAGTTGAAATATAATTTGGAATTTTCGCTTTTTTTTAATTTTGAGAACACTATCATGGCAACAAACAGCTATTAAGAGAAATTTTTGCTTTGTGTTTTGAGCTATAATAGCTACAATAGTTGTGGTATGTTCCACCCAGCTATAGCAACTTTAATAGAGCTATATAGCACTATACACTGGTGTAGTAAGCCTGCACAATTGGGCACTTGGCTATACGAGCTATAGGGCTATGGAGTCTGTATAGCAGTCTATAGCGCTATGGGTGGCTATATAGCCTTACCACATTTTCCTGATGGATGGGGTCAGAACAGTGGGGCACAGCCCGTGTCTGATGTTCCTGAAGCACATGCGGACTCTCTGTTCCCAGTCTCCCAACCCCACTCTGGACAGAGGTGAGGAGAAGACTGGAAGGCATTCTTTGCGCGGCGCCGTCAGGAGAACAAGAGGAAAGAGGAGACGGAGATGCCAGCTCAATGGCAGTCGCGTCAGAGCCGTGAGCGGGTAGCCATGAACCACAGCATTCCTGGCAAATCCAACACAGTCGTGGTGTTTGAATGGCAACCTAATGATGAGTTTGGCAGCTTTTGTCAATGCATCCGTCTCACAAAGGCTGAGATACCGATGACTTGGATGTCGTATAGCAAATCTACCAGGGTATATGATTCATTCCGTAACGAGTGGGACTTGTGCGATGCATTGGATCTTACCAGCGTTCCCGATGGCAATTGGGAGGAAGATGATTTCCTGCCTGCGTCTGCTCCTTCTGAACCTGCCCCTGCCCCCCCTGCCCCTCCACCACTCTTGTCCAGTTTCTTGAAAGACACTGAAGCCTACTTCGGTCATTATGAGGTTGCACCCTCTACGCAATACACTTGTAGTGTTGAGCAATTTGTCTCAATTTTGCATTTTCATCTCGGATATCGCCTTGCAGCATCCACCACTACACCCCGAGGCAGATCGACTACATTCGATGATTGGACTCGCAAGACACAGTGGACTCATTTATGCAGACTTGTCGGCGACAACCCCACGAATATCACGTCAATTCCAGATGCACAGAAGCATGTTATCACATGTTTTATAGGTTACCTCGTCACCCTCCCTCAATCTCAGTTGTCAGACATCCCGCCCGATCTCTGGGATCTAGGACCTGACTCGTCCCTGTCAGTCTTGAACGCACACATTCGAGTTTCCTATGTGCAACAACCCAAGCAGTGGCTCTACATCATCGAGTCACTGTTGTCAAATCTGGTGCCCTGGAAACTGGTGGTTCCCGACACTATTACGGCTGTGATGTGCCTCCGGCGTGACTGGGGCTCAGATATCACCAAGATCGCGCGTAACCTCCTTGAAAAAGGAATGGCTATAAAGACGTTGCAGCCAATCTCAGTTCCGCCTCACGCTTGACGCCCACTTATGGAACTCTGTACATACTCGCTTGGACATGTCTTCCCCCCCGAGGATTGCAGGCTCGCCTGTTTTAGGCCTGTTTTTGCCGACTACATCGTGTATGAGCAGCACCGTCACGAGTTCATGAACTGGCCTCGCACAAGAGTGGCACTTCTTCATGGTGGCCTCATATGGCGGCTGGCTTTACATAGTCTTGGGTTCGATGTTCTCCCCTCCGTTCTTGATGGCATTTCACGGGAAGCAGTACCGTTTGGCCTCATGCTGGACATTAATGGCCAGACTTATTTCAATGATGAGCTGTCAGAAGAGGAGGTAGATTTCATGTGCGGGACATATTATTTGCATACCAGTAAGTTTCTCTCATTTACATCGACAGAGGCGCTTATGTTTGAATAATAATCTAGATGATGGGAATGTTGAAATCGTCTCCTGGTGGCCCAGGCCCCAGGCATGGGCTGCCTCAGGACAAAACGTGGGGTTCTGGTACAGTCGCTGTGAATTTTGGTTTCAGTCGCGCCTGGACAACATTTGACAGGGCGTTTCATGAGAGCGACATAAATTCACTAATGATGCTAACGGTCCAATGACTGGCTCGCAGTGGAAAGGCTCACTCAAATTCAATGCGGGCACCAACAAAATGATGAAAAATGTCAACTCGGCATCTTGCAGTTTTCTTGCCACCAAAGCAAGTGGTAAGAATAAATTGGTTGTTACTTGTGCGTCTCTAATCTCCTGCTCAGCTTTTACAGACAATTAGCACTAGCCTGTATACAAGTTGAAATGATTTTGTAAGTACATTCATTCACCTCGAGAAATCACCGGTGTCTGACTACTGTCAAACAGGCTTCAGTTTCACTCTACTATGTTTGTGTACAGTAGATTCATGTACGGTAGATTTGTGTACAATATTTCATATCTCACTTCACATTGTCTAGTCCTGTAATATTTCGCATCTCAAACTTAAGTGGGCGATGATGTTGTAAGTGGGCGATGATTCAGCCGTGAGTGGGCGATCGGTTTTATCTGGAGATAAAACTTGATGATTTATTTTCATGTTTTATTGTCAGGGGGTATTTTGAATTTTAACGCCCGTCTAAGCGACGGTCTAAACTTCATACATGAGCAGACGTTCAGTCACATGCAATAGTTGAAGTTTTTTCGAATCTTAAATGTGAAGTTTCATTTTGAAGTTTATGCCAGCATTAAAGATATATTTATATTTCTTATTATCATTGATGTTCAGACAGTAACAAAATGTTCGCTGATACTTTATATTTCTCTTGTCGTGCAAGATCTCTTTAACATTTGAAATTTTACATCCGCTTAGACGACAACCTAAATATTAAGTATTATCTTGACATTTCACACGACATTCAAACCAGTCTTAAATATTTGAATCCCCGATGTGTAAGTAGCAGAGACTTCTAATGCAACAACACTGCTAGTGGTTGATGCATCACCCTTTGCTCCATTTGGGAATGTGATGCATTACCTTAGCACAGCCACTCACAGGGTCACATGTTCGCATTTTCAACCACCTACTGTGGGAACTTCTCCACAACACCCAAAACATAGCCCATTTTAGGTATTCTCTCAAATATCAACCTTTCCCACACCCTCCCCATCAATCCCTGGCTCACCACTACACCACAATTAGATATAGCCTCTAGTTAAGTAGTAGTATAGGTTATATACACATCATAGAACATAATAAACTGCTTTTTCCCTTTGTTTTTGTACCAATACCTGCTACAGAGCCTCTGTGAGTGTGACCTAATAAAAAACATATCAAAAACTGTTTCATATTTTGCCCCTCTGGTATTGTGGTACTCTAGAGTGTTTAGAATATGTTTATAAATGTATATGTACCTATCAGAGCCCTCACTTCACCCCCTAGAGCGTCCTATACCATGTTCTGTGCTGTACTAGCATGAAATAGAAAATAGCTACGGAAATTTTGAGCTTTGGGTATATAGACTTGGAAATATGATCCCCAACATCCCTTCAATAGTATACACAACATATCAGGAGCATAGGTCAACAAGATCAGTCCTTGTGGTGCTATATACTTACCCTTTCCTGGTGGTTCACCCCCTGGGAAAACTTTTCCTGCAGCTCCAGCCCTTCAGGATGGTAGGGGGCCTGTTCCTATTGATATATACATATTGTAAATCACATAGCTGCATGAAAATAGCAACAGAATCTGTCTGTAGAATAGAACATCTCCTCCTGGCTGCACTACTGCATATTTTCGCATTTTTGAGGTTTTTCACCACATTATTATTGCACAAACTGTTTATATCTAACTTCTAGTACATATATCAAGTCTTTTCATGGCAAGGATCAGACAGGAATATGTCAGAGTATTGATATCAAGAATATATCTCCTATTCTCACTGATTAGGAGTCTCAGACATGTATTGGATGATATGTTATGATCGGACTATCACAATACATGCCATACATACTGGGAAACACAGTCCTTAAGTATTGGAAGGATCCATCAAAACATGAGAGCAGGGGAGTCCAGTAGATAAGAAAAAGAGTGTGGGAAACTAAAAAGTCCAAATATCGAAAATAGTGTGTTGCAGTGTACACATTAAGTTAGTAGTAAGACTGTAATGCTGCAACAACACTTTGACACCAAAACACTTCCACATTACTTTCACTCTTAGAATATAGTGTAGTACAAGTGTAGTACAGGATATTTGGGTGGTCTACATTCTATTTAGCTCATTTTTAACAAAATCTTCAACATAGATATTAGTATATTCATGTACTAGTAATAAATCTCCAACCAGAGTAAATCTCCAACTTACATTTACTTTGCTTTTCACTCACTTATTTATGAATGGATCTTTCTACAAATTCACAGGTGGTATCATGGGTATAGGACAATCATGTAGCAAGCGGCTAATTACACAGAAGTGTCCTCATGAGACCCTAGATTACTTATCAGTAAATCTCCCTGACATACCCCTGATATCAATACTCTGACATATTCCTGTCTGATCCTTGCCATGAAAAGACTTGATATATGTACTAGAAGTAGATATAAACAGCTTGGATAGTTTGTGCAATAATAATGTGGTGAAAAACCTCAAAAATGCGAAAATAGTGCAGTAGTGCAGCCAGGAGGAGATGTTCTATTCTACAGACAGATTCTGTTGCTATTCTCATGCAGCTATGTGATTTACAATATGTATATATCAATAGGAACAGGCCCCCTACCATCCTGAAGGGCTGGAGCTGCAGGAAAAGTTTTCCCAGGAGGTGAACCACCAGGAAAGGGTAAGTATATAGCACCACAAGGACTGATCTTGTTGACCTATGCTCCTGATATGTTGTGTATACTATTGAAGGGATGTTGGGGATCATATTTCCAAGTCTATATACCCAAAGCTCAAAATTTCCGTAGCTATTTTCTATTTCATGCTAGTACAGCACAGAACATGGTATAGGACGCTCTAGGGGGTGAAGTGAGGGCTCTGATAGGTACATATACATTTATAAACATATTATAAACACTCTAGAGTACCACAATACCAGAGGGGCAAAAATGCGAAACAGTTTTTGATATGTTTTTTATTAGGTCACACTCACAGAGGCTCTGTAGCAGGTATTGGTACAAAAACAAAGGGAAAAAGCAGTTTATTATGTTCTATGATGTGTATATAACCTATACTACTACTTAACTAGAGGCTATATCTAATTGTGGTGTAGTGGTGAGCCAGGGATTGATGGGGAGGGTGTGGGAAAGGTTGATATTTGAGAGAATACCTAAAATGGGCTATGTTTTGGGTGTTGTGGAGAAGTTCCCACAGTAGGTGGTTGAAAATGCGAACATGTGGTCTATGGCCTAGGTGTACTACTTTAGCATGATCTGATGCATCACTGAACATGCTAATGAGCATAGTTAATGCAATACTCATGTCTTGTAGTAAGCAGACTTAATGCATTATACCTACAGGGACTGGTGCTTAGTAATAGAGTGCCAGAGTCAGGAAGTGATGGTGGACAGAACTGAATGGTTCCATCCGTCTCGGGACATGCAACACAAGAACCAAATCTGAGACCTGAGACTAGGTGTAAAGGCAATCAGTGGCGCTGCAAGTAACGGAGTTGAAGCAGCTGCGTGTGGGTGCGTTTCCCAGACGGTTTGAACTGCATATGATGTCCCGCTGGGTGGTGTTGGGTGAGGCTAAGCAGCCCACCCCTGTGGTCTTGGGAATAAGATAAGTTAGGAAGACACAGCCTGCTACTTACAACAGTTCCATTGAGTAAATTTCGTAAACAACAATGGCTGACAGGTCCCATTCCATATATGCATCGGAAGGATGTGGGGAAGAGGTGATGTCTAATATGCAATAAACACGACAAATGGATGAAAGTATTGCAAGACTCCGAGCCCATTCAGTCACATAGTCTGTATTATACAGGCAGCCAAGGTTGAAAATATGCTGTTCCATACCGGCCAGCGGACGTCAGCCGATTGAATGGTTTTGCCTGTGCATAACGTTCGGCCAGTAGGCTTACTGAGACCCTATTTCAACAGCTGGGCCCATAAGTAATGATGGTTGATATTAACATGTTGGCCAGTGGCCATGAACATCATATGGCCCCATGAGTTTGGTATATTGGTGGGCAAATGGTGGTGGTGGAGTCTCTGATGCTGTCAGCTGGGCCCATGTAGAACATAGTGCCTGTGTGTATCGGTCAGCCGATTGTATGCATCCTCTGTGTATATCGGTAGGCCAATGATGGGTGTGAAGCCATCATGTGGACCCATGGGGAGAAATTCCCAATGCTATCAGGCGGGCCCATGGAGCTTGTTGGCTGTGGCCATCGACCAGCTGACGGTCTGTATTAGATCAGGCAGGGCCCATGTAGAATAGGTTGCATGTGTGTATCGGTTGGCCGACATGGAATAGGTTGCCTGTGTGCATCGGTCAGCCGGTATGGAATACATTTCCTGTGTATTGGTCGGCCCATGTGGAAAAGGTTGTCTGTGCATATTGGTTGGCCAACATGGAATAGGTTGCCTGTGCGCATCAGTCGGCTGGTATGGAATACGTTTCCTGTGCTTATTGGTTGGCCCATGTAAAATATGTTGCCTGTGCATATTGGTTGGCTGACATGGAATATGTTGCCTGTGCGCATCGGTCGGCTGGTATGGAATACGTTTCCGGTGCTTATTGGTCGGCCCATGTAAAATATGTTGCCTGTGTGTATCAGTCAGCCCACATGGAATACATTTCCTGTACTTATTGGTCAGCCTATGTCAAATATGTTGCCTGTGCACACCAGTCTGCCAATGCTAGGTGTGAAGCCACTGTGTGGGCCCATGGGAAGGGATACCTGATGCTATCAGGTGGGCCCCTATAATGTGTTGTTTTTAGGTATCGGCTGGCCAACGGTCTGTATTGAATCAGGTGGGCTGATGTTGAATACTTTGCCCATGTGTATCAGTTGGCCAACAGCAAATGTGAACCCATCGTGTGGGCCCATGGGAAAGAACATTTGATTCTATCAGATGGGCCCATACTATGTGTTCTATGTGCATATCGGCTGGCAAATGACATGTGTGGTGTCAGGTGGGCCGATGGGGGAGAAAAGGTTGATCCCATCCAGAAGGCCAATACGGAATGCATTGCCTGTGTATATCGGTCGGCCAATGATGGGTGTGAAGCTATTGTGTGGGCCGATGGGGATGAATTTCCGATGTTATCCACTGGGCCAATGTAGAACGCCCTGCCTGTGCATATTGGTCGGCCAATGCTTGCTGTGAAGTCATTGTGTGGGCCCATAGAATGTGTTGCCCGTCCATATCGACCGGCCCATGCAGAATGCATTTCCTGTGCATATCAGTGGGCTGATGAGATGGATGATGTCGGGTGGGCCCACGAACATCAGGAAAAACTATATCTCTATATAGAGGACCATCCTCTATATAGCCCCGATAGCACACCACAGCTCTATACAGTCTATGGCAAGCTATCACAGCACTATAGACCAGTATAGACATCATGAAAGTCTATATATTACCATAAAGTTTGGTAAGTGTATTTAGAAGTAAAACATTTCAACAACTATAGACCCCAGTAGACCATGGGAACTTTTTTCGATGAAAACCAAAGTTGTAGTCCTTGTCTAGGGAAGTCTATCCATAGTCTTATGATTTCAATAGGTTAAGATCCTAGTGAGTTATAAGGAAAATACTCGAAATTGAAGGGTTCAAGAAAGCAACTTGACCATGGGAACTTTTTTCGATTAAATCAAAGTTGTAGTCCTTGTCAAGGGAAGTCTATCCATAGTCTAATGACTTCAATAGGTCAAGATCTTAGTGAGTTATAAGGAAAATACTTGGAATTGAAGGGTTCAAAAGTGTTAAGGTACACCTTATTTATGTAAGCAAAAATGCGAAAATTCACCTTATGTGTATTCAAAATCCTAATGCTAACAGTCAATTTCATTGTCTTTTTCTTACTGTCATAATCCTAGTCCTATTAACCAAAAACTCGAAAATTCACCAAGTCTTGTGTTGTGGCTTTGTTTGGCACTGCTTATGTAAGCAAAAATGCGGTCAACCAACAAGTCTTTTCCCATTCTTTCCTTCCCCCCCCCACTGCCCCCTCATTAGATTATCTTCCATATTTTTCTTACAATTTTCGAGTTTTTGCCTCTCTTCTCTTCTTCTTGCTTCTCTATCCTTCTCTTGGTGTTGATGTTGTTGGTGCTGGTACTGGTGCTGGTGCTTTGAACTCTGGTAAGTCTCCCTCCATAATTTTCGCATTTTTGACTATTTGACTAATCTTTTTTCTAACCCTCTCCTTCTAGCTCTCTTCCCTCCTGCTCCTCCTCCCCCCAACTATTTTCGCATTTTTGACCATTTGGCAAGTCTTTTCTCTGACTCTCACTTCCTCCTGTCTGATCCTCTCCTTCTAGCTCCCTTCCCTCCTCTTCCCTCAAGAATTTTCGCAATTTTCACTATTTGGTAAGTCTTTCTTTTTTTTGTATTCATCTTTCCTCTCTGATTCTTCCTTCTAGTTCTCTTGCCTCTTCCTCCTGTAATTTTCGCATTTTTGCCTGTTTTGTAGTTATTAGTTTACATGTATTGTAGTAGTTGAAATATAATTTGGAATTTTCGCTTTTTTTTAATTTTGAGAACACTATCATGGCAACAAACAGCTATTAAGAGAAATTTTTGCTTTGTGTTTTGAGCTATAATAGCTACAATAGTTGTGGTATGTTCCACCCAGCTATAGCAACTTTAATAGAGCTATATAGCACTATACACTGGTGTAGTAAGCCTGCACAATTGGGCACTTGGCTATACGAGCTATAGGGCTATGGAGTCTGTATAGCAGTCTATAGCGCTATGGGTGGCTATATAGCCTTACCACATTTTCCTGATGAACCAGCAGCGTTCGATTCTATCAGGTGGGCCGATGCGGAACGTGTTTCCCATGCACATCGGTCAGCACATGGTAAACAATGCCGATCATCTCGGCTTGGCCCATGGCCTCCATCTTCACATCCGGTCGATTGGTGACACGGCAAGAAGACTTCAGGGATTCAATCAACATCATCGATTCAAATTAATTGACAACCTTATCACTAATCGATCCAAAAGGCTGAATACAACCGTAATGTAATCTGATATACCATGACACGGTCGTCTAAGCTGAAACCGAGACATCCCAATCTACATCCTTGTATTTCACATACTCTGACCGAGGTGTCCCCACAAAATTGTGAAGGCTATCGCGCATGAACCATGCCCTCACAAACCAATCGCCCCTGAATGTGACGCCATGCCTGACAATGTGTCTGGAGCAGCCAACCATGGCACCGGAGTTATATCGCAACTGAATGCTGAGATTGGACAGCGTCATGAGGCCATCGCAATAATGGCCGACACTGGTCATGACATCAAACCCTTCTGGAGTAGATCTCGGATCTCGGTGAAGAGGGCATTGCCTGTTACACATGACAGCTGTGCAGTTGAACACTGAGGCCCAAAGTTGCAGATGAGCATACATGCCATAGGTCATTTTCCATAGCCCATCAAGCGAGTTTCATCTGTGTGGTGACCAAAGCCCAATACAACTCTGGGTGCATCACCCGAAGAGCTGCCCAGGCCAGGAGTGCTGATCACTGCATTGATATTATGACCTTTGGACCACCTTCCCCCTTCAGCGTAGCCGACACCTCCAGGGTGAAACCACTGGTGTGGGGGAAACCATAAGGCTGACACTTCTGAGTGAGTGTCGGCATTGCGCATGAAGAAGCATGTCATACCTCTCAGCCTTGCTGGAACCAGCAAGGGGCTATGTTGATGCATCCTGGGGTTAGCAGGTGGCAATTGCTCATGTGAAAATGACCAGAGAATGTTCTCCAGTTGGACTCTTGTCCACTGGTGATGCTTGTTTTCAGGAGGTAGCCCATCCCGACCGTGGCTGCTTCCATCTCGGCCTGTGGGGTTGGTGTAAATGGTTGACCCACAGGTGACAATACATAGCCTTACTTGAATCCATGGGCTAATGGCGTCCGGAAGGTACCATAAGATGATACGTCCCCCGGAATCCATGAACACCGAGGGCTTCTCCAACAATTGTTGGGAACTACAAGGAAATTTTTGGAGTAGAGCATCTTCATGTTTTGTGTTCCTCCCTGTGGACCGTTTGTCGAGGGCTTCATTGTACCGAATCATGTCAAGATCAAGCTGAACTGCGATGTGTTAATAAACCTCCAACCGAATGACAGAAATGACCGACTCGGGTTTGCATACGCATCAGTGAGCACTTGGGCTAACTGCTGACAAGCGAGCATGGTCGGCACATCCAGTGCCAATGGAGGCAACACCGATGGTTGCCGATCGCCAACATGGCAAGTGAAGAGCCGGTGAACAAAGTCAGCAGCAATGCATGTGGTGTGCAATGCCCAGTCGGTAGGAATTGGGGTCATGATTCGGGCAGAGGAACAGGAATCATTCATTGATTGCTTATATACAAAGGCACCAAAACACATTTAATAATACTATGTACATCGCCGGTATTTTAAGCGATATCAGTGATAAGTCCGCACATACAGTCACTGCTCTGCATGAAATCGCCTATGGGAATTAATGAGTGCCTGCTCCACCTCATCAATCGGCACCTCAAGTTGGGATATGGTGGAGGCAGCCACTGCAGCAATCTGGGTCTTCTGCTCCAGCAAGGAGGCCATCGCTTCGCTGAGGTGTCGGAGATGGGCCCTCACCACCACAATTTGATTGAAGAGGGCATCACTGTCCACCTGACCGGTCACAGCGGGACCTGGCATGAGCATGGCTCCGATTGGCTAAACATTCACATCAGTGGAAGTCCAGGATGAGCGGAGGAAATGACCGACCAGTTGTTCAAAGTGCTCTCGGGTCATCTCCATGACCTCCTGAATGGTCAACATCGGGAGCTCGAACCCCAACCTGTCAAAGTGATCCTTCCACCAATGATGGGAATAATTGTGAATGACTCGATGATTGGACCATAGTTCTTGGTCATTGGGAGAGCAGCACTCGAAGAATTTGTCATGCAGTTCCTCAGCATTGATGGTGCCGGTTTGGAAGCAGGTGAAGCAGGCAATGACGAGGTGGAGGAGGTCGGGCATGGTCGGATGAATGTTCATCACCAGACATAAGTTGATATAAGGAAAAGCAAAACGCTGATGGAGGCATCAGCTACAATAGCATGCTGACTGGTTGACCAACCGAAGAGGCACTCACATCTGCCTCCCATTGAAGGTGCTGGACAAAGCTGGCTTTGTAAGCCGGCGTCTGAGGCACATGGCTCTGGTCACATACAAGCCAGATCACGGCAAATCGAGATGTAGCATACTCCAAGACATTGGCAGAATCCCACGCAGTAAAGTCATTGAGTTCATATGTAAAAAGTGTTGTGGAGTTGGACATGATGGGCAGAGCTGGGACTAGTTGAAGTTTTGACCGAAGCGGAATGACAAGTTTTATACAGATCGGCATTGTACTTGTGACTAATCCACTGTGAGGCTTGCCATTGTCCAAATGCATGTGCGTGGACCTCTGTCACTCCACCACCACTCCCACCCCTTTTGTTCTTTCGAAACTGTCTTGTGCATGCTGTGAAAGTCGGAGATACATCCAAGCCTGGTGCACTGCATAGCAGCGGTGCCTGACCATGTCATTTGCATTGGCCTCCTGCAAACAACCAACCCATTGTTGGGATTTGTGAATAAAGAACTCAACCATCCAAATCATTTCCCAACTGACCAGCAGCAGTTCCTCTGCCCAACGGTCACACAGTGCCAGCGTCCGAAGCCAATGGACATGGTAAACTGTTGGATGAAGAAATTAGCACCGGACAGGAATAGGTAGGTCGGCGAAGTGCACACATTCATTCATCCAGTCATTGCTTGTGGAATCCCCTTGGACATCAATGGACCAAAACAATGCCAGCGTGCTATTTCTTTGACCACGCGCATTCAGGTCTGCCACCACCATAGTAGCCTTTAAGTCGGCCTTCTCCAACGGCCGATATTTGTTACAGGGACCCTCAGACCCCTATCGTCTCCACCAAACATCGCTGTCACAACCGCGTCACAACATGTGACAGATGATGTCACCGGCATGTGACTAAACTACAGAACACAGCATGACAGCTGTTGGAGCAAGACAGCTCTAGAACCGACCTAGACCGGGATCAATAGAAGCCACACGCTTCTCCCTTATCGCCTCTACCGATACACTGGTACTAACTATCGTTTATCCTATCGCTTATCATGACAGATAGCGTTATCTGACTTGGACACCTACCGCTGTGCCGGTACCATACCCTGGACCCTTACCGTTGAACCAGTACTCTTATCTCTGAGTCCTTATGACTCACATAGACGCTTACCTAGTTGGGACGCTTTCTGGCTACCCAAGCCTACCCTGAACTCATAGGACGATACCTATATATACCACAGTAGTTAGACCATGTATTCTCTAACTTGATCTTCACTTGTGATATATGACTCTGGCTTCTTCTTTGAACCTTTAGTCAGTCATTCTGGATGGACAGCCTCCATTCAGTCTTCCATCGTCCTGATGCTCCATGAAGCGGACATGGGATCGACCCTATCAAGTGCACTGTTGGGAAAGCCGGGCTTTCCCGTAACAATATTTGGTCAATAAATCATCGGCGCTGAGATGGACAAGCTGCTTGTGGCATTTTGAGTAGATCTGAGTATTCAAGTGAAGAACCTTGTTGACTGAGTGTACATGAGCCCATGCCCTGGTCGACCAAGCTTGTGACTTTGCCAACCGAACCGTGGTGTGAAAGAGCACGGCCTTGTCGGCCAAGTTGACCCTGATGGCATGCAATGCATCATTTGCTTGGCCTTGTCTTAAGGATATTTCTTGCAACACCAGGTCAGCAATGCCCCACTCGGCACACCTTGTGATGCCGATGTTGGATGGCAATGGAATCACCACAGTCTTGGGATTGAACTCGACCAGGATATCAAATTCTTCTTCATCTGACTGATCTGGATCGTTAGACGATGAACCCACAGAGTCCAATGCTGCAGTATCCAACATCACAGTCATACCATCCAACTGGTCATAGCTGTCAAATTGATCGCTGAGGAATGTACCTGCCACCCTGACAAATTCATCAAGTTGGTCTTGCCATTTGTGGTGATGCCGAGCAATGGCCAGCTTCTGGGTGTTGGTTGGCTGCTTTCCCAGTTTCTTCATGTCAATCAGGAGGGCTACTTGTGCCTCCTCGAGCATGATCCCAGAGGCCAGCCATGTTGCTGCACCGCGATGGATCTTGCTGGCAGGCCATTGCACCTGGCGGTTCAACAGGTGCAACTCTTGCTGTTTTCTTGTCAGTGCTTTGCCAAAGCATATCAGTGTATTGCACATGGTTGTTCTGTTCACCCATACCTTTGGTCAATTGAACTTCATATATATCCATGGCACCGGGATTATGAAGTCGGTCATCCTGAGCAGCAGCAGCCTCTGCTTCCCATTTGGCAAGGGTGTCGTCGTTGGCAGTCTCGGTCAACCGGTCAAATGCATATCGGCTGTCTTGGACTCCCTGTACAGCTTCCTTGAATTTTTGGCAAAGGAATTTGCCTAGATGCATTGAGATTTAAGCACTCGGTCAAATAATATTGCTCACTCATGCGTATCATCTTCATAAAATTACAGTCGTTCATTTGAAAGTCCAAACACTCCTTTCGGTGAGGGGTGGACATCCCTCTCGCCGACGGCGATATTATGTTCAAAGGCGCCCAAAGGGTCTCCATGATTTCACTGTCAATCCTGGCTGCACCAGTGATGAAGTTGGATGTGTACCATACATAGCATTTGTCTTGATGGCCATGGACATGCCAGAGCTCGATGCCTGGAACAATCTCTATGCCCCATGGAAGGTCAAGATAGGGCAACTCCTCAATCCGCCAGTTGAGATGCTTGTGGTATTGACAGTTAATATTGTAGAATGTCAATGCACGGTCAATCCCATCGGTGTTGTACCCCAGAGCTTGGCACAGCGCATAATCCATGTTCATCTGTCTTTTGACCGACTGACGCATCAGCTCAACTCGGCCGACCCAGTATATCGGATGGCAAACCTTTCCCCCTTCTGAAAGTCCACCATTGAATGGGGAGCAAAACACCCATGTCTGGCGCAAGCACACCCGCCTATCCCTGTTGCCTCAAGCTTGTGGCGCGATGCATTTGCCTGGTTGACCGCTCGGTGGTCGTTGCAATCTGATCTCTGGACCATGTCCTGCACCTCGGCGAGATGCATTTTGTATTGGGCATCACTGACCATGAAGCCCAAGCCATCGGTCAATGCCACCTCATCAGTTGGATTGGCCGGATACAAATGTTTGGCCTTGAAATTGCCATCCATGACCAAAGATCTTGAATACAACCATGCAGGGTCGGACCCGTTCCTGTCTGACAAATTGACATTCACCCTGGGCTGTGGACATGCAGGACAGAAGAGTGCGAGCTCCCCTGCCTTTGGCTTTCTCATCTCATGGCTGAACCCATGCCACTTGAGCTGTTTCAATTGCTTCCACTGCCTACCCACCCTCATCAATTCCCTGTATTGGTCCTGCTGGCCATTGTGAGCGATGCAGTGGAGAACATCAAAGTCACTCACTGGAACCAGATGAGGAAACACACTGGAAGTAACTCTCCTCAATTTACTGTAGTAGTTCATGGCAGAAGTCTGTTATGATCAACGTTCACCGATTGGCAAAGGTATCACACAACCACTAGGACTCGTCAAAGGATAAGAGAATAGATGTTATTGAGAGTGAACGTCTGAGTCTACACTGGGTAGGAACGAAGAGGTTAAGTCTAAGGAGTACTACTGACTACGACCTAAACTATATACTACTCTCTATGCGGAGATATCTGAGTATGAAAGGTAGTGATATATCTATATAAGATCATAACATTGCACCTAGGGTATAGGGCGTCTTTTCAACCAATCAACTACAATAAAGAGAAAAGGGTTTATAGGGGTATCGGTGATTAAGCAGGGTTCTCAGGGTACTGCTTCTATTCAGGGTGGACGGAGATTAAGAAGGGTGAGAGAGTTCTGTGACAAGAAGTCTTGAGCGGTGATTAAGGATCTCGATTAGAGATAGGATCTGGAGATGTATCGGGTGCAATCGGATCTAGGGGTTTCTCCAGGGTCTTCGGTAATGAGCATGCTTCTCTATGAGTGGCGCTTCTGTGATAGGGTTCAGGGATTCAGCTGTGACTGTGCAACAGGTTCTTATGTAAGGGGTTCGGTGAATGACAGAGGTAACTCTTAACATGTCATGTGTGGGAAGTGAAGGTCTGCGATGTGAAAGGATGATGACTCTTCGAGAGATGACTTGTAAAGGACTCTCGGTTATGGTTCGATCATAGAGGCATGTAGATGCTTATGATGTAGCCGGTTGCCTAATCGTAGGACTTCTAAGGATGTGATGACTTCGGATGTCTAGGGTTACGGATATAGATGGATGACGTCGATGTAGTATAGATGTGATGTAAAGATAGTGATCGTTAATCGGTTATCCATCTTATCTTATCAGGGATCTTATCTAATCTAATCTTATCGGATAGGTGTCTTAGGTTTTGATAATCGAAATTTAGATGTAGTTGGTAACATTCATGACAAAGTCCCACATTCCAGGTTGTCCAACAGGAAGTCATCCAACACTGCAAATGTGAATGCCGTCTTCGGCAAAGTGAAAAAAGCTGGGAAGAGGCCCATTTCAAATAGTTGCATGTCAGGGCTTAGTGCATCGGTGCACCAACAGAATCTGATCATCAGGGAGTGGAGCCCTGATGTGTCCACCACCGTGGTTGTCTGAGGATCGTTGACCAAGGGTATCCAAGGGCCATCAGTCAAATGGTCTCCTTCATCATCTGTGTCACACCACTTGTCTGTGAGACTGTAGCAGGGCTGGCCAGCATGACCGAGGTGTATTTCCAGGCCAATCTTGGTCAAGGAAGTATCCTCAAAGAATCCCCTGGTCCATTGACTGATCCGATGGAATGGCATATGGCTGTGCATTGTCTGACAGCAATGAGTACAGAAGAGCGGCTCGGCCACACAGCCGTGACATCTGTAGACCCCATCCTTTGGACAGAATGACCAGGTTCTGTTTGAAGGTGGACCCTCTCACTGAAGGAGCAAGTCCAAGTAGTTGTCGGTCTTGGACTGCCACTCACGCAGATAGTCATTTTGACTCTTGATACTTCGGTGTCAGTGAATGTGACAAGGCAAGCAAATGGTGAGCTTGCCATGGACTTGGGAAGCCGACACGGCTCCAAGTTGCATTGAGCGAGGTCATAGTGTTCATAGTCACCCTCTGCATGAAGTCCTCTGGTGGATCCTTGCTTGGTAGGTGATTTTCTGGGGGATGAATGAACCAATTGGGTTTGGTTGGAACATTGAGCTTTGACAAATCATCCTTTATCTCCCCTAGATGTTCGTTTGTCCTCCCATTGAACCAAAGAGGATGTTTTTGGAGGACTCCAGGCCTTTGGCTTTGACTTGACCATGTTCCAAAGTCCTGCTGTGATTGTCTGGATGTGTTGCTGGGAATGGGATGTTTAGACTTTGGGACAGTACAGTGCTTACATGCAACTGCCAAATGCAATGCATCATATGTAATAGTCACTTTGACCTCACGTGAATCATCAGCAAGGATATTCATGGCACAATGTCAATGGTTTATAGTGATTGTGTATATAATACGTCCAGAGCACTTCAGGACCTCTGACTTCACTTGACATACCCACCCATGCATCTGCACCACTTGATAAGTCTTGTAGCAATGGGGTCACACTATTCGGTATGATCTAGCCCTTACGTGCAATGATTACACTGGTATGTCATTCATCTGAATCATTGCTCACATGACCCTTCCTTCCATTTCCTGTTACATCAACCATATCAACCCTCTCCTGCATTCAGATTTGCAGGTCCTTTACTCTAAGCTACCTACTGTGACATGGCTCGGACGAAGATAAAGACAGGGGATCAGCCTCGGTTGAATGACCGAGAGACAACCGCTCTGCAGTCCCATGTTGAGGACTGGGAGAAGGCAGATGGGACCAAATGACGACAGATCTTTAAAGCAGCTGCCAGGGAGGCCAAACTCTTTGCTCCAAAGATGGACAAAGAGCTCTTGAAGCAACAAAAAGAGGTAAGTGTTTTGGCTGTGATGTCAGGTCATTCTGCATTGCAGTGACAGTGGACAGAAATACAGGCAGTGGTTCCACAATCACAAGAAACACAAGGCCGAATGCCAAACCACCAATAAAGCTCCAAAAGAAATGAATGGCACACCAAGTCATCGAAGAGGAACGAAAGGCTGACATCCTTCAGCAAATACAAAAAGAAATTGAGGAGGAGACCAGGGAAAAGCCTGAGCAGAAAGAAGTTTTCAGGAGGTATCAACCCAAGATGACCGCAATCATGAAAGGGCTGGATGACAATGAGTTAGAGAAAGCCCGGGCTAAGGCTGACGAGTGGACCAATCAAGCGCCTGATGCTGCAGTCCAGGCCAAGACGGCAAAGAAGAAGGGCGAAAAGATGATCAAGCACTTTGCCAAGGAGATGTTTACTCAAGCCGGTATGAGACTGTTTGTATTGGGATCCTGGAAGGATGAGCAGGGCAGCCTCCTTACATCTGGGCAAGTTCATGCATTCATTCGGTCGGTTGGTCAGTTGGTCATTGTGTTTACATGGTTTGGCAGGTTCAACTTCAATGAACAGCTCGGCAAGGGCTCCAGCTTCATGGAGTGCAAGGACTGGCAGGTCATCTTACCGGCATGGGAAGATTTCATTGGTGATGTATTCAGTGAGTCTCAAGACCATGTCAGATGTTCCCCCATCTAATCTGTGTCACATCCACCAAGATCAGGATCAAGACCAGGATGGCATGCTGCTCGGAGGCACTCGCCAGGGTTCCAAACCATACTAGTTTGCCAATCTTGCCGGATATTGATGGTTTCTCGCTCAACACCAAGAAGGGTGTCATTTGGTCATTCCTCACCATTCATTATAGTAAGCCTGACATCAGAAAACCTGCATCATCATCTGATACCCGCCGCCACAGGAATGTGCTGTGGAAAGCTGAAGGTTCCAGTTCCTTGGAGCGACATAATGAAGGGACAGTCAAGATTCATCTCCAGTACATACCTGCCAGATGGTACACAGATCATGGAGCCATCCAAAATGCACCGGGACGAAGCCATCTCTTTGTTGGAATGTTGGTTGGACCGACAGGACAACCAAGTCAGCCCAACATTCCAGTTCAAGGCTTGGATTGATGACAAGGGCAAGATGCACCCACCAGGTCGGCAAAGAGTCTGATGACTCTGATGGTGATGCTGACAATGAGGACCGTGCAGCCCATGCCGACCAAAAAGTCACAGGACCACGGTTGCACTGTCACTGCCCTGGACATCCCAAAGGTCGACCGAGATCCATCAAACGGGCTTACATCAGTTCCACCGATGAAGAATCTAGCGACGCTGATGCAGAACTCAGCGATCAAGTTGGACGCCAGTCGGAGTCGGATGACCAACCACCGCCGATGAGCTTGGTGAAGAGCATCAGAGTTGAGCCTGCCACCATCTTACCCCAGACAGACCTGGCACATAAAGACCGACCAATTGTAGATCTGGCGACTGAGGGATCAGAAGATGAAGATTGCGGCAGCAGTGCAACAAACACTGGATATCATTTTCCTGGAGTTCATCATGCTGGACAGCATGCCCATGGTTTTGGCCCACATTCTACTTGTCGGGGTCTGGAACACATTCAGGCATCCCCAGCAGCAAAGGTCCGGGCACCAAACAAGACTAGGGCTACCAGGGATGCATCACTGTCGGTCAAAGCCCGGTCACCAAGGAAGACGGGGGCTACCGCAGATGCTTCACTGGTGGTACAAGACCGGTTGCCGAAGAAGACTAGGGCTACCCAATCAGCAGCATACCCACTCTCTGATGCACCAGCAAAGCGCACCAGAAGTAAGGTTGATGACTTGCTAGGCGCCAGACCTTGGCAAAAGCCCAAGAGATATGCTGACTATGTGTAGTTGTCGGTGGTCTCATGGGGTTCATCGGCCAGCTGCTCACAGTATGAACAGCTTTGGTATATATCATCTGACTGATATTTGTGTATAGCTTTCTCCTTGGCTATGAATCATCTCGCTATATACATCTCATTTGTTCAATGATCTCGGTATATACATGTCATTTATTAACAACCTTTGGTATCAGTACTTGGTCTTATATACTACTGGAATGGGGAATGTCCCCTGCCCATTTTCCTCATTGCCAGTAGCAACACATGCAGCGGATCATCAATCTGGTGCTGCATGTTCATCAGATGCTGCATCCTGACAACATCTTCACCGGCTTCAATCAATTGGTCGCGCACATCCCGATATGCCAATATCAAATCCCGGTTGGCATGCATGATGACTCTTGGAGATGCGACACCATCGATGGCCGAGGTGTGTCCTAGGTCATCTCCTGTCGAGTGGAGGTCAATGTGATGGCAGTGAGGATGAGCTGAAATATGAACGTACTCATTTAAGCGTCGATGCTTTCCAGCCTCAGAGTTGCTCGGTGCAGCAAATCCTCAGTGGTTTCGAACATGTCGCTCGGCGAGCCGTCTCTCGGTACTAGAGATGTATTGGGCAAGCCACGGCCAAAACCCATGTCATAGACAGCCTGAGTGCCAGCGGAGTGACTCTCAGACGACTGCTGTGTGTTAGCAGCTGCACCATACTGTCAGTATCGGCAACTCAAAAAAGGATTTCCGACCGACCTGAGTTGACCAAGTTCATCGCCGGTGCAGTGGTCCCACCAGTGCGAAGGTCATCACCTTCCGCCTGATGGCAAATCTCCCCAGCACATGTCAAAATTGGCTGAGAAATAGTCAGTCTTGAATGGCAATGTACATGACCTGATACTCACCTTCATAACCCACTGCTGATGCAGATGGCCGGTCCTCCCAACACATATCATATTGACTGGCTGCCAATGGTATGGTGACATCCATGGTCAGAGTCTCGATAGTCGCCAGCTCCACTATTGGTGGCGAGTCGACCTTTGATGGGTCCAGTTCATCGTCCCAACAAAGATTGTACTGACCTGCGGCAGCAGGTCTCGCTGCATCCTCGCTCACATTCGGTGCCAGATCAACCTCGGTGTCCCAGCACATGTCGAATGCTGGCCAATGGATCAACAATGGGCGATCATATGGTGATACGTGACTTACTTTGACCTCCAAAGTGTTCACCGGCCGATGATGTTCCAGTCAGCGTCTCCACAGTCGGCAGGTCATTGGCTTCAGTGCTCCAGCACATGTCAAAGACTGACATGTGGTCAACAATTAGCAAAGGTCAATTGAATAGGGGACTTACTTTCATGGCCAAAATATTTCTTGGAAATGTGTCTGCACGATCCAGTCGTGTTCGCATGACTGAGGACAGATGTTTCTTTGGTTGAATGGTGCGGGATGTAGTTGGTCATTTAGGTCGAATGCAAAATTTGTTGAGACCGACAGGAATCACGTCTTTTTGAGGGGATGGAGTCGGCCACAACTTCGGTGGCACCCACTGATCCCACATGACAAAGAAATTCCGGTCAGCTTTGATGCACTCGTCTTGTAACCACCGAGCTTTGTCAATTGGATGCTCGTGGGAATCCATGGTGCTGGCAATGGACTTCGAAAATTTTGTGCTGCCAGTTGGTATTGTTCGGTGTGATTCGAAGTGTGGACCCATCTCGGCAGGTCCCAGCGGCATCACATTTTGCTGACAACACCAGCACAATTTGTGGACTTCATTTTTGTGAAGTCAAATCCACATCCACACACTGTTGTTCCTGATATAACAGAGTCAACACTCATCCTATCTTCTACATTTTTACTATTACATCTCTACAATGTCTTTAACACTCGAATTGAACCAGGCTTTGGCGGTCACCGATGCGTCTTTGTGCCATGCACTCTGCTGGATTAAAATTCATGAAGCAGATGGCAGCGTGGTCATTGACCAAGCTCATGCAGTCACCCGGCTAGTGGTAAGTTTCTGATTCCCGATGTTCTCATTTGCTCACCGACCCTTCACAGTCCACTGCCCTTCAGCAGCATGGCAGAAATGCCTCGCTCATCTTGCTGTTGCTGCTGTCTGCTGCAGCCGAGGTCAGAGTGACCATGAACCAAGGCATCGCCCCACAGTGGGCTCAGGTGCGGGATAATGATACTCGGATGGAGTCCCACCCTTTCTTCCCAAAGACCGTCGGATATGGTGAGTCGGCAGTCATTCTGTCTATCTTCACAGCTCAACGTCTTGACAGTGGCAGGAGGCACACCCGAACCTGCACCTCAAGTCGCCCCAGCTCCAGCTCCAGCTCCAACCCCTGCACCAATGTCGGTCCCTCTGATCGAATCACTCCCTACCACCGGGCACCAGCACAATCTTCTTGTGCCTGGCACGATGACTGGTAAGGGCAAACAGCCTGCCTGCAGGACTCAGAGATCCCAAGAGGACAGCCTAAGCACTGAGACGGGCCAGAAGAAGCGCAAGGTCTCAAGGCCCTTGTCCAAAGCCTTGGTCTCCAACACCAAGGATGAGGATGGTCAGCCAGGAGGCACCGTTGTGGTTGTAAAGCCAGCCAGTCCACTGAAGTCCAAGGTAAGCACTTCGGTGAATTCAATATCAACACCATCGCTGACTCATGGACAGGGCATGACCAAAGGCATCAAGAAGGTGAGATTTACCTTTGCCCACCAGCGATCACCCCTCAACAATTCTCAGACGCATGCCGAGGACACCATTGGTCGCACACCAGCAAAGGGCAAAGGAAAGGAGAAGGCCAAGGAAGTTGCTGAGCCCATTAGAGGGCGCCCACTAGCCAAGGCTGATGCTGGGGCTAAGACTGAGTGTTCTATCTCTGCTCGGTCACCGAGTACTCACAGTGTGATAGTACGATCCACCTTGCAAGAGGTGTGTCAATGAGCCTTGCCTTGTCATCATCAGCAAGAAAGGGCAGGTCATGAGGTCCTGCAGCCTCATGAAGGTGAAGTGTGACCAACTGATGTCGGTCCATTCTGACACTCCTGTGCCGATGGCACACCCGAGGTCCAGGGCTGCACCGGCCTCCAAGAAGGTTCCCCCAACAGCAACCCCGAGGTCCAAGTCCAATGGTCTGCTCAGGAGAACCAGAGCAACCTCACGGGCACGTCCACCGACTCCCATCTTGGAGTCTGAAGAGGAAGCTGTCAAGGCTACCGGTAAGCAATCGTTTCTCGTATCATAATGTCCTCTAACCTTTGCTTCTAGATGTGTCCATCACAGGTGATGATGACGCCAACATGGAGCCCACTGCCAATGCCCCGGCTGAGCCTGCAGTGGATGACAAGATCGTCGTCGATGAGCCTCGGGCCATTGCATCTGCGGATGACTTCCCTGCCGATCATTGGGTGGAGCCCAACTCCGATTACTTCATCATTCCGACAGCAGCTCCTGCAGCCGGAGATGTTTCCCTCCCTTCAGCATCTCTCCCACCGGCTGTCAGTGCCATCCACGAATGCGTGGTTTCCCTGGCTGCTAAGGTCACTGCCATGCAACTCGCCGACAAGAATACCCTTGCCAGGGTCGATGCGGTGCAGCAGGACTGAAAAACCCGGATCTCCTTGATGCGTGCGGAGCTTTCCTCAATGCAGTTCGATCTCGGCACCACTGTCAACCTCGTCAATGGCCTGACCAGCCTGGTGGAGAAGCTTCAGCAGGCACAGACCATTGCCAACCCATTGTTCCCACCACCGATGATGAGCAACTTTGGTGCTACCTCGGCCACCCCACAGATGCAAGTGATGGGCATCAGGTACTTGAATGGTGTGTACAGCCCTTCGGTTGCTACCTCGGCATCTGCTGCAGACCCTTCGGCATCTCGCCCTTTTGGTCGCCCTGACATGCACGGTGACACATTCACATCTGGCCAAGCATCCTCAATGTCAGCACATGCCAGTCCTTCATCCGCTCCTGCTGTAGTTGGACCCCATTCTGCTGGAACATCACCTGCTTCGGCCGCAAAGTCTCTCCCCTGATCATTCAGCTCAATACATAGTTGTACATAGAGCATGCGTCTGTCGGCAGAATTACCCCGGTATATCACGGACTTGTATTACTTACTTTCAAATGCAATTGTTTGGCCGTTGATTCCATGTATATTCACTCTCTTTCCTGTGATATAAGTACCGACAGCAAGTCAGCAGAGTGTATCTCAGTCATGTGTTGCAGTTGGCACGGTATCCTTCAGTTTCTTGTCTTTTCAGAATTGACCAATTTATACTCCATATGACCGATTGCCCAATCTCGGTCGCCGCATCACACATGCCGATGAGATTCCATGCAACTGAAACTTCACCAACTCGTACAATTCACCAATATCTTCTTGCCATCGTCTTCAGCTCAGCAGTCCTCCCCTCCTTGCACCGCCGCTTCCACGAACGGAGCCAATGGCAACCATTCTGGCACTCCTACACCTGAGTGGCACCATCTAAATTACTAATAAGTAATTATGTCAGGTACCTGAACCCTTTACTAACTAGTAGCACATAGCCACATTCTACTCATCAAAGACTTCCAGAGCAACCCTGACTCAAGTATGGAGGGACCAGTTAGCATTTGAAGAAGAGCAATGTGTCGCCAACAACCGTATGTCCACCTACTATTCTTTTAACAATCTTTTCTAACACTATGTAGAGTTAACAGCCAAGACATGGCAACTCCTTGCAGAGGCAGCACTTGAAGCTGGCCGGACATCAGCCAGGGACTCTGCACGTTCTCCTGAGTATGAGAATTGGGACCATGCCAACTATGATGAGAATGGGGCTGAGGCTGATGATACCGACACTCAACACAATGATGGCGGTGAGGACGATGAGGGTGATGTTGCAACTGTAGGACAAGATGCTCTCAGTGCCACTCACGCACAAGTAATTTTTTGGTAAGTCAAGCCCTTTGTTCTCTTAACATCTATCTCACAATGTATTAGTTTGCAAGGCAGGAAGAATTTGTGACATCGAGCCCCTCATACTCGTCTCCTATGCAATCAACAGATGCATGCTGCATGGTCCCGTCAAATGATGGACCTGGTTGATGCCTTTTTGTCATGGAAGTACTGGGGCATTCAAACGAGTGATATACCAGGGTCTATATTTCATGTTACGAGTGTCGGCATCACAAGTAAGTGTCAAGCAAACTGGGGGTCTTATTGATAAGTCAACATTCACAGGTTTTCATAGCCTTAAACTAATCCACCTAGAAGCTAGATGAGCCTGCCAATGTTTCCTTGATCAAAGCCAGCTTTCTGGGCTGTTCTCCTTTACAACCTACCACCGCTATCTCTCTGGAATGTCTAGAGCTCTACCATCAAATCCACTGCCGCAAATCTTCATTTAGCGTGCAAGCAATGGTAAAAGTTCTTTGCGCTCTTCTTAATGTGCGTTGATTCATATCCCCACATCCTATGCTACTAATATTCAGCAGCATACTTACTTTCAATCGTTCCAAGATCAATTTGCCATTGCATTTGATGCTTATCTATGTATATTGTGTCATGTCCAGAGTCTCGTTGATCAGGCGCTCGGACAGTGATAGACCCAACTGGAGGATGATCAATGCTTGTCCACCCTGCACTTATAGGGTAATCATTATGACATGTACTTCTAGTTCACAGTCTAATTTTCATTTAGCAAGCTAATGAAGAACCACTTGACCCGGCTTGACTTGACAGCATGGATGGCAATACTTCACTGAAGTGTGTTGATGGATCTGGCCATGCAGATGAACAAGTTTTTCCATCAACTTACTTGATCCCTCCTTCGGAAGTTGAGTTGTTTAAGGACGATGTTCGGCTGCGCCCAGGCACTCACATCACCACTGATGGCTCTCCCACTGCTGCTAGTGACCACTCTGCGTGCACGGAGAATTGGAAGATGGCCAATACCATAACTGAGAACACCATCACTGTCTTTGATCAGATGGGAATTTTCGTCAGCGCCTGTTGTCATGGCATTGTACAGACATTGGTGGAGATGCGTAAGAGTGGCGAACTGTATGCCATAAGTATCTGTCACTCTTGTGCATGTCGTATTAATTTTTTTTAAGTGCAAAATATGCGCTAGCCACCACAAACAAGGTTAATGATGTCTATGGTCCAAATGGTGCCACAGGCTATGATATTGGGTGTTCATACGGCAAAACTGTCACCGCCAGTTCGATCTCATTGAAGGCCAGTACTAATCACCATCGCTTCCTAGTCAATTCATTCCATGGTCACGCTCACAATCGACAATGTCAACTACAATTTCATGCGCTCTATCAGAATGGTCTCGGCATCGAAGACTTGGAAACTTGCGAACAAGTCTTCTCCACTTCTAATGCCGTAGTGCCCGTCATACATCACACATCATACTTTCATTGGTTACAGTTCATCGAGCTTCATTTTGACCAATGGGACTCGGATAAGTACTTGGAACTTAGTAGGTTTTTGCTTGAGTCAAGATTTGTTGCACTAATAACTTTTTTGTAGGTAAATTCATCTACAACAACTACAAGCAGGCACTCCATATTATCAACAAGCTAACACCCGCAGTGCAAGAGCTCAAGGTGCAACTGGGGTTGAGTGACGCAGATTTCGTAAAGTGGAATGCCAAGGAATTGGAGTACTTGCAGAGTCTCACAGTCGAGACTGAAGACGATGTCGAGAAAATGATATATGTTGAAGCCCTGGAGACATTGGCACGCTCGGAGCAAGTGTTTTTTTTTAAAAAAAATTATGCACATGAAACTAAGTTTAATCAATGATATCTTCAGGGCAGCATACGGGTGAGCAACATCTGTTCAGTTCCTGACGTATACTCCCACCGATTTCACACCAACTCAGGGGCTTCGAAAGAGTGCGCAAACTGTTGCGCGAGCTCGAGAGGCAGAGCGCAGTGCAGCATACCGCAGGTTGGTGCTCAACATGAATGCAGTCGATGACCTTGAACGACGGATGGGTATTACCAAGCATTGGACCCCAGAACAAGAGGAATATAAGTGTGCACTTGATCTTTTAACGAATTGCTGTTTCATTTGCATCGTTGAGCAGCTCGAGGGATTGGTGGTAAAGAGGTTATTCGAGTTAGCAAAAGCAAATCTTGCGGGGACTGGTACATTTTTTCAGCATGCTGAACAAGTACTGATTCAGGTGTCGACTACAGGGTACAAATTATGTCAACACATCTCCAACACTATTGCTCGACATTCTGCTGCCATACATGCGGCACTGGACAAATACAACAATCTTGCACCTCTGCAAAACCCGCCACGACCTACTCTAGAGTACCATGAAGTTGCATCCTACACATGGTTGGGGGAATTCAACTTATTGAAGCATTCTTGGCGAGATCTACTCTCCAAGCCTTGGGCTTCAAAAACTAATCGTGAAGTCGCCGCAAAGTATTTTAAAGTCTTACATGCGCATGAGGAGATCACTTGGTTGAATGTCGAAGTAGCTCGGCTTCACAGATGGGTAGACGACGAAGATGCACATCTCTCATCAGTTGCACTGCTCACTCTCGGAATCAAATCCTGCACTTGCATATGAAATTCAGCATCAATTCAAGGATTGTCGTCGGGTGAATTGTATTCACCGCACTAGACTTGAAGCGGTTTACAATCTACCAGGTTACAGTGGTCTCATTCAGGAGGTTGAAGAAAGGAGGGACAGAGATGATGGCGTTGAATTGGTGTTATCTGACTTGGGTGGTTCCTCTACAATTCTTGTGGATGAGGATGATGCTCTCTGTGATGAAGCTAGTCATCTTGATGCTTGTATGTCTGAGTAGATGTAGAAATGATATTTGTATTGATGTCAGTATGTCTTAACGGCTTGCATTCTTAATGGCTTGCATATCTACACAGACTTGTGCCACACACATCCATTTGTAACGCATCATAACACGTCCATTCGTAACACATCATAATGATCTGGATTTGAACTTGTACCTCCATGTTGCACCTGAGCTGTACCTGAAGCGAGGTTGGTTGCAGGTGATGCCACCGCAAGTCCATTTGTAACGCATCATGATAATGATATGGATTTACACAATTTGCTAAGTGAGCTTCACTGGCGCCTCACAGCTTACTTTCTATCACCTCTCTCGATGTTACCTGCTGCTGAACCTCACACTCCAAATTGTACATTCACAATGCCTGCAGGACATCTTGCAACAATGTCATGGCTTGATCTTGCTGTAGGCCCTAATACAACGGTATGAACATTCCCTTTGGCTTCATCATGATAGGCTCAATCCATTCCTCTGCGGCTGTAGAATTCGATCTTTGTTGGATTCGAAGCTCAGTACTTATTTGCCAATCAGTCTCATGTCAATCAAAACCAGCCAATGATACTCGTAAACGTTCAAAGGTCCCCATACTTGAACATCATGGACAAGCAAAGACTCGTTGACTCAGATGCACCAGTATCTCAAGCAATCCTGTTAATGCAAGATATATTCACTTTGGCAGTAGCACAAGAAATGTTGAAGAAGATTTTTAAGAAGTGGAATACAACAGGGCGCATAAGCACAAAATCTTGCAGTAAGTTGCCTTGGTTCATTCGGATTGCCTGTTATGTACCGTGCTGGCTCAAGAGGCAGAGGGGTCGGGGCTTGGCTTCAGCTCTTGTGCTGCGCCCTTAGCCGAGTATGTGCCCCGAATTTGGAGTGGGTCCGATGTTGTCCGATGGTAGGACGAGTGGACCACTTGGGTCCACTTTGGGGGTCAGGAAGTAAGAGCTGCTAGCGGCGGACTGACTAGGAGTGGAGTGGAGAAGGCGGGGAACGATGCAGAGGGTGGATAGGAACCAGGGAGATATTTTGATAGGAGCGGAGATGGCGGAGGATAATGGAGAGGATAGGAAAAGGGGTGATAGGAGAATATTGATAGGGGCGGGGTAATAAGGGAAAGACTTAGAGCACGGCTCTAAGTCGGAGCGGAGGGTCGGAGGGTCGGAGGTGACAACAAGTTGAGACTTGTGTCCAGAGAAGACAAGGTCCTACTGAGAATTCTCACAGGATATAACTGCGAGAAGACAAGTAATATTAAGACTAAGGAAAAATATCTAAGTACAGGATATGTTATATACTTCTATGTGTGAGGCAGTGATCAGGATAACTATGTAGTAAAGCTATGTACCGAGGATATAGTTTGTAAGTACTTTACATAGGCGAAGACATAAGTCGGAGCGGATATCAATATGTATGCGTCGGATCAGTGATCGGGCGGTAATAGGAATTACCAGTGATCTGGAAGTGAGGGTCTATGTACCGAAAAGGAAAGCATATACCTAAAAGGGGAAAGAGGTCCAGTTGAATGGAGAGATTATGGAAGGGGACTGGTTGAGCGGTTGAGCGGACACGTAGGGCGGAATGCGGACTTGTGATTGGGTGGAGTGGAGGATGAATGGAGCAGAGGGGGTCGGAAAGCGGAGCAGATATTGATATGGGAGCGGTCAGATCAGGTATATGACATTGCCTTACATTGTTCTATATTGACTGTCCTTACACAGCCGGTAACATCTTTCAACAAGGAAGCCGTGCCTCACTGGAATTTCCCCCCTCGCCATCACATATTCAGCCTCCACCACCTCGGGACTTCATTCTTGCACCTTCAAGTAGAATACCTAAGGCAACCCGCAGGCATGTACATACTTGTAATCAAACTCAACCACGAGAACAGACTGCCCCGGAAACAACCAATATTAGACCTTTGTATCCTCCCCCATGTACTCACCATCAAACTGAACCACTAGTGCAGGCCGTCCAACCAACAACCAACCTTTGTCCTTTGGGTCCTCCCCCAGCTCGGGAGTTCATCCTCACACCACAGGCTGTCCAACCAACAACCAAGCTTCGTCCTTTGGGTCCTCCCCCAGCCCAGGAGTTCATCCTCACACCATCTGCTATACACTGCAGGACTGCTTGTGGGCTGCATACTCGTGTGACATCACCTCAGCACTCTGTAGTAGTTCCTGCACAAGAAACCACCGAACTCACTTCACGTATCGACAATGTGAGTTTCATTATTCCATTCCCATACATCGCTCACCTTCCATTCACAGCATCTCGTCAATCAACCGAGATTCAGCAGCCCTACCACCACCATACGTGAGTGATTGTGATAATTAACATTCACTCAGCATAATTTTTCATAGGTTCAATTTCAACAGTATCAGATGTGTCCAGTTCCTCAAACTCACTTTCCATCGAACTTCCGACACAATCACAAGTCCTTTCTACTTGTTCCAGTGACATTGAGCCAAGTAGTGGACTTAGAGTGACAGGCCATGATGGTAGTACCACAGCGGTATTTATTTTTTGATCTGTCACTCTGTATGTCACTGATGAATTTTTTGAAGCAGGACTCTGCTATCAGCTCCATCTCAGAAGGTTCAGATGCTGTGCGCCATGTGATGCCTAACACTAGTGCCAATGCCTCCGATTTTATGACAAGTGTGGTTCATGTAATTCCCATTACACAGTCACATGATTATCCACAGTTTGGGCTTGGGGCCCTTCATCCACTTCTTCGTGGTGGGAGACCTCAAATGTTGGGTGCCAGTGATACTGCCCCTCCATCTTACTCTGACTCAGTTGCTGCAGGACAAGAATCTGTCTTTGTGGTGACAAGGTCAAATATCCAGTAACTCAGCTTAGGCTAGGCTAGGAACAGTATGATACTGAAATTTAAAATATTGATCTCTGAATCACCTTTATAATATATACATTTTATGAACCGAAAATCTTTTCAAAAAAAGTGCACTGATCCATACTACATCTTGTCCTACCTCTTGTCCATTCATCATAGTGGCTAATGGTTGTCAGCATCACTCCCAAAGTCAAGCACATTAGGCTGAAGCTTACGTCAGCCCAAAAGGCTTCGTGTCATGACAAGGCCGTTGACCTTTCCAATGCTATCAACGATGCATGTGAAGCATATCGAGAGGAAGCGGCCACTATTTCGGAAAAATACAAACAGTTAGGGCACAAATCTGCATAACACCCTCAACACTTACCTGGCCACAAAACAGGAGTATTAAATGGACTCTGCTTCAGTTATACAATAACTGAGGGCTGCACGAGTGCAGGAGCCCAAACACGTGGAACATGTTCACAAGTCAAAAGCTAAACGAAGCAAATGAAGGTATCAGCGTGTTCCTTTGTTGGTTTCTGAAAACCAATACCCCACAGATCTTCCTGCTGGACGACTGCTGGAAACTCCCAGCATTCATTGCGGAACATCAGCAAGATCTCACCGCTGAATATGTACACCTCTCTGCATCTCAAAAGGAACAACTCAGGCACCATGTCCTCAATTTACGCAAGAACCGCATCAAAATTGTGCGTTCAAATCCAAAGGCATTACAAAAACAAGTCAATGCAATGTTTGAGAGCATGGAACAAGAAGTACGTACCTCAAAAATGTCTCTTCCCTTCATTAATTGAGGGACAAATAGTGGCAAAATATCACGGCTAGAACAGGAGTCGAGGGTTTCTACGTTGCCGTTTGTGGGGACGTTGAGCACTTTCACGAGTCGAATATTTTTTACACACCTAAGGCGAAGTCTTTCATCAAGGAAATCACCCATCTAGACCCAAAGCGCTTTGCACTGAAGTTTGAATCATGGGTAATGGGGAACTTTGGTAAGCGTGTGAGTCCATTCCATAGCCGACAAAATACCCACCTTCACTAGATAACCATGCTGATGCAACACAACACCTATCTCCTTTGAAGCTTATTAGTCTATGTCAAACCAATATTCAAGAGGGTCTCAGTAAGTACTGTTGGTTGCTGTTCGAACTTTGCTGATAGGTGCCAAGATGCGATCAACACAAAAAACAACCTGTTGAAGAAGAAGATCAATATGAACTATGATAACTACGAGAACAAAATTGTCGAGAAGCACAGGATCATTCTTGAAGGGTGGACATACAGACAAGTTCAAAATCCTGGAAAGATTGGGCACCGTGAAGATCTAGTGACTCTCCTTAACGCGTTGGTGAATGGCCGCTGTGTGTGGGTTAAACTGAGTGAACAAAATTTGGAGCAGCGCATGGAAAGCAACCGTGAGCGTGCCAAGAATGGCGAGTCCATCTACAAGCCTCGCAAGACCATGAAAAAGAATCCACCTGGTGCTGCTAAAAGTGCAGCAGTGATTGAGGATAGCGATGTGTCCCAGGACGAGAGTGAGGAGGAAGTTGAGGGTGAGATGCAGTCGGTGCAGGACCATGGTGCAGCGGTCGAGGAGTAGTCACTATCTCAGTCACGGTACAGTGTCATCTATGTCAGAACACTAGAACACTAGAATACTGAATACATGATAAGTGAAGGCCTGAAATACAACGAGTTCAATGCAAAAACACTAGCACCCACTATTATAAACACCTCCAGACATAATCCACCAAGAAACGGGCAGGAACAAGCTGTAGGTTGAGCTGGTCGTCGGAGATGATGAGTGCAGCTCTACAGGTGATATCATTAGTAAGCGGAAGCAGTAAGATTTCATGATAGACATTGTATATCATACATTACCGCTGGTTTGAGGATGTGACGAGGAGGAGAAGATAAGATGGGACCATTAGAAAGAAGTCCTGAAAAAAACCACTGAGAAACAGGCACAGATAAGCCATATGTTGAGCTTGTCGTTGGGGACGATGGGCAGCAGCTAAGCGGGTGATAAGCGGACGCAGTGACAATGGTGGGAAAACGGTCGATGACGCTATTCAGGATTAGGCAGGGGTGACTCATTGCCGCCAAGAACAGCCATGGTCATATTAAGTAAGACAAGGACACTGAATAGCCAAGGTAATGCTGGTTTACTGGTTTTATTGCTGGTATAGTAGAATGTGGCTATGTGCTACTAGTTAGTAAAGGGTTCAGGTACCTGACATAATTACTTATTAGTAATTTAGATGGTGCCACTCAGGTGCACTCCTATGCCAGATGGTGACTTGGTCAGGCTGATCGCCGCATCCAATGGCATCGCTGCCACAACTCTCAATGGCACAGCACATCAACCGACAGACGTGCAGATGTCACCTCCTGTGGAACCTCCCCAGTCCAATCAGACTGGCTCACCAGCGTGTCTCAAGGCTGAGTCTCAGCACATTCTGGTATCTGTCCCACTCAGTAGTTACCACATCCCTATGAACGGCTATGCCACCCTGCCTAATGGCACCGTCATGCAGGTGCCGTGACTGCCGAATGGCTTCATGCAGCAATGTCTTCTGACCGAGTCATATTTACCCAAGTGCCCTTTTGACCGAGTCGCATTTACCCAAGTGTCTCTTGACCGAGTGTCTTTTGACCAAGTCATATTTGACTGAGTCGTATTTACCAAGTGTCTTTTGACCAAGTCATATTTGACCGAGTCATATTTACCTGAGTGGTCTCTTGCACCACCGCGTGTCTTTTGACCAAGTCATATTTGACCAAGTTGTATTTACCAAGTGTCTTTCGACCGAGTCATATTTGGACCGGAGTCGTATTTACCCAAGTGTCTTTTGACCCGTTGTCATATTTAACCAAGGTGCACTTAGCATGTATATTATGCATCGGATCCTGGTAGATCCCTCATCCATCATATTTGACCGAATGTCTGTTGACCGAGTTGTATTTGACCAAGTGTATTTGACCGGGGTGGTCTTGGCATTTATATTATGGATTGATTCCTGGTAATCCCTCATCCATCATATTTGACCGAATGTCCTTTGACCGAGGTGGTCTTGGCATGTATATTATGGAAGCTAGTCTATGAACACTTTCAGCCCATCTGTATATATCAGTACCACTGCCCACTCGACCCACTTGTTTCCATCATACATATATATATACATATATATATAGCTCTTGTATATTGCCTATCAAATGCAATAGCAAACTCCACACTTTGGACTATCAGCCCACCTGTTGGTATCAGGTACATACTTCATACACTACCTACCAAAATCAATAGAAAAGTCTACACTTATCTACACTACATACTATGGGCCCACTGTTTGTATCAGATACACACTTGAGACCAGCCCACCTGTTGGTATCAGGTACATACTTCATACACTACCTACCAAAGTCAATAGAAAAGTCTACACTTATCTACTACACCACATACTATGGGCCCCCTGTTTGTATCAGATACACACTTGAGACCGGCCCACCTGTATTTAACACAAAGATACATTGATGGGCCCAAGTCGGGTGGCCTGTGTAGAACAGGGATATTTCAACCTCGGCTGTATGTTTTATATGAGGGTAAAGTGACTGCAGTATGTGTGATTGGAAGGGTGCATATACCCACTTTGCTGATGATCATAATGAGTAACAGGAAATAGGAGTGGAACAAACTCACAGTTCGTGCAAGTGGTTGTATCCTATTCCAGGATGAGGAACCTGCCAGTGGAAGTTGAGGCTGATTGTTATCGTGCTGTGGGGTATCTAGAAAAGGATCTTGAGATAGACCAAACATATCCAGAAGAGGGGAAGGTGTAGTTGTTTCCGGTGTTGACAGACTCGAAGAAGAGCCTGAGTACTCTTGATTAAGGAGAGAACTAGAATTAAACAATGAAGAAGACAAAAGACTGTGGTAGTTCTGAGGGGCAGAAGACTTGTATGCAGTTGGCGTGAAGTTCATGATGATGTTGGTGGTATAAAGATAAGGTGCATGTTACAATGAAGTCACAAGTCGAGAAAGGAAACTCTCTAAGTCCATCGTCAGTATGCTACCACCAGCAGTCAAAAGCCTTCTCAACATATCATCTGATCCTGACCTTGATGGCTACAGTGGCTCAAAAAACTGTCCACATGTTTTCACATTTTTCACTATCTATGATATTTTATGAGAATGTACAAACACATCAAGGACATGCTGGTACCATATTGGAGTACTACTTCAGGGCTTCCAATTGAGCCCTATGGCGTGGGAATCAGCCGAGATATGGTGGACATATGAGGCTTACAAAATGATGACTCATGCGGACAGTTTTTTGACTCAAATATTTTACAGTGATAATCAGGTATTCTAGTACATTGTGTGACCTCCCTTGGCTTTAATTACTGCCTCTATCCTTCTAGGCATACTCTTAAAACTATATCTAACTATATAAACCAGAATGTCTTATGTGTCATAGTCATAATCACTATGAAAGCCATCTCCTCTGCTCAAAGGGATACTATCCTCTCTTTGTCCTATGCTGGCCTCTCTGCTCATCAAATTTTCTCTAGAACTGAAGTATGCAAGTCTACTGTGGCCAAGTGTATCAAAGAAAGCCATCTGGACAAGGAAAACTCTTGTGGAGGACGTCCACCTCTGCTAATAAGAGGGCTATCATCCAACATATCACTACAGGAAAGGCTAATGATGCCGTCCAAGCCACCCATTATATCAATTCCACCATCACCACCACTGTCTCTTCACAAACTGTGAGGAATGTTCTCAAGGCAGTTCATCTCAAGGCAGTAACAAAGAAGAAATGCCTCTTCTCTCTATCAAACATAGACAGAGAAGACTACCTTTGGCTTGGCCCATCAAAACTGGACTGTAGAGGACTGGAAGCATGTTATATGGTCAGATGAGACCAAAATCGATAGGATTGGGTCAGATGGGAAGGTATATGTGTGGAAAAAGAAGAGGGATTTTCTAACAGACAGAGAGGTTAGTGAGACTGTCAAATTTGGAGAAGGTTCTCTAATTGTATGGGGCTGTATGGGATGGAATGGTGTGGATATACTTGCTGAAGTTGAGGGGAGGATGGATGCTGAGCAGTATGTGGACATTCTAAATGACCACTTGCTGTCTAGCATAGCTGAATTAGGGATTGATGAAAAAGACATCATTTCCCAACAGGATCATGATCCCCAGCACACATCTAGAAGAGCCAGACAATGGTTTAAAGAACATAATATCAATGTTCTTGACTGACCAGCACAGTCCCCTGATGTCAATGTCATTGAACATCTCTGGGGAACACTCAAGAAGAAGCTTCAAGCCTATGAAACCCCCCCTAAAGTAGTATAGGAGCTATGGGAGAGAGTAGCAGTGGAATGAGCAAGGATTACAGCAGAATATTTCCAGAAATTGATTGAGAGTATGCCTAGAAGGATAGAGGCAGTAATTAAAGCCAAGGGAGGTCACACAATGTACTAGAATACCTGATTATCACTGTAAAATATTTGAGTCAAAAAACTGTCCGCATGAGTCATCATTTTGTAAGCCTCATATGTCCACCATATCTTGGCCGATTCCCACGCCATATGGCTCAATTGGAAGCCCTGAAGTAGTACTCCAATATGGTACCAGCATGTCCTTGATGTGTTTGTACATTCTCACACAATATCATTGACAGTGAAAAATGCGAAAACATGTGGACAGTTTTTTGAGCCACTGTATAATGCTGATACTAGGTAAGCTTCGCTTGCATCATTACAGGTCCACAATGTAACAGTATTGAATATTGATATAGTTTTGATGCAAATGATGCCGACACTCACTCCAGTACCCCAGTCATGACACCATCTGACGATTTCATGTTAGATCCGAAAAATTGGTTCTCATTTGCCCATCAGAGGTCTCTAATAGACTTACCACAAGGTCCATAACCACTACAGCAAGATTGATTTTTTTTTCACATTGTACCTTAATTAAATTAAGCTCAGTGTTGCACCCGTCCCACCTGCACCCATCCCAGCTCATGTTTACGACTCTGGCAGCACAACAGAGCCCGAAAGTGAACCAGACCCACCTGCACCCATCCCACCCCTGCCAGTGCACCAGCTCGTGTCTTTGACTCTGGCAGTACGACTGAAAGCGAAAGTGAAATGGACCCACCTGCACCCATCCCAGCTCGTGTCTATGACTCCGGCAGCATGACCGAAAGCGAAAGTGAACCAGACCCACCTGCACTTGTACCTGCACCTGTCCCAGCTCGCATCTTTGACTCCAGCAGCATGACCGAAAGTGAAAGTGAACCAGACCCACCTGTACCACCTGTCAATGTTGATGTGACAGTATCACACGAACGAACACCCTGTTTGGACCGTCATTGTATGTTTGCAACTCCGAGTCCCCCACCTCCCGGGTCACTGTACTGGAAGTATTTTACGAAGGAGGAGGATATGAAATTTATGATTGTGCTGGGACAGATGAGAGCTTTCATGCTGTGTGACAGAAAAAAACAAGAACTACAGGCACTTCTAGACAAATAGTTGGTTACCCTTTGTACTACTGTTAATCAACCTTCCTCCTCATCATCACTGTCTTCTTCCTCATCCTCATCCTCGTTTGTTACTCCAACACTTGCAATATCTAAGCCTGGCTTCTCAAATTATGAAAAAGCAATCTTCCTCTGCACCAGAAGGCAGTTTTGGGCGGTGTGGAGCCATTGAAACAACTGATTGGATTGATTTTACATTGACCACAGACAATGCATCATTGCCATGATGAGTACATGATCAGAGGGTGTTGTGTGATATGGTGAGCAAATTGCCATCGAGGCTTGTCCTCGTCATCTGATTCAAAGAAATCATGGCGCTGGTTGTTTGGGTTCCGGACAGCCAATTGAGCAAAGTATATCACTTCTGTGAAATGATCAACACCATTAATTTGAACCTTGTCAATATATTGAGTCGAGTCAGTCACATAACACAACAGGTAATGTCATACCTTCACATTGCGAGACACCCTGGTTTTCTCCAAAGGTTTGAGTGTTTCTCACCATGCTAATCAAACAATTTGCCCATTGGGTAACTGCAAATGTGCCCATCGGCGGAACCTCGGTGGTGGTTGACCTAAGTAAACACTGATTACCACTGCTTCAGCACTACCAGGTGGAAGCGTAATTGGGCGTTTGTCGGATTTGCGAAGGAGTACATATGATTCGCCTAGATCACAAGCTCCGCGAGGAAGAGAATCACAAGATTTATTGTAGTGGGAGAGAATGGCCATGAGAGCATTCACTTGACACCTTTGGATTCCCTGTTGAGCTAAGTTTGAAAATGGGTTTGATGGTTGTCGAATTTCCTGCCTGAGATTGCCTATGGTGCATTCCATCGTCCACTGCAAGGAACATATTGGTGAGCCTACACGAGTGCATTCTGATGCAAGGTGGTTAGAAAGGTGAACACATGGGCGAACAAAATGTAGATGATCAACACGACGTTGATAGTAGAGTTCTTCAAACTCTGTTTCCCACTCTGCAAAGCATTCAGAAGCTTCGAGAACCTGGGCCGGAGTGATGCTGTACTGACTCATGAGTTGAAGTCCATGTACAAATTGACAGAAGTTGCAATAATACAGGTCTGGAATCAGGCCGTAAAAAAGTCCAGGCCCATAGCTGAACAACCAAGTAATGTACTCTGCTGCCTTGTAGTATGTGTTGATTTTTTCTTCAGGATTACGAGGGGGTCGGGCAAACAAACCAGGCAAGTGGGGCTGCAATGCAGCAACAACTGCACCATGATTTACCCAAGTTTCACCTGTGAGAACTGACCACGGCCAATTCTCCCAATCATCACTCCGTCCGCATGACATTTCACCATGCCAAATATCCACGAACAGCACTACTGTATTAGCGCCAGCAAAATGCATGATCTTGGAAGAAAAGCACTCTGGTACACCCAAGATGTGATCAGGCTGAAGGCCAAGAAGAAAACTCGGTCCAACAATTCCTGTCTGGAGGCGGTGTTGCTCGTACTGCACTTGGTTTGGTGCTTGCATTAGCAAGTGCAGGCTCTGACAATAATTTGCTGATGTTTCGATTGGAAGATGATAAACGTTGATGTCACCATGATCACAGCCTGCAATGTTGTAATTGTCAGGCTTAAGAAGGACAGGATAGTAGTGAGGGGCACCAGGCTTTTGACACCCCTGGAGCCCACAGTGCATACAACAACCGTAGCGACCCGTATGCCCAATGAGGTTACTCAATGAGAGTAACCCAGGGCCATCAGCAAGACCGAGAATAAGAAAGAGATATGAGATGAAGTTTGTGTCGCGAGAAGCATCCCAAACATTGAGACCTTCTTTTTGAAGTGCAGAAAGATGGTGGAATCCAGGGAATAGAAATGATTCAATGAACTTGGGCTTCTTGGATCCCAGTATGATGCCACCAGGTAGGACATGTTTCTTGTAGCGATGATCGGGAGAAAGCTCTGCAACAATCCAGATGTAGATCCAACAATCTGACTCTTTGTTCTCGTATAGCTGTGCTCCATTGAGGGAAACCATGAGGACCACGCCGTTCTCTACAATACAACCTTGGACAGCATTGAGATATGCACTGCCTGTAAACAGGTCGTCATAAGCATCAACAAGGCCATCATTTCACACAAGTTCTTCGGCAATTTGTTGGGTACATCGTTTGCAGTACTGCATCTGGTGAGTGCTGTCAGGATCACACCAAAGGGCCTGAATTTGTGGTCCAATTGGGATCATGTGGGACACAGCCTGTGGAACTTTCACTTTGCCTTGACTCTTCCGGAGCTTGATCTGATCATAACGGGGTGTTCCACACTCCAGACAAGTCTCACAATCTGCATATGGTCCAATGAATGCAACACATGTGTTAATGCACATATGATCAACAATAGAATCACTCCGCTAAGCTCAGCTAAGATTTTTTTGATTCAATAGAGGCTGGGTATATCAGATTCTGGGAAGCATCGATGAGCTGCAGTTCGTATTTCTTCATAAGCTGCTTCTGAAGAGTGTTCGAGTGCGAGAAACATTGAGAGTGCGAAGTCGACAGCAGGATCATCAACAGTTGCTGGGTAGGAAGGGGGATTACGGAGCCTCTCAAGAGCCTCGCCTTTGAGTCCAACACCATCATCTAAGTGAGCTTCCCGAAGTGCATGAATGAACAGCATATCCTGTTGGAGCTTTGGAATGCGTGCCATATTAGACAGTTCATCTAGGTCCAAGTCCCAGAGTGGGCTATGTCTGTGCTCGCGATCGAGTGGCTGTTGTTGGTCCGGGCATGGGTCTGGTTGGTGTTGCATGGGAGGAAAGTCTGGCTCTGGCGGAGGAAAGTCTGGCTCTGGCAGATGAAAGTCTGGCTCTGGTGGAGGAAAGTCTGGCTCTGGAGGATGGAAGTCTGGCTCCAGGAGATTAAGATCTGGCTCTGGGGGATTAAGATCTGGGAGATCATCACAAAGAGATGGTGCTGGTGAGCCTTGTCGACTAGTAGAATTTGTGTCCTAGTTCAATATACCATTAGACGTCAACATAAGTACAGGTCGATGATACATGTACCTGCTCCATGACATCTTCTGATCGATCTCGTTTGCAGGGTACACTGTTGTCGTTGTCATTGTTGTTAGATTCACTCCGACATTTCAAGTCATTTGGACCAGCTGAAGTGCTGGGTACAGGTGCAACAGATGTGCGGAATGCATCAGAAAACTTCGCCAAATGAATACTCTCCTTCTCGTCATCATCTGCTTCTTGAAGATGACGATACCACATTGATCATGATTGGATTAAGGTCCTTTCGCTGTTACAGTACTTGTGACACACACACCAAAAGTCCGACATCGAAGGCTAAGAGTATGTATTATTGACGGGTGCAGCAACAGTGCGACAAGGAGTACATGCACTGAGATATAGCATAGCAACATGTACGAGTAGCAGCCGGACCGGGCACTGCTTACAATTTTTGTTTGCTAAACATGAAGTCAATGCATGAAATGAGCAAGCAATCTTCAAAAAAATAGCTTACCTTTGCAAAAAGCGAAACAGAAAGCAAGAATAACAACGAGTTTTGTAGCCCGAATGTCGCGTTTGCGAAACACGTCGATCACCGTAGATAAGACAATGTATGCAGGGTACAAAGTAGGTTTGCGTATATTTACGTCTGTTTCGGTAGATTTCCGAATGTCCAATGCTCACTGGGGGTGAAGCACGGAGCCTGAAAACCTGCATGTGCCGATTGTGCCGCTTATATATGTAGAGTGTGGACACCGTGTGAGTCTACATATAAATATGTATCTGCTACATGCAGTACTTTCCACAACATATCCTCAAAGGTACGTAGTACATACACCACTGAAGTGTCTAACCTTGCCTGCTACCACGAGCTTCACGATGAGGAAGAACCCGTGGTTTGTCGTGTTCTACTTACTACAATTGACATCCACATCTGACACTAGGGTTGACTCCAACTCCGATGGAAATTATACGGGTGAGTTCCATACCTGCGACTTCGTTTTCAATCAGGCTGAATCGGCACCATTGCATGCTCATGTTTTCTTGTTGGTTGATGGAACATTGAACCGTCGTGACGTGCTTTGGTGATAGAGTGCGAGCTAGGAAGGACATAATTAAAGGCAATCAGCGATTCTGCAGTAGGGCTCTGCAAGTAACCAAGTTGAAGCGGTGTTGCCCAGGTGGCTTGGACAGCATATGATGTCCCGGGTGTTGTTGAACGAGGCTAAGCAGCCCATCCAAAATACGTGTGGAGCATGATGAGTTAGGACAGACGCAGGAATAAGCTGACTCACAATTGTTCTGTAGGCACATGCATGTCTATATAGGCGCCGCCTGCAACAATGCATGAAGGTGCCTACATAACAGCTTAGAGGAACGACTGTCTTCGTTCATCCAGGGTCTGCCTAGGGGAGACATAATAACAGGAGGCGCCATCTGATCCGATCAGCGCCGGCCCAGACAAGGAACAACGAAATGCCACATCTGATTAGCGCTACCCAGACAACCGCTGCGCGACGACAACTAAGGTGCCGAAGGACCACATCATTGCTCATACTAAAATGCGACTTCAATATCGCCTAAAGCGATACAGTCAGCATCATCATCGTCCGCCGCCTGCAGCAGTGCATGAGGGTGTCTAGACTCTGCATAACAGTATAAAGGAATGTACAACAGTCTTCATTCATCTAGGGTCTGCCTGGGAAATCCAGACTAGCTTTATATAAGTAACAAGGCGCTGCTGCAGGGGCGGAATGCCAATCTGATTAGTGCCAAGTCAGACAGACAGCAGCTCTGTGCGACAAAAAAACTAAACGAGGTCTAGACCATAATAGTTTGATATAAGTACAGGGGTGATTGGAATGATAGGTGCGAAGGGATAAGGATAAGATCGATTATGAACGAATAGGGTGATCTGGGATGCTGGATGTCTGTAACCGGCGCTACAGATACAGGGCACAAATGAAAGATTCTGTGTGATTGACGTCGTGACTGTGGGGATGTTCGACTCACCTCGTTTCGCGCGACAACCTGTGCCGTTAGTAATTCGATGAGTCTTGTAGAGTACAAGTTGAACAGACTGAGGACAACTAGTGGCCATGTCCAGACCGAGATCTCCGTCATTGCCAAGAGTTGAAGCCGCCACACTCCAGAAGAATAACATGCCACCAGAAGCAGTGTTTCTACCGCCAGTGGCAAGCCAACAGTAAGCCGTGTGAAGCCTATGGGCTAGCCCCAGGCTACAGCCAGTGGCAGTGTTCTGGCGATGGCGGAATACCTCAAATAGAAGGTGGTTCCCATCTGTTTGCAGTATCTGGAAATCACCGTTAGATACAGGCTCCTTCCCAGCCTCCGGTTCGAGTGTAGAGGGCGACATCTGAGGGACATAGATACTTGTTTGATATGTCACATGATACAAGAAAAAATTCAAACCCAGCACAACCTTATTCCCCTCACACTCTCACCGGAGGCTGGAACATAACATTTGTAAACAGAGGTCAGCCACAGTGATGGGTGACCGTAGAACTCCAGAACAACCAGTTTACACCTAGCATAGGGTTAAGATTTTTTGAATTGATATATTCATTTTTCTGCCTCGGTTAATATTACACCCGCTCCCATATGGACACTGTGATTGCAGCACTACAAGACTGCAACTTAAGTGCCTCTCAGTTCATCATATCAATTCTACAAAATCAACAATATAATGGACATCATCTTGTCGAAGACCTTCTTGTCCATTGTAATGAAATCTTCGATGCTTTCATTGAACATACTTCTCGTCAAGCTGACATATCGCAATATGCCAACTGAGCTACAAGAGAGCAATACATCAGAGAGATTAAATTAAACTCATCGGAAGAAGGGGGTTGGCACTTCGGACCATCACACACAACTACACAACAGGTAGAGGACTTTAGCGTCAAGGAGATGGACAGAGAAATGCAGTCTTGCGCACCCGCGCTGTGGGATTTACTTGGGCATCTACTCGGGGCTGATGATTCACCTTCATGTGAGGCAAAGGACACTGATGGTGATGTTCTCATGGGAAATATGCTTGGGAACAGTTCTAGGATAGTACACGAGGAAGATGACAGCTATTGGGATGATTTAGATGAGATAGATCTTGAGGGTTTTATCAATGGGCTCACGTCATGCACTACGCCGGATGATAGTAATAAGCAAACCTTGCGGCACGCTGCAATCATTACAATCGTAAGCATCGCCCCTATCTTTACAATGAATCTGAACAAATAAAAATCAGAAACATGTTGTTATACTTAGTATATTGATGCAAAGCATGAACCAGAGGTCGAATGCCTTACAAAGTGTACTTGGTATCTTCTTACAGTTGACACATACCCCTCAGAAAGTCGTTGACACACTCTCACGCATCGGAATCTTGATATCTACTAACTCAATCTGCGCTGCTATTCAATCGCTGTCAGCCGAGTTGCAAAATACTCTCCGAACCATTGGAAAATCCCTGCTCGCATCATATGCTTATGATAACTTTGATGTCGACCTAAAATCTCAAGTTCCTCAGGCCGAGAAGTCAAACGAATCATTAAAGCACCTCACCTCCGGTTTACTATTTCCATTGGAGCATGGAGTCACCACAGATGACTTAAAGTGCTCAGAGGAGTTGTGGAGACGGACAATGCTCAATCCCCATGCACAGCCATCCATGCTACCGCCAAAAAGATCATGGAAGGATCTTTTGCATATCCACCTGGAATCACGGGTCGACTCCACACCCCAACTCTCCCAACATGATCGGTTCAACGCCCACATGTTCTTGTTGGACTTGTGCAAACACAGGCCATTGTACTTTCGTTGTTTTCGATCTGAAGTCCCCGAGGCTGAAGCTGTTGAAGAGATACCATTAATTAAAACACCAATCACAGCTGCACGTGCTATGGATATCAATAACCCAACTGTCAGCGGTAACATTTGTGCAGTCATGGAACTACTGGCGCAGGGTGGCATCTACAATCCTGACGCCAACATCCTTGACAATCCCGACATCTCACAATATGTTATCTTGGTTCACAGTGACCTCGGAACTGGAGAATGGCTGCAGTCAGCACAACTTCGATGATCATTAGAGGTGACTCTGTGGAATCGGTTTCAGCACATTATCTTCATTCCTGGATTGTTCCACCTGAAGATGGCATGCGCTGATGCCATTTGGCGCATCTTCCTGCAGCCATTGGCAGCTTGAGAGGATGCAACAAGTTTAATGCGTGATGTAACACAACTTCGACCTAAGGAGATGGGAACGTACTGCTTGAAGCCAGGATTCCGGCGGATGCACCAACTGATAGGCTATGCTGGCATATGTCAGTGGCTTGATTGTTGGTGAGCTCATGTAGCGAGTATGAATCCAAGTCATGCAAGCCTCAAGGCATTTGCAGCCTCCAAACCAACCCTTGATGAGTTAAAGATCATCGCAAACGAGATAGCGTTGAAATACGTCGCAAATCACAAGATGCTACAGATGCGCCGTAAGCCTTGAGAGCAGCGGGATATGCAACATGAAAACACGCTCCTACTCAACAAATATTTCCTCCTCTATGAGGAGTTATCTTACTCGATGAACCACGGAGATATTGGGCGAGTAGAGACGTCTATTGTAGCATGGATTCCGATCCTTAATGCCACAGGAAAACATAAGTATGCTACACACATGACAAACTTCTTGATCAACACGCACTTTGTTTTTCCTACTGGCCTAAAGTACGCGCATTTTTTGGTGGTGTCATTGATCAAGAGCTGACAGCTTCACAGGCATGCTGTGCATTACCACATCCTCATCAACCCAAATGGAAAGGCGATGAAGTGGCGAGCAGTTGATTGGTGTGTTGAGCTAAACAACCTGTTTATGAAGGTGAAGAATGGTGGGAAGGGGTCCAACCGCACAGTAGAGCGAATCTTCCTCGAATCTCCTCTAGTCCAGGCCTATCGAAACACTCAAGTCATGGTGCAAAAGAATTTCCTGCATGCCCACCTCACAACAAACCATGCTGCCCCAAATATGACGAAAACATTCGAAGGGTTATCTATCAGGATGGCAGTGCAATCCCCACATACTGTGGTACTAGGTAGAAAAACTCATTGCGAGATCCCTGACCTCATTGACAAAGGAAGGGATATGATGGAAAAAGCAGCTCGTGGTGAGAGTACTGATGAATCTAATGAGATGGATGTTAGAGAAGAGGGGGCAGAAATTGAGGATGTATTAATGGAGCTATAGTACGAAAGTTATTATGAGTCTAACGATGAATCTAATGAGATAGATGTTAGAGAAAAGGGGGCGGAAATTGAGGATATATTAATGGAGCTATGGTATGAACATTATTACGAGTCTAAGCTGCACGACTGCCTTGAGTGAGTGTGAGCATGGATGCGAGTGTTGCAGTGTTCTCTTTGTTCTGTCCTGAGTGTGATGGGTGCCTATTGCACACACAATTGTGGGCTACAATAAGTCAGCATGACGGAAGCCGTCAAAAATGAAGACAACATACCATTATGTCCTTCAAGACCACAAGCGCTACACCGGTTCCTTCGTCTTTCAACAGCGGCAGGGACTGGGGCAAGAGATCAAGGTTGGACAGGTCCAGGCCTAGTAAGTGGTGTTGTTGTGAATAGCACAGGATGGGGGAGTGGCATATATTTCTTGATAAGAGTAATAACCTCCTCCCCAAAGTTCTCTACATCTGTCCAACCCGTCTCCTTCTTCAAATCAAGGATGTTCTGGATCTTGTGGTGATGTACACAGTCAACAATGCGATCTAACATAGTGTTTGGCATGACAACAGTAGGGCCGAGGTCGTTGAGGTGGTACCAGCCATATACCTCAACTGTCTTCTGCTCACGCCACTCATCTAGTGCATCTTGGAAGGTGAAATCTTTTGCGGTCTTCTCGTACTTGGTAATGCGGCAGCGCTGAGGCATCATTGTTGGTTTTTCAATGTGAGAAGTATACTGGGTAAAATGATTGGGGTGGTGTATATCGCAGCAGATAGTTGGCTGAGAGAGGCAGCACCTTTCACACCCTGATGCTTGCTTGGTGTTGCAGTCCAAATGGTCAGAATCTGAGATAAGTGAGTATGTATCGTTACATCACGCATCACATTTATCACCAGCAGCATCGTTATCAAAGCTAATGTCAAAGACCTTCCTGCGGCACATCAGTCCAGTACGTTTCTCCGCATTAATCAGATAATCCATTGATGGATCAAGACTCAGCTTTTGTTGCTTTCCATTATATTTCTGTACAAGTTCTCCAGCATCCTTCACCAAGTCCTTTAACCCCTGCAGGCCTGCATCTATGGGGGGTATAACATCCTCATCAGACTCATCAGACTCATCACCGTTGCCATTGCTGATAGTCTGCAGTGCGCGGGAATCGGCCGCCTGAGAATTTGATGGATTCACGGCACAGTGCTTCGATGTTGATGTAGGTAAGTTATCACCCTTTCTCTTCCGCATCACCTCCCGTGCCTTTTTTCTTGTCAGTTTAGCTTGTCATTCATCATCAAAGTGCTCCTTCTCCGTGAACAACAATGCAGTGCCCAGAAGGCTTTGATCCCATACTGCACGCCCAAACCGCTGCCAAAGAGTGGATAGCTTGCATGAAGCTTGCCACTGAATAATAAGCATGATGTCAGGAACATCCATTCCCTGATTGGTAAGTTAATTTGTGAATATGTCTGATGGAACATACTTACCATTCCAAATGAATCTGTTGTGCAGTAGCCCCACGTATCTCCCAATATAAGGTTCGTGAGCTCCGCATCTTTGTACCCTCCTGTCATGTCCGCGTTGAACCACTTAATCTTATCTTGCATATTGGTTGGTAAGTGTTTGTGCAGGTATAGAGTCGCATTTATGGCATCCGGGATGCTGTCAAAAAAGATCAAGAACTTCTGCATGGGGGGATCACCAACCTTCCAGCCTGTCTTCCACAGATTTCAAAGTAACACTGACCGAAAAATTTGCAGCACTAGCAGTTTCTGCATTGATAGCTATGGTGTGGATTCCAGCCTTGGCGAGAGATGTGGCATTTTGTTTACCAAGTAAGTTCAATGGGGTAACGACCAACTGAATGCTATTGACGCGGAACAGTAATGAAATCCAGAAGCCCAGTGTCTTCCCCATCCCAGTCCCTGCAATACACAGTACATCCTGGTTGCCTTGGAGAAGCGCATGCACCACTTTGAGCTACCACAGACACGGGTGAACACCAAATTTTTGCTCTGTCCGGAGATGGATTTCAGATAACAAGGGTGTCTCATGGAGATTAGGAGCTGTCATCTCCCATATGGGAGTGGGTGTAATATTAACCAAGGCAGAAAAATGAATATATCAATTCAAAAAATCGTAACCCTACGCTAGGTGTAAACTGGTTGTTCTGGAGTTCTACGGTCACCCATCACTGTGGCTGACCTCTGTTTACAAATGTTATGTTCCAGCCTCCGGTGAGAGTGTGAGGGGAAAGGTTGTGCTGGGTTTGAATTTTTTCTTGTATCATGTGACATATCAAACAAGTATCTATGTCCCTCGGATGTCGCCCTCTACACTCAAACCGGAGGCTGGGAAGAAGCCTGCGTTAGATCAGTCTTATCGATGTATCGATGTATTAATGTAATTCAATGTGTGATATCACCTCCATGCAACGTCAAGCCATCAAGTTGTATCCCACCCACTCCCAGCTTTGAATATGAGCAATAAAAAGCCCAAAGACTGGTGGTGGGGATATTTTGATACCCACCCAGATTTCGAGAAGAAACTCCCTGTGGCCTATGCAAACGAGAAAGAGAGATGACCAAAAGTGATGTGTGGAGCATGCAAGATTCAAAAAACGATTGACAAGCAGCAGAAGGATCGTGAGGAGCAGCGCTAAGGCCTGCGAAATGATGTACAAACACATGATCAAATCATCACATATTGTAAGTGTCTTAATACTACACTCTGAAGTTCTGTTAGTTATCTTTTTTCAGTGTGGTCACAATTGGAGAGCTTGATCAAGGACTGAAATTGTCCGTGGATGCATGGAAGACCTGATACCATAGTCCCCCATCTCAATTCTTGTGATAATCAACCACCAGAAGTCCATGCACAGGCACACACTGTGTGTGTTGAAAGGGGGTGGATCAAAGCACCGAGATTTGCTCATGAGGTTATTAGTTTGAATTTGCCGCAATTATCGGGCATCAGTCTCGGTCTTGAATCACCTGCATATTTCCAACAATCATCGCAGTTGCCTTCTCCACTTAATGGATTATTTGATGTTCTGGCCATGGATTCAAGTATCCCATCCTCACGATCTCAGTCACCACTATTATTCCCCCCCACCTCATCTCGTACCAGTAGTCCAGCTTTTGGTGAAGGATCCTGGCCAGCCCCATCAAAATGGGTGCAGCAGATATTGCAGCCTTGGAATCACATGATAGATACCCCAACTACTACTACCAGAGGCACTCCTTCATGTCTGCACTGGACACCAGCTTTTCAGGAATGCTTCGAGACTCATATTGCCAACATCACTGCATTGTGTGGGTTCTCCCTCAATTGGATCGAAAATCAAGCAGTTCGTAGTTTCATGAATGAGTTTTTCCCCTTTGCGAATCCGATCTCAAGTTATCAACTCTCCAATCACATTATTCCACGTGAAGTCGAAAGGTACCAGCAAGCTGCCAAAAACCGTTGTTGTGGAAGCGATGCAACACTCCAGACAGATGGATGGACTGGTGTAAACTTTCGCTACCTGCTGGCATTCATGATCACAACAGCGAGTCGACAGGCAAGACTATTTTCAACTGTTTTGAGTTTGCCTATAGTGATTCGAAAAAATCAGGTCCACACGGTTCGAGTAGTTGATGTATCTGCTCAGCGCAAAACTGCCCAACACCTCAAAATTCTCATGATCAGTGTTATCGAAGAGGTTCAGCTCATCTGGAAGGTAAATATTGTTGCCGTTACATCAGATGCATCAGGCGAGTCTCGGGCAGCTCGAAAACGGCTTGTCGAGGAGTTTCCATCATTGGTATCTGCAGATTGTTATGCTCACCAGGTAATTACATCTGGTGTCTCATTTGTCAATCCCAGTTATTAATACTACTCTCACAAAGATCAATCTTATTGTTGGTGACTATTTCAAGTCATTGGGTGGCATGATTTACCTGGGATACTTGAAGAAAGCATCTGACCTTATTTCTTGGCTTCGAAGCAAGACCCTTGTTCTAGCAACACTAAGAGATATCCAAGTTGCCCTCAATTCAACTAACCCATCCCATCCTCACCATGTCCTCACTGTAATCCGTGCAGTTTTGACCCGATGGACTGCTCATTATCTCACCTTCAGACGACTTCTTGATCTTAAATTTGCACTTGACATTCTTGTCAGGCAGGAGAAGAGTCTCAGACGAGATTCAAAAATAATTACAGGTGACACTGCCTCACAAAAAAAAGCAACAGAGATGTTAGCATTGATCGAAGACCCAGTGATGTGGATGACCCTGGCTCAGTAGAAAATAATTTCTTTTTCATTGAGTATCAGCTGAATCAAAATTTTCATAGGATGGTCGGTCACCTGCAGCCCTTATCATTGGTAATCAACATTGCTCAGGCCGCGCACTGTCGTCTCGACGAAGTTTCTACAAGGGAAGGCTTCATCAGTCCAAGAGAATTCAATGATCCAGACTATCATTGATTCTCTCGAAAAGCGCTGGAGTAAATGCGATCAAGATGTATTTCTAGCTTCAGTTGTTTTGAATCCCCTTTACAGGATCAAGCCCTTCGCTCGCCTTCGCAAATTTACCAACACAGGACTCATTACGCTATTTGTCAAGTTATGGGGTCGATTCTTCCCTAATACACCCTCCGACGAGTTTCGAAAGGAGCTCTTGGAGTATCTAGAAGGACATGGGGACTATGGCAAAGAATTTATAAATTGGGTGGACTTGGTTCGAAGTGCGGCTGAGGTTGAGGCATGTTTAATCTGTCTATTACTATTTTTCTCATCACTCACAACACTGCAAATTGTAGCGAAAACATCCTGACCCTCTCAAGATGTACGACAGCATACATTTTCAAGATGTCGAGCCAACACCACTGCAGAAATTTGCTCAGCAAATTTTTTCGATCTGCGCAAACTCAGCCTCTTGTGAACGTCTTTTCAGTCTTTTCGGCACAGTACTCACAAAACTTCATTTGCACCTCGGTCTTAAAGGCCTCACAGACTTGGCAGAATTGCGTTTACATTTGCAAGACAAGTATATACAGATGGGAGACAAAAAGGGCCATCTGCATCGCATAAGGAAAATCATCCCTGACCCACTACCTCCACCAGCCACTGTGACTATAACTCCCCCAGACACTGTTCCTGATGATCTATCATCAGAGTCTGAGCAGCTGGAAACTCAGGACGGAGACACCATTGATGATGACCACTCACTCAGGCACATCGCATCCGTTCTCGCACAGCGCTCGTTAGACGACGAGGACACCATAGATGTGGGGTCTGCATTCAATGATATCCCCCTTCAACAACTTTTCAACTTTGAAGATGAGAGCTGGGTAAAAATCACAGAAGCATTCGGGATGAGATCAATTGATGATGAATTCGAGTTTTACGAGTTAGTCGACATGGATGTGGAAGGTGAAGATGACGAGCAAACATTCGACGACCTGATGAGTAGTACAATCTAGCCCTTTATCTCCAGCCAATGATATTGTGTTCTTCCAGCTTAGTAAGCTTTTTTGCTCCTGGGAAAAGCCCACTGCCGCTGTACCACCAGTGGCTAAGCCAAACCTGTTTTCCCGGCTAGTCAGTGGCTGGCCACTGGCGCTAGAAACACTGACCAGAAGAGCTACAGGATGCTATCAGATACATCTCGCTATCAAGATATGACTGCTCACATAACGTCAAAAGGATGATAGAAGAGCCGAGATATGAAGCCGGACTGCTTATGAATACAAGTGTACAGCATAATTGAATGCGCGAACCTGTGAAGACCTGCAAATGTATGAATAGTTGTTAGGTACCGTGCCGGCTCAAAAGGCAGAGGGGTCGGGGCTTGGCTTCAGCTCTTGCGCTGCACCCTTAGCTGAGTATGTGCCCCAAATTTGGAGCGGGTCCGACGTTGGGGGTCGGGGAGCAAGAGCTGCTAGCGGTGGACCGACTAGGAGCGGAGCGGAGAAGACGGGGAACGATGCAGAGGGTGAATAGGAGCAGGGGGAATGTCTGGTGGGAGCGGAGAAGGCGAAGGATAATGCGGAGGATGGAAAAGGGTCAGAGGGGAATATTGAAAGGGGCGGAGAAATAAGGGAGAGACTTAGAGCACGGCTCTAAGTCGGAGCGGAGGGTCGGAGGTGACAACAAGTTGAAGCTTGTGTCCAGAGGAGGCAAGGTCCTACTGAGAATTCTCACAAGTAGTAACTGCGAGAAGACAAGTAATATTAAGACTAAGGAAAAATATCTAAGTACATGATATGTTAAATACTTCTATGTATGAGGCAGTGACCAGGATAACTATGTAGTAAAGCTATGTACCAAGGATATCATTTATAAGTACTTTACATAGGAAAGACATAAGTCGGGGCAGATATCAATATGTACACGTCGGATCAGTGATCAAGTGGTAATAGGAATTACTGGTGATCCGGAAGTAATGGTCTAAGTACCAAAAAGGAAAGCATATATCTAAAAGGGGAAAAAGGTCCAGTTGAATGGAGATGTTTATGGAAGGGGACCGGTTGAGTGGTTGAGCGGAAGTGTAGGGCGGAATGCAGGTTTGTGATAGGAAGGAGCGGAGGATGGATGGGGCAGAGGGGGTTGGAAAGTGGAGCAGGTATCAGTATCAGAGCGGTTGGATCTGGTATATGACAATAGTCAAACATGCAAGGCCAGGTCTGCTACCAACTTTACTAGCCCATACCCAATCACAGACTTTGTATGCATGAATCACAATCAAACCACAGATAAGGCTACTGAGGGCATGTCCAAATGACCCAAGGGCAAAAACATAACAGACAGATATTGTGTATGGAAACAGTGATGTCAAGGGAGCTTGTGTTGAAACAAAGACCGTGGAACTAGCGAGCACCTGCAAATGAAGTGTTAGATCTCTTTCATGTCCTGACTGCTGAGAACGTCACCAAGCCCGCCTGGAATAGCATACTAATCAGTACATGATTAGTGCCATACAAGTACCAATATTCCTCACCACAATGATAGTATTACTCAGTCTCCTAATGACCTTCTGCCTGTGTTTCTCCCATTCATCATCATTCATCCTAGATGCCCAGAGTTGCTCAGGGGAAAGACTTCCTATCGAGATCAGACAGAGTGCTTGAAATGATATGGAGGCTATGGGATCAGACTTTGGGACCTTCCACCAGTCTGGTAGCGGTGGCCTACAAAAATGGGTCAATCGACAATCCGAAGGGGGTGGCATGACTGGGTACTTGTGTGTTGTCAGTTTCATCTGCCATTCTAGATGGTTCTGTCCTCTGTCACTTGTGATGGGGGTGGTCTCATAGAGCGTAGTACTGCACATCATATATGGTTAAGCATGCAATTTGCACGGCGATTGCATACAGCAGGAATCTGCCAATCTACAAAGTAGCTCCACTCTTGAAGATTCTGAAGCATTAATGACTCCCCATTTGGGTTAGTGTCCAGAAATGTGGATGATGCGAACGTGGCGGTTTTCAGGGTACTTACCAGACTGCCGGTGCCTTGATAATAGTCTGCTACATTATTATATGCAAAGAGTGGTCAACCAAAAAGATCATCACCACTAACTCGGATAAGGGCAGATAGGAGCCAGGATGCGGCAAAACGCACCAGGCGCATGGACATGCAGAAGGCGGGGAACAAAGATATAAGGTTTGAATGAGAAATCATTTTTTCCACCGCAGGAACTTCCAACATGAATCTGATCAGCGCCAGCCCAAACAGACAGCATTTATCTGAATTGCCCTGCTATTTGCCTGCTGGGGCTTGAAATTTGGAAACCTGGTGCCAATTGTGCCAATTGAGTTATGATGTTACCATCCACCGTCGATACATAGAATTGAAATAGGACATACCATTTTCTACCACTCAAAGAGGTACATCAGACTGGTTATGAGTCTACTACTATACATATATCTTGAATATTTTACTGTTCATTTATCCTCGAAGGTACATATGTCAGAAATTTCCTATTCGGGTTTCATGACCTTGCAATGCGTTGCAATGACTCAATGACGTGCCTGGGTCCCAACACGTTGTAATAAAAGAGTCTTAGGTTACAATTATGTTGCAATCATGTTGCAATCATGTTACAATTTGGTTAGATTAGGCCTTTCAACCAAGTTTTCAACCAAATTGGGATTATTAGCCGTCACTTCCAACCATTGAAGCCAATTCCATCATACCTTGAGATCGAGGTTTCAATGACATTGGAATAAACATGTGCAGGTTTTAAGTCAATTCAAACATCCTTGAGACTGACTAAATTTCATTATAACGAGTGCAACTATTCAACCACAGACATCTATATACATATAATAATACTCTGTCACTCCTACTTTTTGCGAGTTCTTGTTGCCCAGCCACACCGCTGCCCTGCTGCACCTGGATCTGGATCCACTACTAATGAAATTGGTGCAAGTACCCCAGCCTTTTTTGCTCGGCCCCGTTGAGCGGAGGATGTCCCAGAAGCTACAGTTGGTGGCAGAGTCCCCTCATTGCTAGGTCCAGGTACATCAGGAACTTCAGTGATGCCTGGACCAGCAGGGACGAAAGGCACAATGGCATCATGATGATTGGCTGCGAGTGATTCTGAATCAGAGACTGGAACTTGAACAGTAGGTCCAGGAACCGGGGCGGGGACAGGTTTGGGACCATCGACATCTTCTGAAGTGGCAGGGGCGATAACTGGTATAGCAGGAGGTGGTACAAGATCGGTAGTTGGAGTATCAGGATCGTTGCGGCCAGCATTAGTGAGGGCCAAGTGCATCAGGTAGAATGTGAAGTCTTCGCCTTCGGCTTCTGAAGCCACAATGGCATTGGAAGTTGATGACTGCCAGACATGCGCATCAATTTTTTGGTGGATTGAGACAATGCGTGGTTCTTCCCAAAGTGTGACCCATAGTTGCTTGTAGGCCATGAACATGGCTGCATATGGTAGTCAAGATTTTGCGCCAACTTTGTCCTTGGTGAACGAAGTGTCCAGGGACAGAATAAAGATCAACTAAACAACCATTAGACACCGAGAATCAATCATAGAAAACAAGAGACAACTTACTGCGACCCAACCCCAGGAAAGAAGACCAGGGGTGCACAATGTTATGCCCCATTTTTGGGCATTACACTTGGCGCGCGGCCACCCAACAATGTCAAGCGAATTTTTCCCGAACATTACAATTCTAATTGCCTATTATTAAATCAGTATAAACACATTCTTTAGTCAGTCATAACAAAATACATACATTTGCGAGCAGTTCCCAGTTGCCAAAGACTGTTGACATTGTGGGGTCCAGTTCTTGCCTCGTAAAAAGGATAGGCAGAAACTTCGATGACAAAGAACGACCAAGGAGCTTCTGGATTTCAGGGATCATGTCTCGCTTCGTAAAACTGGTGTTAAAGTAGGATGGATCAAGGCCGAAAATACGCCCTGTCATCACCCGCAGCTTGCCAATCTCGCTTGAGCGGCCACCTTGAAGATGGTGTTCCAGCTGCGGTATTATATATCAATAATCAACATGCTAATAGATCACGCAAAATTAAAGAAAAGATGTACCAAAGATTGAAAATGAGTAGTTGGTACGAAGCGATGAAGATGATCCGGGAGAAGTGAGTATAGTTCTGTCACAAGACAGAGTTCTTCTGCACTCTTGGTTTCATAGTGACTCCCAGATAGGATGGTGGGTGGAGGATTTGGCACAGTAAGTTTGAGAACACAGTGCATGGGTGGGAACATCTCTGCAATAATGCCATACTTGCAGGAAAAAGTCGCAAGCTCAGCATCAAAAGCCTTCAGCTCATCTGGGACTTGGGCATTCAAAGATGATCAACACTGATTGGCCGATAATGTCTTGTTCACCTCGCCCAAAGTACGGTTGTCTTTCTTAAGTGTTTGGTTTTCAAGTTGCAAGCGCCGAATGATCTTAAGGAACACAATTAGGAGAGTATTAGATAGTTACAGGGGTCAATCATACCTCCATGTCCTCATTTTGTGGCATTTGAGCATTGGAGACCAATGACTGACTGATTGCTGCAGACCCAGAGTCAGATTCATATTCTGATGAGTCAGAGCCATCAGACATATGAACAGCACAACGGGAAGCCTGCTAGGGCATATTAATGATGGAAAGATGCACACAGTAAATCGGGAGACCCACAGTGAAGCACAACAGGAGAGGGAGAATTTATAGTTGAAATTCGCCGCACATTTGACAACTGAGCAGCGTCGTCTGAATCTGATTCATTGGTACACAGGTGAAATCCTGGGTGACCCATGAGGTAACTTACCTGTGTGGTGTCATGTCCAGCATTGAATGAAGACCCTAAATCACGAAAGGTGAGTAAAAAGGCGGCGAGGTGCAACAGGTAAAAGAGCTCACCAAAAACAAGCAATGAGAATATTTTGATGATATGTGGCATTAACAGTCTAATAAGTACCTGGACCCAATGATAAGTTGTCAGTCTATTAAGACTATTAAGCATAATAATTGATTCAGAGGCTGCTGCAGCATCTGAATCTAAATCAATTACATGGTCCAGGAGTCTGATTCGACTGAATCGATGAATCTGTCAACGATTAGGTCAATGTTACTTATTATTATATAGCGGTTGTTGTCAGTACTTACAATAACATACTGTCTTCAAAGTCAAATCAACGATTCTTAATCAGAGTATTAATACTTGTCTGGACTGTCAATGAATCAAAGTAACTGACAGTTGCAGTGAATCTAACATTTGGTTGATTCATTGACAGAGCTATTAGATTCGGTTGAAGGAACAATTTTTGGTTGAAGGAACAATTGAAACCTATGGACTTAGCGGAAATACGATGACAAGACATATTACATAATCATACCAGTCATTGAAGCTCATTGTAACTGCGTTGAAACATGCTTTAATTGAAGACTTCCTGTTATCCAATGAATCTACGGTACATAAGCATAATAATAGAAAGATGATTTAGACGCTGCATATTGACAGGTTTGAAATTCTTCCTCCATCAGTTCAAGGTCGAAACATTTAATTGGTCTGTTATAATATGAATCAGATGCAGCTAAGGTTGGTGCGATGAACTTGAACATATTGATGGGTGTGTGGTATATTCAGCGTAAGATGGACAATTGAAAATGAAAATAGTGACGAACCAGTCAAGAATTCCTGCTTGAGGACATGATATGCTTGACATGTCTCATGGTGCGGGCGACGCTTGACTCCTATTGGGTTGCAACTGACTATCCAAGTATCCATGTTGTTTCCACACTCGACTTCAAGTCCATGAGTTGCCTGCCTGGTTGGAGAATATAAGAACAAGCAGCTCAGGAGAAACACCGAATTTACTGACATGGTGTAAAAGCTCTCCTTTGTCCACACCTCCCTGAAGAGCAAGCAAGCAAAATTGGTGTGCATTACCCTCATCACAGCTGAGGATTTGGAACTGGTTGAAGAATGTAAGACCAACTAATAAAGTCTAAAAGAATTGACTGGACGTGATACTTGCATCGATCGTTGAAGCTCTTCCTCCATCATTCAAGGTTGAACAGTCTAGATCAGAGGTTGGTGTGATGAGCTTGAACATAATGGGCGTATGGTATAGTCAGCGTGAGATAGACAATAAAAATGAAAGTAGTGACGAACCAGCCATGAATTCCTGCTCGAGGACAAGATACACTTTACGGTCTCACAGTGCGGGCGATGCTTTGAGGTGGCTAAAGAGCAAGCAAGTGAAATCAGTGTGCATACCCTCATCACGGCTGAAGATTTGGAACTCATTGAAGAATGTGAGACCAATTAAAATCTAAGAGAATCGACCAGACATGATACTTACATTGATCCTTCAAGTTCTTCCTCCATCGTTTGAGGGTTGAACAGTCTATTAGATCAGAGGATGGTGTGATGAACTTGAATATAATGGGCGTGTGGTATAGTCAGCATGAGATGGACAATAAAAATGTAAGTAGCAATGAACCAGAATTCCTGCTCAAGGACGATGATACGCTTGAGTCTCAGGGTGTGGGTGATGCTTGAGGTGGCTAAACAGCAAGCAAGCAAAGTCAGTATACATACCCTCATCACGGTCGATGATTCATATGGCAGCGACCTTCGGCGTTATTCATTGACAGAGAGAAGGGCGGGCACGATAGATTTAGGAGATGTTAGTAGATGTGCGTGGATGAAAAGTAAGTTACTCACTTAATGGCTCATTTCCATGATTGAGTAGCTCATCACATGATGTTTGGAGTTTCCTGATGACTTCCCCACCGCCTAGGATTCGATCGACCTCATAGGACGCCCTGATGATGCAGGTGAGGTGTGTATTGATCTATAAATCGATGATCAGTTCTCATATTGCATCAGAAAGTCTCCATGAATGCCCTTTGATGGTCAGGCGCCATTGCTAGAACAGATTGAATCATCCTTAGCCATGACAAAATATGAGAGTCCGGCATGACTGAATGCTTGTGATCAGCATTTTTAACATTCTTCTTGCCACATATGTCAGCTACTTCTCTCAACTCCACATCTACATCTGCATCACCTTTGCTGTCTGCATCTGTATCTGCATTGGGGTCAGTGTGGAGAAGGAAGACGTTGTGCTGAGATTCAGAGGTGCGTGAGAGTCACAGTAATAGAATGGAGGATGTTTCACCCACCATAGGACACCACACCCTGTTGTCTGTGGTCTTGGAGTGACAATAATGTTAGGAGGGGTTAGTGGGTAGCCATTGTGTGTGATATTCATGCTTGACGGGCAAAAATATGAGTTTGATAGGTCTTGAGCCCTGGCATACTTTTTTGGTAGACTCCAATCATACTTGTGAGCAAGTCCAACATGGAATTTGGCAGCAGGTGATAGTGCGTTGAATTCACTGTGGCTTGATGACATTTTAATTGCTGTGCTCGTTACAGTACAACTTTGCTCAATGATAGCAATCCATTATAGCGGAAGGTCCAGTGCGTCTGTAGTCATAATAATAAGTCAATCTATCAATAAACTAATGATAACCAGCCTCTGTACGAATTTCCTTCATTCGGAGGAACATGTCTGTGTCAGTTGTGTCAACAACCAAAAACTCGTTCGGTCGGGTACCATCCTCTGCTAATACACAACCACAGATTATTGACTGAACTGAGAAGCATTCAGTGGAGGCTCTGGGCTTTGCTTTAACTCGCCAAAATTTGAAATCTTTGTCCTTTCACGGTCGAGCGCCAACTGGTTGATCATATGGAAGAGTGAGTGCAATAGGATATTGGATGTTCCCGACCATGCAGGTGAAGACCAACAACAGTTCGGCAAAGATAGCACCAGTTTCTGCCTGTAGGATAACACAATCATATTGAGGTGATCCGTGGAACATCAGACTGCATCGGAGATAGTCTGTGGAGACTCGCCAGTCAACAAGCGACTCATAGTTGACTTTGATGAATCTAAACTCGGTGATCTGAGCAAGAGTGAGATACAGTGGCTCAAAAAACTGTCCGCATGTTTTCATATTTTTCACTATCTATGATATTGTGTGAGAATATACAAACACCTCAAGGACATGCTGGTACCATATTGTAGCACCACTTCAGGGCTTTCAATTGAGCACTATGGCATGGCAATTGGTCAAGATATGGTTGAGATATGAGGCTTCCAAAATGATGACTCATGCGGACAGTTTTTTGACTCAAGTATTTTACAGTGATAATCAGGTATTCTAGTACTTTGTGTGACCTCCCTTGGCTTTAATTACTGCCTCTATCCTTCTAGGCATACTCTCAATCAATTTCTGGCAATATTCTGTTGCAATCCTTCCCCATTCCACTGCTACTCTCTCCCATAGCTCCCATACTCCTTTAGGGGGGTTTCAGAGGCTTGAAGCTTCTTCTTGAGTGTTCCCCAGAGATGTTCAATGACATTGACATCAGGGGACTGTTCTGGTCAGTCAAGAACATTGATATCATGTTCTTCAAACCATTTTCTGGCTCTCCTAGATGTGTGCTTGGGATCATTAGCCTGTTGGAAAATGATGTCTTCTTCATCAATCCCTGATTCAGCTATGCTAGGCAGCAAGTGGTCATTTAGAATGTCCACATACTGCTCAGCATCCATCCTCCCCTCAACTTCAGCAAGCATACCCACACCATTCCATCCAATACAGCCCTGTACCATTAGAGAACCTCCTCCAAATTTGACAGTCTCACCAACCTCTCTGTCTGTTAGAGAATCTCCCTTCTTTTTCCATACATATACCTTCCCATCTGACCCAATCCTATCGATTTTGGTCTCATCTGACCATATAACATGCTTCCAGTGCTCTACAGTCCAGTTTTGATGGGCCAAGCCAAAGGTAGTCTTCTCTGCCTATGTTTGATAGAGAGAAGAGGCATTTCTTCTTTGTTACTGCCTTGAGATGAACTGCCTTGAGAACATCCCTCACAGTTTGTGAAGAGACAGTGGTGGTGATAGTGGAATTGATATAATGGGTGGCTTGGACAGCATTATCAGCCTTTCCTGCAGTGATATGTTGAATGTTAACCCTCTTATTAGTAGAGGTGGACATCCTCCACAAGAGTTTTCCATGTCCAGGTGGCTTTCTTTGATAAACTTGGCCACAGTAGACTTGCATACTCCAGTTCTAGAGGAAATTTGATGAGCAGAGAGGCCAGAATAGGACAAAGAGAGGATATTATCCCTTTGAGCAGAGGAGATGGCTTTAATGGTGATTATGATCATGACACATGAAATATTCTGGTTTATATAGTTAGATATAGTTTTAAGAGTATGCCTAGAAGGATAGAGGCAGTAATTAAAGCCAAGGGAGGTCACACAAAGTACTAGAATACCCGATTATCACTGTAAAATACTTGAGTCAAAAAACTGTCCGCATGAGTCATCATTTTGGAAGCCTCATATCTCAACCATATCTTGACCAATTGCCACGCCATAGTGCTCAATTGAAAGCCCTGAAGTGGTGCTACAATATGGTACCAGCATGTCCTTGAGGTGTTTGTATATTCTCACACAATATCATAGATAGTGAAAAATGTGAAAACATGCGGACAGTTTTTTGAGCCACTGTATTATCAGTAACGTCATTTGGGGGCTGCGGATGTTCAATACACCATATCATCAGCAGTGAGTTGGACACATCGTCCATCAGGAAATGGTATATTGTTGGTGGCAAATGCACGGTTCAAAATTTCATTCAGTTTGATACGGAATCGATCAAATGGGGGATTGCCTATGTGAGCTACTTCAATATCTGTGAATGATTTCATTGCCTGCTGTAAACCAAGACTGAAATGCTGCATATTGATTGGTTTGGTAGGTTCAAGTTCATCAGCCTCCGATGGATCAGGCAGGTCTGACAGGCTAAGATTCTGTGTATCGAGGCAGTCCACCTTGCTGCGAATATATTCCGCAATGAGGCTGTCGTGGTTGTATCAGAGAATCTGTCGCCTATCCATCAGCACTCAGTTCACATATCTAAGAAGGTACTAGTGTATTACCTGTTCCGCAAAATTCTTGAAGTTTGTACGGTCCTGATATGCATCCTTCAGTGGGCCATGCATCTTCTCATTAGGTTTCATATTGTAGTTTCGGGTGACCCCTTTCACCTCAATGTCATCAAAGAGATGAGCGGAAAGATGAATCTTCAGGAAATTCCATGACTTCTCCGAGAGGTCTGCTGTATCTTTGACATACATCTGACTCGTAAATCTGAATCAGTGGTGTTGATTGACAATATACACAATAAAACATACATCCATTAATTCGGCAAACTTCGACAATGTATTTTGGCCATCCCTGATGGTATCTTTGGTATGCACCTCCAATGAAGCATATGTATTAAGTTCCACGTAACTCCGAATACAACGAAGGAGGAGATACACATGTGGATCCACATCACGCTGAAATACATTGTGGGCAGCGAAAACGATAAGCTATTAAATGACGTGAATAATTGATCTAAAGCTTGAAAGTTTGAATATCACATACCTTAGATATATCTTCATATTTCATTCCATCAGAAAAGGATATTGATACCACCTGGTCAAAGTGGTTGAGATTTCGCCAATGCGGAAATGATTTGAAGCTGGCAATCTAAATTAACATTTATCTACTACAGAAAAAAAAAATTGCAAACTGTCGATCTGCACCGCAGCTTGTCAACCAGAATCAGCGATCCATTTTTGTAGTTCCATCCACAGGTGATTGAAGTTTCCCTCATCATTAAAATGAAGTCTATCAAATGATAGGGCCCGGAAGACATCGGTGTGCTCCATGGTATCAAATGAATTCTGATAACAGTGATAGATGAAATAAAATAAGATTTGAGGCAAAAGACTTACATCGACATCACGGAGACTCTCAGAGCTCAATATCTGCTCTCTTACTTCCAATGTCATAGACTCTCGAGCTCAGACACGTAACACCTTTGCATCTACAGATGTGTGAAGCCAATGCACATTTGATATCTTGGAGAGCTCCTCACGAGGCACAAGGCAGATGGGGCAGGGAAATTTTCCCATCAGCCCACGAATTAATGCCATCACAACCCTGTGATAGTGAACAAACCTTCACACTCAGAACATTGAACCACTCACTGTTCTTCGTAGTCGGCAGACAGTATGAGTATGATCGGGTAGAAAATGCGGACAATATCATCCCAACATTTAACAGGAGAACCAAGCTTCAATAATGGTACAAGGCAAGCGAGCAGCTTCAAAAACGATGTATGCCATACCGCATTTTTGAAGTTGATGAAGGCCGGCTTTCCAGAGTGTTTCTTGTCTTCTTTGACCTGTCAAAGTGCTGGCGGTTAGTACTAATATAGGAGTCATTGAGCAAAGCAAAAACTAACAATAGGTAGCCAGCCAACAACTCACCCACCACCCAAGCCTTCACCATTATGAACAGCAGTAGGAAGATTAGCACACCTAGCAACCACAGGATAGCCTTTCGCACGACCGAATGATGATAATTTGGCCTTGTCTGCATACAGGATAAATGTGAGTGGTTTGCCATCTGCTGGTATTTTCGACTGTTATGATGCACAATCAGTACATGCACATGACAAATAATAGCACCACATACTTGATATTCCCAGAACATATTAGCAGTCCAAGGCTCGTGAATAAACCAAACAAATTTCTCACCATCGAACTTCGAAAGCTGTTGTGCATCAAAGATGAAGTGCAGTCCAACTTCAGGATCTTGAAGTAAATCTATAGCCCAGTCCCATAGCGAGCGATGATAAAACTGAAATGTCTGATCAACACCTCGGAACGGTACAACCACCTCTTCCTTCATAAACTGTGGTATTCAAGTAAAGATATATTTTACACTCGGAGTAATTGGATACAAACTGGAGTCAATTTGTACGAGGCTGCATCCCACATGTCTTGCATGTCTTTGTGATTCCGAAGTGTGAACAACTCGCATCTACTGCGATGTATAAGTCCGATGAGCTGATCTATCTGCTCGTGAGTGAGCGCAGCTTCATGGGCAAGTTCTGCGACTTCGAAGTCGATACGATTGCGAAATGGGCGCCAGGGCTCAGGATCAATTGTCGGAGGTACTACTGGGGCACCAGGGCCGCATCTATAGTCCTCGAAACGGTGCACTTGCATAGGGCGCCCGCTGTTGGGGTGATACCAGATTTGTATATCATCAACTTCAGGTTGAGACACAGACAATGCCATTCCAGAGACTGGCAGATGGTCTAATATATCGATGAGTCACAGATCAGACGCACAGAAAAACTTTTGAGACATACCAGATGCCTGTCCCATATCAGTATCATCTAGATAGTCTATTGAATCACTGAAATCGAATTTGTTGTCCCGCGAATGATTGATGGCAGCTTGTGTTGATGGTTGAATGAGTTAGGATCAGTTATTGAGGTCACAATACAGTCATCACTTACTGAAAGCGGATGGTGGTTCACCAACAAAAACACTACCTTGTTGTGCATGTTCTCTCTCTATAATGCATCAACATTTGATTAGCGTGAAGCCTAATATCTGAATTAATGGACATACCACGTCGAATATCCCTCGCAAGCTCAATATCCTCTCTTCATTGCTCAAATCGTTTCCGGCAAGCGTTTTCATGCGTTCTGAATCCCTGTCATTTGTAGTGTGTATTGCAATACAAACACACCCGAAGTGTAGGATCGGAAGGCATCAAGGTTATTGTTGATCAGTGAGTCCAAGACACCTGATGAGAGGGATTAGAAGGATGGATTCAGATGTTTAATCAATGAAGAACAGCTGGAGGGTGGAGCCAAGTATTAGTACATAAATGTCTCGTAGAAATGTTACTATTGATAATTTTAAACTCACAGATTCAGAGTTTGATGGAGAGGCGCTGAATTTAGAGGGCGGTCCTGAACCAGGAGTCAAGTATACGATTCAGAGCCCACAGGGTCTGAATAATTCAGAATCAATCTAAGAATTGAAGATGATCAGATTTATTGAACACTGTAACATGACAGACCTTTTTAAGTCTGACTCAATAGATGTGTCGGTCAAATCAAATGCGTCGAATCGTCGTTCCAGTTACAGATAATGATTGAGAGAACTGATAGTGATGGGTGAATGAAAGCCGAAAGGATGGCGGCGGGAAGTGTATTGTTAACAACACAGTCACTGTTACAGTTACAGGTTAAACCACAGCAGTGTTATTACATTTGAGTAACATAATAAGATGATAATAAGAATATCTGAATCAGACGTAATATTTAATTACTAAGTGAAGTCGTTGGAATTCGGTATCAATAATGTGACTAACTTTCAATGACGCAACTTCGATATGAATAGTCCTACTGGGACCCAATAGTGAAGCTTAGGTACGAATATCCCGACTCGGTATCAATACGGTTGAAGCCGAGTCTCAAAGGTGCGTGATTGCAACCGACTTCGGAAATTTCCGACATACGTCAGTGAAGTGCCCAACCCAGCCCACAACGAACTTCGCAATCAGCAGAACTCGTAGGTGAATATATAGGAACAAGACTCTATAGTGATATCCACCAGTCTCCCCTAAGTCATGGGACTCATGGCACTGCGGGGACGTTCGCCCGTTTAGATTTGAGGTCGTGTCTGACGTTTGGTGGCAGAGTCTTTTCGAGTGCACACCAGACAAAGAGAGGTGGTAGCCACACCCAGGTCATGATCTCTACTGTCGCCAAGAATTGAAGCCACCAGACTCCAGAAGCATAACACGCCGTCATAAGAGCTACGGAATGCCATCAGATACGTCTCGCTGTCAAGATACAGTGACTGCTCACATATCGTCAGAAAGACGATAGAAACAGTGAGGGATACAGCCGGCCAGCTCAAGAATATAAGTGTACAGCACACTCGAGAGCGGGTGGCCATCAAGACCTGCAAATGTGTGAATAGCCATATGTGCAAGTCCAGGTCTGCCACTAACATCTTTAGCCCATTCTCGATCGCAGGCTTCGTATATGTTAACCACAGCTATACCACAGGCCAAGCCACCGAGGGCATGTGCGAATGACCCAAAGGCAAAAACATAGCAACCGTGTATTGTGTACGGAAGAAATGATGTCAGGGGAGGTGTTGTTGAAAGAAAGACCGCAGAAGTAGTGAGCACCTGTAAATAAAGCGTTTTAGATTTATTTCATGCCCTGACTGCTGAAAACGCTACCAAGCCTGCCTGTAATGTCATACGTCAGTACATATGTGCTTGGTGTCGAACTGATATTTCCCACCACAATGTTAGTATTACTCAGTCTCTCGACGACCTTCTGCCTATGCTTCTCCCATTCACCATCGTCTATCTTAGATTTCCAGTGATTGTCAAGGGACGATCTTCCTATGGAGATCAGACAGAGTGCTTGGAATAGTATGGAGCCTTTAGGCCACTCTCTAGAATCTGGAACCTTCCAATGGTCTGGTAGTAGCCTGCAACAGCTGGTCAAACGATGTTCCGATAGCAGTCAGTTACTTACTCAGGGGGATTAGTTGTGTTCGGCATTCTACCAGATGGGCCTTGATGTCGAGGTTCCGTCCTCTGTGAAGCTGCGGGTGGTCTTATATGTGCGCTGTAAAATACATATTTGAGTGTGCCATACTGGTTAGCTAGGGTTCTGCAGCATGCACGGCGATTACGTGGAGGCGAATTGTATGGACATTACCTGATGCGCACACTATTGATGCACTTTCCAGTTCCATATACTTAGGAAATGAAAGACATGCACATACGCATACGGTTCCATAATGACCTTAGCTCCTAGATAGAGACGCGTTAGAAACGTGGTTAATATTACCGAATCGCTTGAGAACATCCAAGAAAAGGCTGTGGTTCTTTGCGCTCTACCTACGACTTTGCGCTTTACTTACAATTGAGATCCACAAGCGGCAGATTGTGAACAATGAATGGCGCTTAAGGGATACATCTGGCACTAGCTGATTCCAACTCCTACCGAAATTATAATGTTTTAGCGCTTGTTAGGGCTTCCTATGCTTCAACAACAACAATCAGGTTGAATTGGAATCATTGCACGATCCTCTCTTTACGTCAGTTGATGAAACGTTGAACCGCCGTGACGTGCCTTGGTGACAAAGTGCCAGAACCAGGAAGGTCAGAATTAAAGGCAATCGGCGATGCTGCAGCAGGGCGCTGCAAGCAAGCAGCTGTGCGTGGATGTGTTGCCCAGGTGCCTTGGACAGCGTATGGTGTTGTTGAGCGAGGCTAAGCAGCCCTTCCTCTGTGGTCTTGGAAAAACATATGATGTGTTAGACACATGAATAAGCGCTTAGCGGCTGGCTAGAAAAATGTTAAGTCGGTTTATTCGACGGAATTTCAATACCTACCGAGGGTAAATTTCGTACATGGGGTACCGTAACGACAGGCTCGCGAGCCGTAATTTGCACCCTCTCTTTCTTGAGCCCTGTCGTGCCCCCGACAGGTGTTTTGATACAACCACAGTCACTAGTGCTACGTGGATTAGGCGGAGGTGGTATGTCCTTAACTAGGACAGTACGTCACGGTATGAGGTGGTTGGCCTAAATATTGGAATCACTGCGCGGCTGGATGTCCTGCCAGTGTACGAAGGGTGGATGAACAACTATCATCATTAATATTCCGGCTTCATCTGAACGTTGAAGGTCCGAGTTGCCTCTTCAACTTGACGTTTTTGGATGTATAGAGCTGCTTGTTGTCAGTGCGTTCATACCAAGTATACGGTGGCGAGCTGTCATAAATTGCTAGCTCTTGAACACATTGCACTCCTGTTCGAGTCGCTCCTCCAGATGGCGATCTACGTCGCGCATAATGGAGGATGTCTGCGACCACTTGTCCTACGTCGTAATTAATGTATTTCGAACCATGTAACTACTGCATTCATCAATAGACAAGCGGCGGTATTCTGTGCGGTAAGAAGACCTCTTTATCCTTATTTTCTTGATACCAGACCGGATCATGTGCGATCAGAACCTGCACCCTCGGAATCTCTGATAAAGACCTCATCCTGCGAATGTTCTCCTCCGCGACTTCCTTGTCCTCATGGACACATACCACCGCGCCCGTATTTGCATCAATACTGTATGCAACTTGCATCTTCCCGGTGATCATATCAGGGTGATGAGCCGAATCTCCGCCTAGCAGGATCCAAGCACCATCTGGGGATGTGCGCGCAAGGATGTTGATATGCCCGTCAGCGTGCCCTGCAATGAACAAGCATAAGTGACATTCCTTCCATTATCATGCATGTAGCAGAGAAGAACCTGATGCATCAACAATATACATGCTACCGTCACCGAAAATATCCATTGCGCGCGGGTAGGGTCCGATTGCCACGTTTAGGTCAGAAGCCGTGACGAAGCGTAGACGATCTTCCGGTATACGAATGGATGAAATATAAAATGTAGGATTGCGCAAGGAACCAGTCTCCAGACCTAAGGCTTTCTTTGATCCTTCTCCGAGGACAAACTCGGCAGTCGTAAATAAGGAGGGATCTCCAACGCTGCGGGGAGCCAGGTTAGGCAGTTGATAGCAAGTTAATAGCACCTCAAACTCGGATCCTGAATGACTCACTGATCCCAATGGAGGTGACTCAGGACTACCACGTCGACGGAGGAAGGGGGAACCCCACCAGCCGCCAGAGACTCTGCCACACTCTGCTTCACATCAGGCAGACAACTTTCTGCCATTGCAGCAGGCACAAAGTCATTTATGTCTCTGCGAATTCCTAGGTCAAAAACGACTTTCTTTTTAGTCTTCGAGTGATGCAGGAAGAATGCTAGTGAGGGGACCATCGGATCGTCCGGTTGATCACCAACCACAAGTAGATCCCAAGGGACACTCAGGTGTCCAGCTTCAAGGGCAGATACATGCATGTACGCCTGCTCATCAGATGGAGGGGGGAGTGAAGGCGCTTGTGTGGACATTGGTATCAAGGTCAAGTTAGGATGAATCGAATGCAAGACTCAAATGTGCCTCCACATAAGTAAGGACAGCAGATAGCGAAAGCCGACGGTCAGTTGAATGTCATGTCTCCACAATGTTCGATTCTTGATAACGCAATATGTCACGCTTTCCAAAATTTCAAATAGTTGAGTCCCCGGGCAGTGAAAATGCTCCCCAACTGCTGCGGATTTGGCAGAGTTTTCCCACGCCTGGCACTCCCTACTAGTCACCGGGAGCATGTCGGCCCCACACATGCTGCATCAAGCCTCCCCCGCGTCAAGTTCCATTGCCGCGTTAGTGCCTCGTCAGTAAACCCCGCATGCGTACGTGCCGCGTCCAGGGGCAACAACACTGTATATTTTCTGTCAGTCATGCTAGATCAATATTTAACAGCATCTCCTTCGATCCCAACAGAATAAGATGTCGTTGACCGTCTGTAGGCAGTGACGGTTGTCATTATTTACTAAGCATCATGTGATTCGCGACAGCAAAGTGGCGTCCATCAAATCATTTATCAAACACCTCCCAGTTTCATTCTGTCTCCTATGGACTAGAGAACATCGGGCCTTTTCAAAATATCCTATGGCTTTTGTGAGTGTTTCGAGACTAGGTACTCAATCCCACAACTGTCTCTGGAGTCTGAATCCCGAACCTCCGTCCCTCAAACCCCGTACAGGTACGTCATCCAACCCCTGCAGAGGACAAATGTTCTACTCCGCTTAAAATACGCAGCATGCCACCCGCCTCCATTCCCCGGTCTCAAGCTACATATGCATAACATAGCTGCCCCACCAATGTCCCACTGCCTCTGGTACCCGCTCCGTCAGAGCTGAGGCCGCACAATATCGCTGTTCCCCCTCCTCCTTTACCGGTACCCCCGACTCGCACCAGAACCACCCATACCAATTGCAAGCAACCTCCCACCACCCGAACGCAAGTTTGCATCCCTCCCACTTTTGGACGACACCACTGCTGGTCATGCAGTCACCTCGCCCACTCCCTCCACAAACAGAAACGACCCTCTCATCTACATCCCCATCCTTCCTCACGCACCAACTACTCCCCAACTTACTCTGTCACCTCCAAGCTACAAACCGGCTATTCTTCTGACACAGACTGCTCCATCTTCGCCTCCAATACTAAATTCTCCCTCCCTCCCAGGCTGCCCACCGCAGCCCTTGCATCAAGCAGCCCACCCGAGTCTCCAGGGATGAGTAACAGTATGACTCCCGCACTCGAATACACAGAGGAACACTTTATAACCAACCTCGATACGTGTCGGATTTGTATTTCCAACGCATGTCCATGTCTGTACATGATACTACGCACGGCCCCATGGCGGGTTTCCACGCCCGCCACCCACCCCGCCCAATCTCGAAACCATGCGAAAATCAGAGGAAACTACATCTCGGAGCTGTTTCATCCCCCGAGCTCCCTGTACCGTCTCCACTGGATCTGTCGCAGATGCAGATGCGGGCACAGGGGTGGGGTGAGGAATAATTTTGCGATGCCTATCGTTCCGCTTGCTCAATGGTGAATTTAATTCCCCTTCCTCGCCATCGATGGGAAGGAGGGAAGGATGTTAATATGCGCAGTTGAGAGCCGGAGGTGATGGGCAAGGGCAAAGAGGTCTTTCGCGTTGTTGGATGGATTTTCAAGGAATTCCATTATCTCCCCACACTACACCGAACACATCGTATGATATCACATATGTTAGGAGGTAAGATTGGGAGGTTGGGTTGCACTTAATGATCCTTTTTTTTCTCGCGGCCTTTGATCGTTCTCAGGGCTGTCTCATGTCGTGTATTGTCTTACGTTTGTTTTCTTGCGCATCTCATCTTATCTGATTCGATGTGATACACATCGTTCATTCTTTCGGTCGTTTCGTTTTCTACTATAGACATCCCTCGTTAGCTACTTCCTTGTCAACTACACAGCACGCGCCGTCAGCCCCACCCCATATTCCCTCCTCATCCACTTATAATTCGAATTACCTGCGCATCCTTCCCCTCTGCATATTGCAATTACACGCTCCCGTTGACGCATGCATCATATCATACCTCCCTTTTACTTGTTAGTTGGCTACGCTACGTATCTGCTTAGATTTCACTTTATTTAATTGTGTTTTATGGTTGGGGTGTGTGCGTTTGTGGTCACTGGTCGGAGTGTGTACAAATGGCGCGAATGGCGGTCTAACCTAAGAGGCGTGTGTCCAACCATAGGAGGTCATGCGTTCTAGACCTGATGCGTAGTTAAACTCTGCGAAATGAGGTAGGTGCATGTTTACATAGTAGGCGCTCCATGCAACCGTAAGGGTAACTATAATATTATAACACGAATGATTGCCTACTTGAATCATATAACACGCGAGCCAGCTGCGGCACTAAAGTTGAAATAGGATGCATATTATCATGTTCAGACTGGTCACGATTTCATAGTACATATGACGGTCTACTGTATTTCTCTCTTAAGTGCATGGTGGTTTCGTTGTTTCTCGAGCCGCATCGAGGTACTTAGCTAGGCCCCTGAGCTTTAATGGGCGTAGATGGCTAAATTGCATAGAATTCATTCATATATATATCGAATATCTGCCTCGTACAATACATTTCATGGCGTATTCTCGAAGGTACGTACGCGAAGTGACTAACTCCGCCTGCCACCACAAGCTTCACGATCAGCAGAATTCGCCGTAATACCAATAGAAGCTTCTTCGTCAGCTTTTGACATAGCCTTCTTTCCGAGTGCACACCAGACAAAGACAGGTGGCAGCCACACCCAGGTCAAGATCTCTATCGCCGCCAATAATTGGAGCCACCACACTCCAGAAGCATAGCACGCCGTCAGAAGACCTATGTCATGCCATCAGATATGTCCCGCTATCAAGATACAGCGACTGCTCACATATCGTCAGAAAGACGATAGAAATAGTGAGGGACATAGCCGGCCAGCTCATGAGCATGAGTGTATAGCACACTCGAGCGCGCGTGCCCATCAAGACCTGCAAATGTGTGAAATCAATAGCCATATGTGCAAGACCAGGTCTGCTACCAACATCTCTAGTCCATTCTCTATCAGAGACTTCGTATATGTTGACCACAGCTATACCACAGGCCAGGCCACCGAGGGCATGTGCGAATGACCCGAAAGCAAAAACATAGCAAGCGCGTGTTGTGTATGGAAGAAATGATGTCAGGGGAGGTTGCGTTGAAAGAAAGATTGCGGAAGTAGTGAGCACCTGCAAATCAAGTGTTATAATTCTTTCATGTCCTGACTGCTGAAAGCGCTACCAAGCCCGCCTGTAATGGCATAGCATCAGTACATCTGTGATTGGTGCCATACTGATATTCCCTACCACAATGTTAATATTATTCAGTCTCTCGACGACCTTCTGCCTATGTCTCTCCCACTTGACCTCGTCTTCCTTAGATTTCCAGTGATTGTCAAGGCAAAATCTCCCTATGGAGATCATACAGAGTGCTTGAAATAGCGCGGATCTTATAGGACAACTTTCTGAGTTTGGGACCTCCCACCAGCCTGGTAGTGGCCTGCAAAAGCTGATCAATCGATGATCCAAGAGTAGTCAGTTACTTACCTGCCTGAATTAGTTCCGTTCGACATTCTACCAGGTGGGTCTTGATGTCGAGGTTCCATCCTCCGTGAAGCTGGGGCAGTCTTATATAGCACGCTCCAAATTATATATAGCTATGCTGGTTGGCTACACGTGACGTACCGGATGGGCGTTGGCTAGCACACCGTTGATGGGAAATATGTGCATATACGGATACAGACTACGGTTCCACAAAGACGAATACCCTGAAATGTATTTGCGGGAGCGTGGTGAGTATTGCCAAATCGCTCGAGAATCAAAGAAAAGGTTGTGGTTCTTTGCGCTCTGCTTGCAATTAAGATCCACAAGCAGTCGATTTCGAATGCCATGATGAACGGCGCTTGAAAGACTCATCTAGCCCTTAGGGCTGACGCCCTCTCCTAACGATATTATACAGGCGAGTTACATACCTGCGACTTCCCCTTAGTACTTTCTAGTGCCTCCTATGCTTCAAGAGTGATAATCAAGTCGATTTGGAATCATTGCGTGGGCCTGGCTTGCGTCATTGAACTGCTGTGACATGTTTTTGTGACAGAGTGTCAGAACCAGGAAGTGAGGATGGACAAAATTGAATGATTACAGGCGCCTCTAGACATGCAACAAAGAGACCGGATCTGAGACCTGAGACTAGTTTTGCCCACGTGTAAAGGCAATCAGCGACGATGCAGCAGGGCGCTGCAAGTAAACAATTTGAAGTAGCTGTGCGTGGGTGTGTTGCTGGCTTGAACTGCGTATGATGTTCCGTCAGGTGTTATTGAGTGAGGCTAAGCAGCCCATTCCCTCCTATATTGTAGATGCGTTGGAAGGATTATTGTGACGAACGTGATATTTAAGGTGCAGTAAGCGCGACAAATGTATGGAAAAACAGCGACCATCATCAATCGCACTAACCCCGACTCGGAGGCGGGTGATCTGAACAAATGTGAGCAACGCCAACTCCTTACAACAAAAAGATGCGGTACTCACTCTGACAAGATGACGCGAGTCGTGATTCGCACTGTTGCTGTTGTTCTATTACATACAGCCACCGCGTGAGATCCTACGAGGGTAGTACTTACGTCTTACATAATTGACAAAATTCCCATTTTTCACCTACTATTGGTTACCACTCACTCGTGCAGTCCCACATTTCGTGCATCCTCCAAAACCACACTTTTCCTACTACAAATCTTCAAACTACTATGTCCATTTGAAATAATAATACACAAGAACATCTTACGAGCTTAGACGGATGCATTCGGACAAGAAACAAGAGAGATAAATGTTTGCTTGTGACAAAGGCTTTTGTCACTTCCATTGTCACCTGCCGTCCGATGCCGTAGCGGAGTTTCAACTCAGACGCGTTGGTGGCAACGCGTCTGGACGCGTCTACTTGCCGCACGGATGGCGCGCACTCGAGTCGGTGGGAAGCGGAAAGGTCCCACGGAAAGAAGATCTCGAAGCACTTGCCGGAGCACTCGGACTCTCGAGAGACGGAAAAATCGCTGATCTTGCTGCACGGATCAAAGCTCACTTGGAAGATCCTGACACTCGCACAGCCCTTGCAGATAATCCTCGATTTTCGGCGCTATATGGTTCAAAACGACTCACTGGCAGGCCTGTTGCCGTTGCCAACCCAACTTCGAATGAAAACTCAACACCTTCAGCAAGTACTCCTCTCCCCACGGCAGCCAACAATATGTTCTACCCGCAGCCACCATTTTTTCCGCAAATGCAAGGATCTCTCCCCATTCCTTATCCGAACCACCTACATTATGTTGGCCCCGCTGTACTCTCAACAACCGCTCCTGTCATATCTACATCATCACAGCCATTGCTGTCTGGGCATCCTAATAGTCTCCCTTTTCATTACTCCGGCAACTCGCAATACATATTCAATTAGATTACTACATACTAGCCACTGGTACACTCGTATATATCTTGCTAATATCTAATCCACAGCTTGTCGAGCGGACTGCGAAATCGGACAGTGTGACTATTCCGTGACTTTCCGTGACATTTGCGTGACTGCACGAAATGTGGGACTGCACGAGTGAGTGGTAACCAATAGTACGACTTGTTGAATGTCGGAGTCAATGCTGGCTGGATGTTATTACATAATGTCCTGTATAAGTACGATAGGTGAGGGTGTAGGATAATGACTCGGAAATGAGTGTCTACAGTACATGACGCAGGCCGCTGATAGAACTCTGACAAGGTCAGTGCTAGTCTCCCGTAGTCAGACCCTAATAGAATGAAGACAGTACTAGTAGTCGTTCTTTCTCATCGATCATCGATCAGCGCCGGTCCAGACAGGGAGGAACAACGAAATGACATCTGCAGATATATGACGAGCGGCGCACGCACGTCTACACTTGCCCCTACTAGGTCATGAATCACGGTCATGGTCCAACTTCGTTCCATCATCTCAACTTCTCCAGATATTCCCTGAACATACTTCACATCAAAGCACATGCTTTTTCCATTTCCCCTGTAGCAATAGCAAATGCCATTGTTGACACTTCCCCTCACCGTCTCCTTCTCCGCCCTTACCCCGAGCCCGTCCCTTGTATCACCTTCACTCTCGACACCTTTTCCCTCTATTCACACATTCAATTTCATTGAGTCTTCTCTGCCCTCGGTTCTTACTTACATATACATACTGTCCTACAATGGCGCATGTGATCATCCTGCCTTCGCACCTGCGCACACCCTTGCACTACCGCCTCTCTGTGACCCGCACGCTCCCCCCGATCATCCATACGTACACTCACTATATGCCTACTCCGCCATCGTACAATTGTATACAAGGTCCTGCCAACTGGACACTGTTAACTTTCGGTTCTTATGTCTAGGGGAAACTCCATCCTCCGAGTCATGCCGGTTCGGATCTTTGTCGAATGTCACCGTTTCCCGGAAACGCGCAATAGGTCGTCTTGGATGCAACCTCCGCGCTTCTTCGTGAAGCAAAAACAATGAATTATCGGAGTTGTACCTACATACCGCACGACGCCTGTTTGTTGATGACGCCTCGACTTGGCCTCTGCGCATCCCGGTGTTATTTGGGCGCCATCTTCAAATTGACGAACTTTACTTGCATCCCCTCGGCGTCTACGACTAAAATTGCGCCCTTATGGCACACTGCATGCATCCGTCTAGCAGCTCAGATTTAGGGGATTTGCAGGAGTTCTCAACCCGCAGGATATTCAAAGGCGGCGGCGTACGTTCGATCTTCCCACTCATCTCATTGACCTTCACCCATGGGAATGAACATTTCGGTTGTTGTACTGGCGAGGTTCTTACCATATGTAGTACCTGAGTTACATTTGTAGCGTAGTTAGCCAATTAAAACCGTCCATCTACCACAGAGTTCAGACAAGTCAAGTGGTTAGGCATAGCCCGGCCGCTGGTTAATCACGGAGTGGCATGGAGCGGCAAGCCTGAAAACCTGCAGGTGCTGATTTTGCCGCTTGAGGTATGCTACTATTCATTTTTCATTTGCGCACTGTATCTGAGTTATCGCTGTCCCCCCCTCGAACCATAAAATACTTACAGGAGCTTCGGCACTAAAATTGAAATAGGATATTAACAATGGCACCATTTTTCTCGTTCACGCGCGCATGTATCTCTGTGGGATTGGAGCTCAGATCTCAGAGTTGAGTTGGATTCATCTGCAACCTGCAGACCGCCCGAGAGCACTGGTATATATTTGAGTGTCACCTTCAACTCCTGGACTTGGAGTTGTATAACACATTGAAGGGAAGCCCTCCGGAATGGACGCTGAAAACACCTAGTATGACACAAGGTCCACCGTCGAACTGAGCATCATCAGTTGAAGGTGGATCCCAGCACCCGTGTGGTCCATGATAAAGGAACCAGACCATTAAGACGTTAGCTATCCTCACCAATTTAAAAGGAACAATTGGCGATTTTCAGGAGCAATAACAGTTCCGCCACTCGCAGGATCCACGAACCCCTATGGACTACTGGATTCACGGCAAAGAGTAAGGTGCCTATGGAAGCATGGTGGGATTTCCGTTTTATCATTATTACCAAACTCACTGAATGAGGCACGTCAGACCAACGTCAGACTGGTCAAAAGTCTACTACTATACAGGTGTCTTGGGTATCTTGCTTTCATGGCGTATCCTCCAAGGCATGAGGCTACACCGCTGAAGTGCCTATCCCTGCCTGCTGCCATGAGCTTCACGATCAGCAGTGTTCGCAAGGAAACGAGCCGCCATGGGTGTCATGGCGCTGCGGGAACGTTTACCCGGTTAAGTTTTTGTCTGATGTCTCATGGTAGTCATTTCGAGTGCACACCAGACAAAGAGAGGTGGTAAACCACCCAGGTCAGGATTTTTATTGTCGCCAAGAACTGAAGCCACCACACTCCAGAAGTATAACACGCCGTTATAAGAGCTATAGAATGCCATCAGGTGCGTCTCGCTGTCAAGATAGTGACTGCTCACACATCGTCGAAAAGACAATAGAAATGGTGAGGGATAGAGCCCTCTTTGACGCTGGGGCAGTCTTATATAGTGCGCTGTAATTAAGTATGCCATGTTAGTTGGTTAGGGTTCTGCTGCATGCACGGAGATTACGTAGAGGTGATCTGTATGGATGTTACCTGATACACCATCGATGCACTTTTCAGTTCGAAATGAAAGACATGCATATACGCATATGGGCTACGGTTCCACAAAAACCTTAGTTCCCTGATAACCCTGAAATACATTAGTAGATGGATAGAAACGAGTTAGAAACGTGGTGAGTATTGCCAAATCGCTCGGGAGAACATCCAAGGAGAAGCTGTGGTTCTTAGCGCTCTACTTACAATTGAGATCCATAAACGGCAGATTGCGAATGCTATGATGAATGGCGCTTGTGGGGTACATCTAGCACTAGGGTTCACTCCAACTCCGAACAAAAAGGATAATACAGGAGTTTCATATCCGCGACCGAAACGTGCCTTAGTAATAGAGTGCCAGAGTCAGGAAGTGATGGTGGACAGAACTGAATGGTTCCATCCGTCTCGGGACATGCGACACAAGAACCGAATCTGAGACCTGAGACTAGGTGTAAAGGCAATCAGCGGCGCTGCAAGTAACCGAGTTGAAGCAGCTGCGCGTGGGTGCGTTTCCCAGGTGGCTTGAACTGCATATGATGTCCCGCTGGGTGGCGTTGGGTGAGGCTAAGCAGCCCACCCCTGTGGTCTTGGGAATAAGATAAGTTAGGAAGACACAGCCTACTACTTACAACGGTTCCATTGAATAAATTTCGTACACAACGATGGCTGACAGGTCCCATACTGTATATGCGTTGGAAGGATGTGGGGCAGAGGTGATGTCTAATATGCAATAAACGCGACAAATGGATGAAAGTATTGCAAGACTCCAAGGATGGGAAATACAGTAGTACGTGTAAAAACATACACCACCGACCACCATCAATCACACTAACCCTGAGGCGGGTGATCTGAACAAATGTAAGCAACTGCAAATGCAACCCCAGCTCTTAGATGCAGTACTCACTCAGACAAGACGACGCGAGTCGCAATTCGCACGCCCTCTTTCCCGCGCTCTGTCGTGCCACCGATGGGTATTCTGATACAGCCACCGCGTGCGATCAGGTGAGGGTGGTATGTCCTTGACCAGAATACGATATCTCACCTATGAGGTGTGTTGAATGTTGGAATCACTGCGCGGCTAGATGCCATTGTCCTGCACGAAAGGTAAAGATGAGGGTGTGGGAAGGATGAAAAAGAGCGTCATACATAACGCAGGCCGCTGAAAAGACTCGGTCAGAGAATATACAGAACGATTGGATTCGACGTAAGTACCAGGGTAGGCAAAGAAGATATTCATGATATCTTGTTGTGACGCATCAATTAACATAGAACCTTGGACGGACACGTGTGTGCTTGCTCACAATTGAAGTTCAGCCAGGAAAAGATCTGTGGGGCGTATTTCAGTGAAAAAAATGTAGGCAGATAAGAAGAACGTACAAGCGGTATGACACTAGCTAAGAACGTGATGAAGAAGTAGATTATGCCCTGGCTACGCAGAGTTGTCCAGAGCGAAGACGAAGACGATCGCGAAAGGCCGAGCATGGTCAGTATCAGCAGTAGAAGATCAAAGATCATGGCTGAATTGGCGTTTGAGTGCTTCCACTTTGATATTACGAGAAATTTCACTCACTGTACGTGGACGTAGCAGCAGAATATGTAGGGTTTACGACTAAGAATCCACAGAAGGAGGAAGATGATGAGACTTGCGTATCCTTCGAGTCTGTTACGGAGGTCAGTACCTTGTGATGGTACATGTGCGAATGATGCATGCCGAGTGTCAATGTGAACCAGTGCCCTAGGGTCACTAGTGCTAATAAGAGACAGACAGAACGATTGCCCCTCCAAATGGCCCATCTTAGTGGCGTTGTATAAGCGGAATCCAACCCCAAAGAACACGAGACTCACGTCCGAACCATGAGGTTCATGGATGCACAAGCCACAACGACGTTGTCAGAGAACTGGGGATACGAATATCAAAAAGGGTCATCAACAGTGGACAGACACCCTACCGCCAAGAATTTTAACACACCTATAGAATTGAGGAGCGTAAGGGGAAACGTGGTGGTCAACTATGATGCTCACAATCGCAATCAATATGTGGCGCAACGGCAACACTCAACACAGCACTAAAACTTGGTGTGAATAGAAGTACAAGGTACATTGTAGACTCGAACTGACGACAGGATGACTGTAATGAGAAAGAATATTCGACCAGTCAAGTACGAAACCTGAATATTCGATTCGACGCACGTGAAGAAAATTACTGAAGACAGAATGCATGCATATGCTCACCATATGCCATTGAAATGAAAGCTGCCGTCGAAGTAAAGCATTTTCGACGTGGCAAGAGTGTAAACACTCCCACCTTTCATATCAATCTTCTACGTCAGCATGCTTCATCGATATTTAACGGCAGTACAAGCGCACCCGTATAATCCCAGCATGAGAAACGTGACATCAACGAAAGCCAAGCTGCAACTCTCGATCACTTCTGGATCCTGCCAATCGATCATCTTCGTGATGGTCTAGACAGATGATCTATGCCTGCGGCGGCGCACCGAACGGGAGAAGTTGTGGAGGCTGTCCAAACAAATGAATTTGAGTCGTTGCAGTCGGAGGGAGAGGAAGATAGGATGAGAATGATTGGAAAGCACTTGATCTCCTGTACAGCCCGATATTTCCCATCAAACAGTTTATCCGATGTTGTAAGTACATATGGGAAGGAATGAGAACGAGTGGGCCAAACCCTGGGAGGCAAGTTGCTCGCTGATACTGGTTTGGACGGATGGTCACACCGCTGCCAGTTCAAACTTCATCTGCACCGGTGCTGTTTGAGTAGCCATGAATTGACAATGGAGAGTTCAATGATTCGGTATTCAACGTCAACCATCAAGTTTTCATGTTATCATGAATTTTCCAAGGGAGTGATAGGTGGGAAAACGGGAAGAGTCAAGAGTCAGAAGTGGCGCCGGCTAAGCTGATTTCTAAATTCTGACCAACACCGTTACACTCACATAGTGGCAGTTGAACATATCGGCAGCGTACATACGTACGTTTATGCACATACACAACTCAAGGATCCCCAATCAACCATCTTGTTTTCAACCTCGAAAAGAAGGGAGAGGCACCTGGCGCTTATAGCCAATGGCCGATACAGTGGCGGAGCATGCAAGTTATCTCCTTCCATAGAGGAATTGGAACGCACTTACTTCTGTTCCAGTTTTGACCAAGGTTGAAGATTCCTGGAGGCGCATGCTACATAAAACTTTGAGTGTTCCACAGTCTCGAGTCTCCCCTAGGCAGACAATAAGAAGACAGCTCTAAATGCTCACCCCCAACCAGCTGTCCGAGTCTGCATTTTACTTAGTGCATCTCATAGTACTGAGTGCGCCAGACTTTTTCTCATAATCAACTCACAACTTGAACCACGCCTATTTGAGGGCTATCCTTAAGGCCTGTCAATTGGATGACAGCCTTGCGTGACGCGGATAGCCAAGTATTACTTAGTTTTCGGGGGGCAGATCCTCACTGACGCCGTAAGTAACGAGATATTAGAGCTTTATGGTTCAACTTGGGAGTCGAGCTCCGAATCATGAATCGGAACGGGATACTCTACGCGTTACTCATTTACCGAAATGCAAACGTGCAGGCTATATCAAATACCCACATATACTGACGGACCAGGAATCTGCTGCTGAATCCTTCGCCCGCAGCAATGTCGGATCGTCCTCTGCTCGTGGCACGCAACTACAGCTACAGTCCCCACTATGGTGCCCCTGGCAGAAGCTGTGATGACGGTCCAGCACTTCCTGAGCAAAACAGAACAATCGTGGAGAAGAGGCTCCTCCGTAAGTTGGACCTTCGAGTAGCATTCCTGATTCTGGTTTACATCATGAACTTTGTGAGTTGGTGCACCTAGTGTTTCATTTATTGCCTAAACCTAAACTTTTTGCATAGATGGACCGCACTAATATAGCGTACGTGGCCCTTCGAAATTACTTACTTGGAATGTGTATGTTAACCGCCCACTCGCAAGTGCAGCGAGGCTGCGTGGTTTTGAGGAGGACCTTGGCATGATGGGGAACCAATTTAATACACTCACCAGCATCCTTTACGTGGGGTATTTCTTGACACAAGCTCCTTCGTATGTACCAGCACATTATCCTTTTGTGGCATACCCGAGAATTCACATCAAAAGCAACATGTTCTTAGATCGCATGAAAAGGCCATCACTGTACCTCTCAAGTTGCATGGCGATATGGGGTGCTATCACCGTGTTTATTGGTATGTACATCTTTCACTTAATTAACATTGACTGACGAGGGTCATGGAAGGTTTAGCTCGAACGTTGGTGTCTATCACTCTTGCTACGCTCGAGTTAACGTTGCTTCAGGTATCATACCGCTCTTATCTTACGCTTCTTGATTGGATTTGTAGAGGCAGCGTTCTTTCCCGGAGCTGCATTCCTTCTTTCACGATGGTATGATTGCCCCATACCTCCGAACAATATGTATTGAAAATTTTCTAGGTACAAGCGCAATGAGCTAGAGTTACGCACAGCACTTCTTGCTTGCGGCGGCCAAGTCAGTAATGCTTTTGGTGCCCTTATGGCGTCAGGAATTTTGTCAGGCCTAGATGGTACCCTAGGTTTTACAGGATGGAGGTCTGAGGCGAAATACACATGCTTTCAAAAGCAGAAATGTTCTGACTTTGCTATTGCAGGTGGCTCTTCTTTGTGGAGGGTACTTTGACTGTTGTGGTTGCAGTGTCTGCAATCTGGATTATACCAGATTTTCCGTCAATGCCGAGCGTCTGGCTTTTGTCTGACGAACAAATCCTGGCCAAACGACGGATGGAGGAGGAAGTTACGACCGGAAACAAAGGCAAGCCCGTAGAAGGCTGGTCTGGTCTCGCCGAGGCTCTTATGGATTGGAGGGTATGGTGGCTCGGTGCTGTTCGCACCTTGACAGACGCTTCTTTGTCATTTGTCATTTTTTCCCGACGCTATCTGCGACGATGGGGTACAGCGCGACTGTCAGTCTCTTACTCTGCGCACCTCCGTGGATTTTGGGAACTGCAACTTTATTTCTTGTAGCCAGGTAAGTGTTTACTTGGCAGACTCGATAAGTGAATTAACGATAGTCAAGGCACTCCGATGCAACTGGTGATCGCTTTTGGCATATCACTGGCCCTCTACTCGTCGGCATTGTGGGGTTTATCATTTCCATTTCAACTATGCATACGGCCGTTCGATATCTGGCCCTGTACGAACATTCCCTTCCTTAGTTTGCAATTCACGGGCTTACGTGCTCCGTGAAGATTTTTTATGACTCAGGCCACAGTTGCCTCTGTTGTCTTGTTGACCTGGGTCATGAATACCTTTTCCCAGTCACAGTCCAAACGCGCTGCAGCCATCGCACTAATAAACTCCATGTCAGCGTTTGGCTACATCGGTGTACCGTCAGTTCACAACAACCTCGTGCTCTATGTTGCCACTGACGCCGTCACAGGTACTTCTGGCCGTCCAGTTGGGGACCTTCATACGTGAACTCATATCTCATTTGCATCTTGACAAGCATCATGCCTATTATAATGTGCTGGATATTTAGGGAGCACCTTTCCCGGTGCAATGAAGCTGCTGAAGCCGAAGAGCGAGCTCTAGGGCTGTCCAAGGGCTTTAGATATCTCCTATAGCACTCGTTGCTCAACTGTCCCCCAGAAGCGGTGTTCAGTTGGTGCTCGGTGGGGTTTGCCTATGATAGGTCAAGGAGTGGTGGTGGGTCCAAACACATTAATGGACGAACATGTCGCCGATTTTCCGGCTCTTGTCTGAACGTTGTCAAATGTACAGATCTACTTACATACTTGAGTATTGTCAGTGCGTTTGTGCCAAGCATGGGGTGCGGTTAAAATTACGCGTCACAAAAATGGCATACACATTGTACCCCTGTTCGAGTCGCTCCTCCATGGTGAATTACGTCGTGCATAATGGGGGATGTCTGCGTCCACTGTCCTGTGTTGTAATAACGAACCTCGTGACTCCTACGGTATCCATCATTGGCCGTGCGGTGCTGTGTGGTAAGAAGACGCCTTTATCCTTTTTTCCTTGATACCAGACTCCATGTGCAATCAGAACCTCGGAATCTCTGATGACGACCTCATCCTGCGAATGTTCTCCGTGACTTCCTTGTCCTCATGACCACATGTCACCGCGCCCGTATTTGCATCAACACTGTATACAACTTGCATGTTCCCGGTGATCATATCAAGGTGATGAGCCAAATCTCCGCCTAGCAGGATCCAAGTACCGTCTGTGGAAGTGCACGCGGGGATGTTGATATGCCCGTCAGCGTGCCCTGCAATGAACAAGCCTAAGTGACATTCCTTCCATTATCATGCATGTAGCAGAGGAGAGGAGAACCTGATGCATAAACGGTACACATGCTACCGTCACCGAAAATATCCATTGCGCGGGTAGGATCCGATTGCCACGTTTAGGTCAGAAACTGTGACGAAGCGTAGTGGTCTTCCGATAGACGAATTGATTGAAATAATATAGGATTGCGGAAGGAACCAATCTCCAGACCCAAGGCTTTCTTCGATCCTTCTCCGAAGACAAACTCGGCAGTCGCAAATCTCCAGCGCTGTGGGGAGCCGGGTTGGGTGATTAATACCATCTCAAACCCTGAATGACTCACTGGTTCGAATGGAGGCGACTCAGGACTACATACCACAACAACGGAGAATGGGCCGATGCGTCAGCTGAATGGCCATGTCTCCACGACAATTCTTGATAACGCAATACGTCACGCTGGTTACCTGTTTCACACCAAACCAAGGGACCTCGATGGTAGGCTGAAGCTCTCCAAATAGTTGAGTCGGGAATGGTTTTCCGGAAGTGCGAAGTCCCTAGCACCCCAGCTTAGTGATAATGATCGATGATGTCTAGATCTAGGCAGAAGTTGGTAGAGCGTATTTATCGGATAACAAACAATGCATTGACAAGACGAACGTTCTTTGGCAACTTGAAGACTTTGTGGACAAGGTTGAAAGCAGGCATTCAACGACCTGCAAGTATTCACACCCCAACTGGGTTGTAGTACATGTTTGCGAAAGCGTTTGTAGTGTGCACTCAGCATTTACCCATTCGTGCCATGAATGCTGCCTGGAAAGCGAGGATGAATGGACACGAACCGATAGCTTAGTCAATTTCAACTCTCATTTCCGCGGATCTGGGTAGACACGTCAAAGCACGTAGATCGCCACCGTTTCCCGATGGTGACCGACGTCGAACTGCAGCTTTCAAAACCAAACGCTTAACCCCATCTGCCTCTGACAAATGCGTGAGCACTAAGGATCGGAACTGGCAGTACAACCTTGGCTGTTGCGGTGCGTTGGCAGGAGGGCTAGTCGCAAACCGGCCTTGCGGGCCTATATTGCTGTCCAGCAACGTTGAGAAGGAACGTGCGAATAGGATACCATAGGATACCTCGCCAAAAAGCATAGCTAGACACGTTCTGGCGAAACATAACTAGATCCAAGCTCTCCGGGAAGATCATATGCACATGGCCAATGACTTTCAGGTTCAAACCCCGACAGTCTGAGTTCCGATACTGGACAGTCAATCAATTAATCACATTTACTTACTACTTTACTGTCGCTATCTGTGGCGCAACCGCACTGCCCATTGCATGAACGTGAACGTGCAGACACTGTGCCAAGTACTAGTATGTGCTACACTTAGATCATTAGGTAATAGGTGCTATGCAAGACTGACGTTGGTGGAACGTAGTGTTTTAATTTCATCAGGGAACAGCTTGCCTCTCGATCGGGGCTCGTTCCCTAGAGATCTTATAATAGCATCAATAGGCATCTATCAGCAAGAATACGTGAGTTTCCATCGTCAACGGTGTCTACTGAGCAAATTGGCTTCGAAACCACCTGAAGGCGTGAACAAGTTCCAGACAACACGTGTCCGAAGCTTACTAGTGTGATGTATAACTTCCACAGTTTGCATGTGAGTATGAGCTCCTGAACAACGCACAGGATCAGTGATCTGTATCTTTTCTTGTATTCCCACTGCAGTGTGCCAATCAGGACTTCTAGAGCAACGGCATCAATGCTTGGCATCTGATGCTCAGGCTCATAAGTTAGAACGGTAAGGTTCTCGATGCCCACAGACATGATGATGAGTAGCTCCACTGGTGCACCGTTTTATCTCGTTGCTGACGATACGCGTACGCTGTCTGCATTACAGAGTGCTCATTATCTAGAAATAGCATGCTTCACACTTCTGGTCTACGATCTACTGACTACCTTCGGAGAAGAGGTGTGTGACGGCTCATAGCGTTGTTGAGACTTCACTACATCATATACGCATCTCAGGTTGAGTACTTCTGGTCGGGCCCATGGAGCATGTCGCGTGTTTTGTTTTTCTCGGTGGGCCCTTCATCTTCTCTCTAAAGTAAGCCTTTATCTGAAGGCTGCTTCAGAACCGATATCTTCCATTAGCTGTCATGATGTAGGTCCAATCAACTACCGCTAAGGGACTGACCTGACTTTTACCTGGTTCCGCACATCCAAGACCAACGAATACCGGTGAGTATTGCGATCCTTGGTTTCAATCGTCCAATGAAGCGATCGACTCTCTCAGCGTTGTTTGGGACCGAGATATCAGCTCAGGTTTGGTAGATTGTTCTCTACGATTGCACGCGCTAATTAAGTCGTATCACAATCGATGATACTTTTAGTCGTAAGGCTGAACTTGTCCTTGTTAACGGTCCACGTGAACTAATTATTGTTTAAGGTGCACTTCGTTGATTCGCGCTACATTTGAGCTTTCAATCATTGCACTTTGCATCAACCAAGGTTCTAGTGATCTCATACAAGTTACTGTGGCTTGGCTAAAATTTTACAATACCAGGGATCCTCCTCCTGCGCGTGTGGTACATGTACTCCCATAGTGTCATTGTACGAGCCGTTGCATGCGTCAGCTATGCAGCATGCACTTTATCGTCCCTCATAATGCTGGCCTTGAATCTTCAGTTCCTGGAGTCATCCGCAAAATCTCTGCAAATTCAGAGGAAGATATCAGACATTCCAGGATGTTCCGCGCCTGCCCCATCGATGATATGGACAGTTTTTGTTCCAAGTACTATCATCCATACAATTTTGTTTGTGTTCACAATCGCGCGAGTCGCGAAGGTCTCACATGATTTTCGGATGGATCAATTGATGCGGCGTCTCGTACGCGAGTGAGTTCCATTCCGTGAGCAGGATTTTCACCACACTCACTGATTATTCAGTGGTGGCCTTGTCTTCTTCGTTTCGATGGGTGAATGACAAATTAATTTCTTCCACTGACCAGCGTACTAAACAGTACACAGCTTCGGCGATATTTTCCGTAGTCGGTGCCCGTTTAACCACAAATCCTGTCGTAAGTCATCCATACTTTCTTCGCTCACGTAGCGCTTAATGCTCGGAGCTCACAGATCAATGGACCAGCAACGTGGTCAAAGTGAGTTCTTCTGCACCTGCGTGTATTATCGCTCTATGCTAAGCAGCGTTACTATTTAGCTCACAGTTGGCGATAAGCGCGGTTGCGGTGTCTCGGCTTATGCTCAGCATACGGTCCCTCGCTGGGAAGTTGAGGATTAATCAACATTGGTTATTCAACCCGTCTGAGCTCAGCAGGGTAAAGTGGAGGGATGTCTCTGGTGATTATGGCCGTTGCATCGTGATCGAGATGGACACGCATGAACCAGTAACACAAGAAGTATAAAGTTGGTTGTGACGTTGTGTACTCGACGGGTATTTGTCGGAGTCCGGAATTCGGATAGAAACTTAAACCCATACTAGGTTAGATATTCCCGCAATGCATCCAACCCAAATTTTTGTGCAGAACTGCAGAGACTGACAGTGTGATATAATGGCGACACTTCTTCCTCCTCCGAAAAGACCAAAGCTATATCACGGCGTCGCAGAGCCTGAGCCTGAGCCTCTGAAAGCATCGCCCAATGTCGTGGTTCAATTTGTGAACGAGCACGATGGGACACCGATAGCACCTGCGGTGAACCTCCCAGCGAATGTTGCACGGGAGGGCCTTGAAGTACTCGTCAATCAGTTGCGCACAAAGGTTAGGCACTTGCTCTATCATCGGTTGGTACTCCTTCTAAAAGTTGACTGTGATCCAGGATGACGATGAACATGTACCATTTGCTTTTCATGTTGCTCTACCTGAGGAGGCGATGAAACCAAATGCTCCAACGCGAATCGTGATATCTAGGTCGATAGAAACGGATGTTCTTGGACATGCATCTCATGCGTTCTCAGAAGAAGACGTACTGGTAGTACGCTGCGCTCCACAGTCTGTATTCAAGGTTCGCCCAGCTACTCGATGTTCCACAACACTTTCAGGTATGTTGATTGCCTATTGGGTCGCATCGATAAAATTTGATGTTATTGTGGTATCAGGGCATTCGTCCCCAATACTATGCGCTTCATTCTCCCCTACAGGCAACCTACTAGCGACTGGTTCAGGCGATACTCATGTCCGCCTATGGGACCTTCATACTGAAACACCATCACACACGCTGACCGGTCACACTGGATGGGTACTATGTGTGGAGTGGGATCCACTAGAACGCAAACTGGCAAGTGGTGGCCACGATGGTCATGTAAGACTATGGGATCCAAAAACTGGAAAACCGCTAGGCGATGCAATGAAGGGCCATTCAAAATGGGTGACATCTTTGGCATGGGAGCCACTACACTTGTGCGTTACTAGCTATGATATCTTCCAATGTTATTCATTTCTGACCCACCAGAAATCCATCTACCCCGCGGGTGGCATCCTCATCTAAGGATGGAACCGTGCGAGTATGGTCGACGGCTACACGAAAACTTGAATACGCACTTGGCGGTCACACTGCCAGCGTAAATGTTGTCAAATGGGGAGGCGGTGGTTTGAATGGTCATGGAGTACTCTACACAGCCAGTAGTGACTGTACAGTCAGAGTATGGGATGCACGAGGGGTAGGCGTATCCTTCCATCTTTACCACGCGACCACCTGATACTGTTTTCCAGGGGAAGCAACTTCATATTCTGAAAGACCACGCACATTGGGTAACTACTCTTGCTCTCAACACGGATTTTGTACTTCGCACTGGACCATTCGATCATACCGGAAAACGACCATCGTCGGACGAGGAAGGTAAATTCTCAACTGTGCGAGTTCTCTTTCGTTAGAATTAAATTAACACAAACATCAGCTCAAGCACTTTCTCTCAAAAGATACACTGCACTCGTGTCACGAACGCCAGAGCTACTGATCTCGGGTTCAGATGATCACACACTCTTCCTCTGGTCTTTATTTGCATCTTCGAACGCAGAACCGGGAGGAAAGACTAAACCGTTGACCCGTCTGACTGGTCACCAACGGCAAATATCTCACGTCGCTTTCTCGCCAGATGGTCGGTGGGCAGCTAGCGCTGGGTGGGATAGTGCAGTGCGACTATGGGATTGTTCAGGTAAGTTAGACGGCTGGTGTATGTCTGATGGCAGCTTGATTCATTTCTTCTGCTGCCTCGCAGGTGCTGGGCAGCTGGGCAAGTTTGTGGCTACACTGCGTGGACATGTCGGTCCCGTCTACCGACTTGCCTGGAGCGCAGATTCACGAATGCTGGTGAGCGCCAGCAAGGATGCAACTGTCAAGGTAAGTTCAACATGCACGCGAGGTTTTTCGATTGATGGAAATACCGTTGCGCTAGATTTGGGACCTCAAAACATACAAAATTAAGTCGGACCTTCCTGGTCACACAGACGAGGTCTACTGCGTGGATTTTGTCGCTGATAAGGTTGTGAGTGGTGGCCGCGATCGGACTGTGAAGATGTGAGTTCATGCACCATTTTCGTGCATCTCGGCGCCGACTTTTCTTTGCAGATGGAAGAACTAACTGTACAAAGTTGCTTTGCACTGACGTTGTGTAATGCCCTCATTATCTCGCTGAGGAGTGCCATCGCCATTTTGCGTTGTTACCACATACCGCCAGCTGGATAGTTGATGCTGTCCATTCGTGATCGGTAAAAGATCCTACTGGGCATGAAATGCACGGAAGGCATTTGTTGAAATCCGCATCCCCAAGTCCAGATCTGCGGATACCCGAAGTGCCAGCATGAGTCAGGTGTACTGGTTTTGAACCTATCTAATCCTGGTCATCCACTTTGCACGCACCTAGATACCTCGACGGGTTAGGAAGTGTCTGTATCGTGCCAAGTGCAGCGTACACATACTATGGATCCTCACTGGTGCTCATCCGGAACATTGGCGCTGCATGTGGCTCTCAGCTTGCGAGTATCATCGCGAGTCCCTGAACGTTGATTGTCAAGGAGGATATTTCGGTGGGCTTTGTATCGGGAGTACACGATCATATAGTATCGATATGAGAAGAGCTAAACATTCTGAACTTGTTCCTCCAGCCAGTTCCACAGCTCCGTTCCCTGTTGTGGATCCTGCGCGTCCGCGCGTGTATTTCCAATGCGTGCCCACGGAATAAGATACTGTACAGGATATGAGGTCTCATTCAGTCAGGAGGGAGGGGGGCTAACCCTTCCGTTAAGGTTAGCTCCTTCTGCGGTGGTTCCAGCATATAGCAGCGTGAGCGCGCCATATGATACATCGTGAAATATCAAGTTCTACGATATCGAAATTTAGCTTGGAAAGCTTGAATGTTATATGGTAACATACGCCTAACGTGCGAGCGAAGAAACCGTAATAACGAGAAATCTCGGTTTTGATACTACCAGGGTTGAGCGCGGTTGAGACTACACCCTGGTCACCATATCCCCTGGCTAGCTCAACCGAAAATATGATGTTCCCCTTTTCACGCCGCCTGAGCTAGTGATATATTGAATACAACGGAGACAATGCTTACCGTTTTGCTTTGGCCATAGAGAATCGTGGTGCTCTTGTTTCTCCTGGCGGGAGAGTCCCTGAAAGTGTTGAAGTCTAGACCACTGAACCAGTGGGCATTAGATGCCGTGTTAACAATGCGTGCATTTCCGTCAGGCGACTCCCTAGCAGCCGCAAGAAGAGCTGGCATAACGAGCTTTGTGAAGTAGAAGTGTCCAACAACGTTTGTCCCAAATTGTAGGTCATAACCATCGTCCGTCAGCATCTCAACAGGAGGGTTCATTACTCTTCTGATCACCACGTGAGAGGACAACGAGACAATAGGCTGGGTAACGCTCACGCATTGTTGAACAGGACGTGCAATTGGGGCTCCTTGCTACAAGGATGTTAACGGCTGCTTTGTTGCCTGGCTAAAGCAATGCAAGCCCACCTCAGAAACTCTTCTCCAGCAGCCTTTATGGATTTCAAATTTGCCAAGTTGAGTTGCAACAAAATTGCTTCCTTTCCTGTGTTCTCCCTGAGCTCGCGAATAGCGTCCTCACCCTTGGCCTTGTCACGACAAGCAACATAGACTTTTGCGTTTTTTGTGAGGAGGACCTGAGAATAAATGCGTCAGTATGAAGCAAATACCACGTTGATGGGCCACAGACTCTGGCAGTTTCTTTCCCTATCCCTGCGTTAGCACCCGTGACGAGAACAACCTTCCCCGACATGTCTGGGACGTCGGACGCGTGGTTGCCGGAGGAAAGACTTCGCCAACGAAAGCTGACTAAAGTTGACCCATGATGAGTTATAGATTTAAGAACAGTGATCTCGAGAGTGCGTCCTAGATATCAAAGAATTCAGCTTGGAGAGGAATGCACTAACTTACACAGATGAGTACGACTCCTATCAAGAGTGATGTCATACGCCTTTTGAGATCGGCGCCATGCGACAATCACGCGACTCCACGGCAACAGCGGCAACCCAAAACGAGTGCCGCATGAACTTTATCGAGATAGATACCGTCCAGCATCTGGCTGTTACGCTCAGAAACAAGTTTGGCCTGAGGGGGATTAGAAGGAGAGTTGGGGATCTCTGCCGCGAAAGATTTCGGAGAAACCCACATCAGATTATCTGATGAAGAGCCGGTTGCATTGACACAACCTTGATGGAGCAACTTGGACGGAGGCGGCGGGAGAGAAGGAGTGAGAGGGCAGGAAGCCTGATGGTTGGTGGACGCCTGACTCGACGAAAACCTCTCCATCATCACCGCCAGTTTCAAGTTAGGACATGGAGGGAGGCTCGACAACGAATAGGAAGAACAATCCAAGACACGGTGGGCTGAAATTCATTGGCTCCCAGTGATGGCGGCTTAGCACAAGAAGATATAGCAAGTGTCGAGCGCGCCATGTCCCGCCTCTCCGACGCGAGTATTTGGCGCTCGTCTGGGTGTTTAAAGGTACTTACATGTCAGGATAGATAAAAGCTTTGATATGTAACCTAGTTATCTGCACAAACAAATTCATCTTCGGGGGAAACTTGAATACACAACCAAAGTAATGAGCAGGCAATGAGTCAGTAACAGGAGATATAGCTATGTGAACGAACAGTCCTGTGTGCGCCAATCGCCTAGCCAACCCTATAGAAGAAGTAAGGTAGTCGTTCCTTCTAATAGTAAGGTGTAGGCATTTGTACTCCCACATGTGACCCACAAGACGTATGCTTCTAGCATCAACTTTCAACCCTCCCAATCAACTCCCAAGCTTTAAAGATTGTTGGACGCTAGAGGTTCGTCAGTCACGTTGCAGATACTCGCCGAAAACTACTCACACTGAGTACAATCGGCGTCGATATCGGGATCGGGACATTTATTCGGACGTTTGCGGGTAGGAGTGGCACTGACTGCTAGGATTTGTGCTAAGGCAACAGACAAGAGTAGGACGTAGAAACCGAGTCTACTGATGTTGAGCACGATCATGGTAATAGTACTCTTCCCTAAGCTTTGCTGTTCAAGATGCGTTGTGTTGTGCGAGATGAAATTGGGAGTTGCCAGTGCGCCCTTTAAATATCAGTTCCATCCCGGAGAAATTATGCAAAAAAGAATAAGAGCCTTCGCAAATTCTCGCTGCATTGTTCATCCAGTGACTCGGTTGCAAGTTTCGTCATCATGCGGAGCCGGGTTCCCGTTATCACTCGGAGTCAGGTTCCCGACTTCCCGTTTCATTAACGACGCAGCGTGTTGTCTGAATGTCATTTTCAGATGATATAAATCATAAGATGTATCCCACTGTGTGCTGTCAATGCTGTTGGAATGGGGCTGTTTGCTATGGTTTGCGTAGCTTAGTCAGCAGCGTAGGGCCTTCATCATTGCTAGGCATCCCCAGAGGCAGGCAGGCTCTTGGTCTGCACCGCTCCACTGTGATGGATTCGGCGCTCAGTCTCTGCCCACGTGTGGACTCACGGTCATTAATCATTGGTGGCTGATTAAGCACTGTGTGACTGCATATTCAGCGATCAGAATTCGAGAGAGACAGTGAAAACTCGTTGATCAGACAATAATCATAATTCAAATTTCATGATGGCTACTTCACCTAATGACATATGATGAACCGGCTTGGGCCTGGTGAAAACTCATACCAAGCCTCGGACCTCCGAGCCCATTCATAGATCCTGGGCTATATACACCAAAACGATTTACCGGGACTTGCTGTAAATCGGGATGAGCCCACAGCAGGTGCCGAGGACCTCGTGGTGATACTAAAAGGCAGTTCGTTATCTGCGGACACACTCGAGATGGGCGTATCAGCCTATGAGGCCGGCCCTGCAGCAATACCTTTCGAGGGTGTGCCATACTACGCAATCATATTGTGATCACCAATTTGGTCCTGAATGATGAACTTGAGGTAAGGTCTAGAGTTTACGGCTAGGAACGAAAGGACAGACGATCCATTGAGAAAGGAATCACAGCTAGCGAGGATATATAGTTAACCCAGGTCCCACAGGCAGTGCTGACTGTTCATAAGCTTATCAGCAGGGTTTCTGTGCTTGGCAAATAGCCTTGATCATCAATCACCAGAGTTCATGATTTTCAAGAAGAACCAGTAGTTGGACAGGGTGTTCGGGTAGGTGTTCGGGATTCCGAGTCTTACTAGAGGCTCAGGCACCACGTGGTCATTGACAGCTGCAGTGTGCACCTGGGTTCTCACGGTCAACTCACGGTACACCATTCAGGCTGGATGTGCAGAACAAAAGTAAGAATCTCGTCTTAATATGCATCTCGCACATACAGATAAACCTCTGATGAGTTCAGACCACCGCCGTCAAGAAGCTGTCCAATCAGAAAAAGCAGCCATGCACAGCCTTGAAATGCGCAAAGTGCTTGCAAGGCAGCCAAAGCCCTGATCGTAAGTGTTGTACTACAGTGAGTGAATGACGACTGTTTCAAGGGAATGAACTGATCACGAAGCGATTTTGTGCAGCTGGGGTGCCCGTGTAGATGTCCACGATTCATCGGTATACCGACTCAACGACCGCAGACAGGCGAGCAACGCCTGGTGAGGATGTGCACGAGGTCACAGACCATGATTAAGTGGGTCAAAATATATCTGGATCTGTGAACAGAGCTAACGACGCACTACTAGGGACAACAAGGGGTTGACGACCTCTCACGCTGCGCCTATAGTTCCGATGGCTTTGAATTCCGCTCGGAGAAGCTCTACTAGCTCGGCTAGCGCGGGTACCTTATCAAGCATGAACTCTAGCAGTGATGAGGGAAACCCAGAAGGCGAGATAACGAAGGCAAGGGGCCTACAGATACCCGGGTCCCTGCTTGTGGTTGGTGCAGTGCCACTGGCGTTAGCATTCCAGCATTGTGCTCATGTAGGACTGCCTGTAATGGCTCTTGCACAACCTAGGAACTACGCAGAGTTTTAACACCTATCGCACAGGAACGGCAGATACTTTAGAGAGCACGTTACACTGACATCACCCTGACACATGTTGTTAGCTATATGTAGTTTTAGTGACATTGTTATATACCCAGGCATTTCACGCAGACAAATGTTATTCTTACTGACGATAAAATGTCCCCACGTTTATGCAACTACTTGCTGAATGTACATGTCATGGCTCGGGACCTCTTTTCTAGTCTATCAATTTCCTATGTTCCTAGTTTCCTACTACGGATCCAAAGAGAGGACATCGGCTGTCCAATCGATGAGCTCTTGGCAGCCCACACTGGCCAGCCAATAAACCCAATAACGAGTAACCATGCTGGCCCTACAGTGCACCACGTTGTGACATTAGCAGATAGGAAGATCACGAGGGACAGCGCCAAGAAGAAGAAAACCATCCTACGCAATGCAAGTTACTTTGAGAAAGATTCTGCAGGGAAGATGCTCACCCCCAAATAACAAGCGCATACGGTAGGCTGAAGATGATAGCAAGGTTCTCTTTGCCATGGAGCGACCGAGTCATGCGGGTCATGAATGCAGTCTTGATCAGCCCAAGTCAGTCGTGTAACAGAGACGCGAAGAGGGCCACACAGCCAGACATACCGCTCGATCTATACTGTCCTGGTGCCCTCCGCTTTGCGCAAGAAGAGCAGAAACTACCAGTGAAGCTACAGCCCAGAGTGACGAGATGTATAACGCGATTTGTGCTGAAGGTTGTTGACCGATCGCGGGTACCGCGAGGAAACTAATGTCGACAGCTAACATAACGGTTGACTATCGATTTTAGGGGAAAGTAAATGCAATCTTTAACATCAGCGACTCACATAAATTGCTAGCCCACTCCACTCGCTCGTCAACCCATTCATGAACATTTTCCAGCGCGGTCGGTTGACAGATTGGTCAACCCAGACGCTGTCGATCTTTCTGACGTGGGTGGACGGAGAGCCAAATAGGATGAGGTTAAAAAGCTTAACTATCGGTCTTCTGTCGAGATAGTCGTCTTCGGCATAAACGGTGTGATCTGTACCTAGCCTCGCGCCTATTTCACCATAAAAGTTAGAAAACCTGGCCCTGGCTGGTAGGAAACGTCAGGTGTATCTGGATGAAGACGTGTATAAGACTACCATACTGAACATTCGCATTAACCGAGCTATGAGGCCGGGCTTAGCGTGACGTTGAACTGGTTTAAGAAAGCAACATCCGTACCGTATGCCCATATATATTGGTCGTTTGCAGTTGAATCAGGCTTGTTGACGATGCCTCACATGGGGTCAACAAACCTGTCAGATATAAATTAAGAATGAAATTACCATTCAAGCAGTCCACGATGTTCAGGGCTCGCTGGAGCTCGTCTGTGTCAAAAGGCGCCAAGGATATATCCGAAAAGATAGTGTCTAAGATGTATTCAATCCAGCAATGAGCAAACACGATTGACACATCACGGGAAACGCACCAGTATAAGCATGAAGTATCATTGCCTGCAGTTCGCGGTGTAGTTCAGGAGTAATCTTGCAGTCATTCGGATACAGCTCCCGGTGCATCCTAAGTCCCGTTAGTAGGAAGATTGCGTCTGCCATGAAGAAAGAAGAATTTAGAATTCAATCGCGGAAGGGCAAATGTAGTTGTAACCTTGGACATGCAGCTCACCAATACTCAGCCTCCATGGCATATTCTATGCAATAGTGGAGCACAGGATATCACCAGAACAGGAGCAAAAACGCACTGATGTGACCGCTCGTAACGCCTTTGACCTCACCAAACAAGTGCTTCGCCTCAAAATCATCTTCCCAGAACAGAACCCGCAGATCAGGTGCGACAAAATAGTACTTGCATTCAAGCTCCCCATGAGCATTTGTGGACAAGTCAATGGTGAGCTCCGTGAGGGTATCTTCAAGATGACCTGCGATTTGCGCCTGGTCCAAGAGTGTTCTGACACAGGTAGCAATTACATCGGAATTCGATTGCTGGCGTACGTCGGCATCTGTGAACACGGTGATCTGAACCATGGTTGTCTCCATTTCTGGGTCTCTCCATGTCACCTGAGCAAGTAATTAGGTAGGCAAAAACGCTGGAGACAAACTAACTTGTTCACTGGAGAAGTATAGTGTACCGTGCGGATGAATCTGACAGTCCCAGATCAGATCGCCCGCATCGATCTTGTCCGGACTGCCGGTAGCACATTGAGGACGGCAAATTAGACAAGATGAGTTGACGCACCTACATCAAAAAATCCTTCCGCCCTGCTAGGATCATGAAGTCTGTATCAGTCCTCTGACTTGCAAGATATTCCATGTGAGATTTATGCATGGTATTCAAGCTCAAGACTTACATTTGAGACTTTTTGCTATAACGACGGACGTCACTCGCGGTCATTGGCTTCAGAATTGGAGGGGTACTGTCCCGCAGCGACGTGACAATCGACATAGACACGTGGTTAGATTCGACCTCTTCGGGAGGAGAGCTCTCTGTGCGAGCCTGAGTATGTCCCGAGTGCTGGCTTACTGAGTGCCCAGACTCAAACTCGGATGGGTGATAGAGGCTTGGGAGGAAGACTACTGGTGAAGCATCAGAGTCACTTCCGCATTGTTCGCGGCGTTTATGTCGACCACTACTCCTTGTATATGCAGCACTCGAGCGCAAAAAAATGGAAGTCAAAATGGCAAGGATGCGATGCAGAATGTGATATGGGAACGAAAACTGTTTAGAAAGTTTAAAGACCACGGTTCGAAGCACGGTCAGCAGTTTGTGAAGGACACGGCCTGCGTAATGCATGTTGAAATCAAGCGAGTGACGCCTAGGTTGACGAGTTACAGCGAATGGAAAACATTATGATAGAAAAGATGACCGCGCGATGACAAATACTTATGCCGTATGGTCAACGTGAGTGAAGCCTTAGGCTGAAGCGCTGATACTTGGGACGAACTGATACGATTCGAAGGTCTTCTAAAGATTCCTTCAGTAATTAAACTCCACATTCAGACGGGGATAAAGACACGACAGCGAGCGATCACAGCGGATGGCGTCCTCTCCTCCCCGAGACCGTGTGATATGGTCCCATGCCCAGGGTAATCGCGACGATGACTGTGGAACAACCTGCCCAGGCCTACTAACACCACTCCGGGCCGGATGCCCGGAGCACCCGAAGTACTAGTTCAAGACAATGCACAGTATATAGACGCTTTACACCAATATCAATACCCGAATCACGTTCGAGCCATGGACCAGGACAGCCTATTCTCGACACCAGACGTTCTAGGAACACAGTAGGACTCCGGAGTGGCATATCAGTGCATATCGTCCACGTTTGCGTGTGTAGCCAACCCCGCACGTTAGTAAGTCTCAAGTTCGTGTTTTCGGGCGAAAAAAACTTGTCTAGCAGGCGCGACTAGGTGAGGGTGTGACGTCATACAATTTCTGTGAAACTTGTCAACTTAAGCAATGCAGTCTGGGGAAAGACCAATAACAATCAATGTGACAACTGTAGACAGAACCTACACCGCAAAAATCCATCTCTCCGCTCGCCTCACGGCTTTGCTCTTGGTAGCAGAATTACATCTATGATAGCATCCGGACACTCGTATTGAATCCAGTGACCGATGCTGGTCAGAATTATAGCATTCAATCTCTTCACATTACGAGGGATATGCTCCAAATGACAAGCAGCACCGCGCTCTGAATCCGATACCAGTACGGTGATTTTCATGTTAGGGGGCATGTTTTCGAACAGAGTGCCTCCGATGTCGCGCACCATGGAACACGCTGCCGTGCCAACGAAAGTGTTGCAGGGTGTTCGGTACGGCCAATCCTGGATGCGCAATGCTGTCACAGCACGTCAAACAGCACACAATCGCACCCGTGACCCGCTTCAAGAACTCTCATCATATCTCACTTCGCCATTGGAAGAGACAGATAATATTGTGGCGTGGTGGGGGGTACGTTTTTCTTTGTATTATCACATTCTGAGCTCACTCTATTCATTAGCTACACTCACTTCAGTATCCAACACTATCTCGTATTGCGCGCGATTATCTACCAATTCAGGGCAGTGCGGTTCCCTCAGAACGTGCTTTCTCTAGCGGGGGGATCACATCAACACTTCGCCGCAATGCACTGGCCCCAGCTACATTCTCCGCACTCCAATTATTGAAGGCAGGTTACCGCAATGGTCATGTTTCAGCAGCTACAGAGGCAGAAGAGTTTGCGGCTATGTTAGACTAGCTACTCAATGTGTAGACTAGCTTTTTGTCAACGTTTTTTTTGCGCTCACTATAGAAAAAATTTCGGTTCGGTTCGAGTTCGGACCAGAAAAAAACCGGACCGGACCGCAAAGAACGGTTCTCGATGGTCCGGTTCTGGGTTCGAAGATTTTGCAGAACCGGACCATGGTTCGGTTCTCGGTTCTCGTCCTGGACCCCCTGAACCGGACCGAACCGGACCACGGCAGCACTATGAACAGCCCGCTGAAAGAACATGGCATGTTATATTGTTCATAACAAACGCACAACTTGTCAGCAATGTTTTTTATTCGGACACCTGAAATATTACCCTAAATATCCCCTCGACAACAGTGCGATCACACATGGAGATTCCCAGCACTCTTAACACGCAGTCACGTCGTGACCAAGCATGGTTCTCAGCCATGGCTCGTCTACGGTTTCGACATTCGCAACCCTCTTCAGATGTTTGTTCTTAGAGATTTCGCTTCTCTCCTCTGTAATTTCGAGGGCGGGATCGAGGAGTATGACGGTGGTTTCTTTCGTTTTGGGCAAGAACGGCAAGAGCAACAAGGCCACTGTGCCTCCAAGAGAGTGACCTATGACCACGTCATAGGACGTATCCATGACGAAATACGGTATGAGGTCCTCTGCAAGGGTAGATACACGATAGTCGGTGCCTCATATCCATGCGTGCCCAAGGAGATTCGGCGCTACGACGAAGAACCCTGATCAATCTGTTAAAAACGATCATCACCATAATTTAACGAAACCTGACCTTCTGCTACCAAAAGCTGGGCCCTCCCAGGAATTCGAGGACATAGTCAAACCATGAATGAGGGGAGCCCGCCTGGAAGCGCCAGGGGAACCCCACTGGGACGTTGAAATGGGTGTATGCATACTCGGATGGCTTGGAGTGTTGTGGGAACGAAGGATTTCGGCAGTGAGTCTGCATTTAAAAAGGCTGAGGTGGGACCTAACTAGAACCGACAAACGGGATGGTGGAGGGAGAACACAAGAAGGTATGAAGAGTAAACGTATAAATTAAGGGGCTAATGGCTAGGGCGTATCCTGAAAAGAAGACTGGTAAGACATCCATTAGACTAGGTAAATAGTCAATATATATATGCCTGCCCTTCTGTAGAGATGCCGTCATATAATCATGATCATTACCTATCGAGATTCGAGACAGACACGCAGGGCAGTCCACATCTGGATATGTGATGTGTATGTGACACGATCTCCGACGCATGAAAGCAGACTAGTACTGACAGTCACTGCCCGGGGACCACAACATGTCTGCCTAAATATGAATCGGCGAGAGCGGGGCATGAGGACTTAAGCATGTCTATTGAAACGTTGAAAATTAATGACTGTCTCACCTTCTACTAGCAAGACAGCTTATTTACGCCGTACGGAGAGTCGTGCCCGAGAAGCAGTGACTTCGACGTATTTGCGCTACGGGACATGCTCCATATGAATGACTAGGGATACTATAGCTCCTCTTATCAAGCGCTCCTCGCAGTTTGCCGCCAGGCGAAGATCTAGACACGAGCTGAATACAATTACTTCGTCAAAACAGCCTTATCATCAGGTGGCAATCGAGGCGGATTCGACCAAGAAGCGCTTGCGCCAGAGAGTGTCTATCGAAAATATATAATTTACCCCTGACTCCACGCATGGTCATTTTGAAGTTCACACGAGCGTCTGTATCACTTGTCCAAGAACCTAGTACTAGTACTACAGATGGCAGTGACAAAAATCATATTCCTGGACATCCCAACCATTCTTCCAGTGCCTAATTCACCAAACACATGGAAAGTCAGGTCAGTGACAGCAATCAGCCACTCTCTTACCTCATCTTCATTCCCACAGGCTCGCGCTCAACTACAAAGAACTCACATATGAAACAAAATGGGTCGAAACGACTGACATCGAATCCGTGTGCAAATCGCTTGGGATACCACCTACAAGCGTGCTCCCAGACGGGACACCAAAATACACACTTCCTGCACTAATAGATAACACCTTCTCTCCTCCTGCCCTCCTCTCAGACTCCACGCCCATAATCGAGTACCTAGAGCGCACATATCCCGACCCAGATTCCTCCCGCGCACTCTGTCCACCCGCTAGTCGCGCTCTTCATGCCCTGTTCGAGTACCATGTCGCGCACTCCATCACAGCGCAGTTGCTTCCCGTCATGGTTATGCACATGTACGACAAGAAGACCCCACGGGATCGCATCCACTTCCGTCAGCGTACCGAAGCGGCATTTGGGAAGAAGCTCGAGGATATCGAGCTGAGGGGCAAAGAACGCGAGGAGCATTGGAAGAAAATTGAAGACGCATTCAACCTCCTTGCAACATTCATGCAGACAGGAAGTGGTGCAGGTGAACTATTCACGGGATCAAATCTATCTTTGGCGGACTGTACACTAGGAGGTGTTTTGCTAGCTTTGCGTTACGATAGCCCGGACGAGGCTTGGATCAAGGTACTGTCTTGGAGTAATGGGAAATGGACACGCTACATGGCTGCATTGGCGAAATGGACAGCTGTGGAGTAGATAGCTTACCGATACCGAAATTTTCGTAGCTCTCTTTCTATTTGTAAGTCTGCTATACGGTTTGCAGAAAGAACTGTACAAGTTGGAAGAGGACGAATGAAGATCGCGAGAGATAGGAATAGAGCACAGTTTATAGCAGATAATGGCGAGGATGATTGATATGATGATAGACTTCGGGCCTGATACTTTGAGTCGGAATTCAATTCCGATGCTGTAGAAGATATTATATGCCATCCTATATACGAAAATCGAGGGTCAAAATAGGTCAAAGCGAACGGAAAGCGAACGGGTATCAAACGAGTGGATTGTGTAAGTGAAAGATAGGAGTCAAAGGGAGTGATGATGACGACAGGACAACGTGCTGTGATGATGATCGTGCGCTGCACGGTGGGACAGTGAACCAATAAATATGTGACGTAGTAGGATGGTGAAGGTAGGATTAGAAAAACCACAAGAATCAAGGGTGATGTCTCTGATAACACCCGAGTGTAAGAGAAGCTCTTACACTACCAACACCCGTGCCGCAATATTAGCGTTTTTGGGGCGTAGATTATCCTTACACCATAACCCATGCAACGTGCACATCAAATACTTTTAGTTGATGGACAAGCTGTAGGCAGACCTACAGATAAAACACGTTCAGCCCCTTCACATGGTGCGGATCCAAATGTCACATACGTGGTGAATTTTGCCGTTCCAGACGTAGCCTCTGTGCCCGCCTGAGCAGTTGTGAGGTACTGTGACGAGCTCATGCCCTCGTTGTCAACCAGGTACTAGGAACAGGGAAAATCAAAGTCCACACGCGTTCATGAGGAGGTAACGGCTGGCCAGACTTACCGAAAGGAATTCGTAAATGTCGCCGCTGAACGAAGTGATTTTTTTACCGTTAGTCAGGACAAACGAGTAAACCTGGTTGTATCCGTTGGATCCCGAGTACAGGTTCCTTAAAAAATCGTTGATACTGCGCAGATAATCGTGCAGACGCAAAACTGTACCAAGTGTGATTTTGAATCGAGATGTTTTCCACAATCGGAATACCTTGGCCCGTAGCGTTGTATTGCGCAGCAATTGGTCCCCAGTTGAAGTTTGCAAGCCAAATCATGATTTCGTTTACATTTGAGCCGCCAGCTGTGTCAGATGTGAACAGGTCATAGGCGACGTCTGCTTCAACCGTTCCTGTGTTCGACTGAGACCAGTGCCAGGTAGTCTATAGAAACATTAGCCTCATTCCGAGTGCGGTTTCAACCAACTCACAGGCATGCTGGAAATGGCGCTAAGTTGTTGATTGATGCCACTGTTAAGCTGGATATTGGCGTAGCTCTTGACACCGTTTCCGCCAGTCCAAGTCCAGCTCGTCTTCCAGGCAATAGCATTATTACTCATTGACGTGAGCTCAGAGGTTTGGGAGCCGGAGGTAGCACCAGGCTCGCCCCAAAGATTATTAAGTAGTGAGTATTGTCCCGCAGTGACTGAATCATATCGCCCACTAATCGACGTGGTGTCGACGGCCCTCACTTTCTTGTGCATGCGGGACATGTGGGACATGCTAGAGACGAGAGGCATCAATAAGAGGAGCACAGAGAAAGACAACATGTCGATAATTTTGCGTTGGCGAATTGAGGTGAGGGAGTGCAGATCGTATAATTTGCAGGTTGCTTATATGTGTATGCCAGCAGATGATTAACCATCCTTTCCAGCCATTCGGCAGGGCGTAGTAACATGATAATGATCAAACACACGCATGCGATGCACATCTCCAAGGGACGTACCCCAGTCGTTATGCTGCCAGAAGCGAGGAGCGAATATCGCAATATTACTGTCTATCAAAGCCTTAAAACACAATATATTGATATATTGTGTTTTAAGGCTTTGTTACTACATGTGCATTAGATCAACTGGAGACTAGCATCAGCCTAAGCACTGATCAGCGTCACCTATGAGTTAATTATTATATGGCTAGACGCACTACAATCACGCTAACTTGGAGCTTACTCTTGTAGATATGAAGGTGTCTGCCAGTGCACCCGCAGTTCAACAACTGATAGTAGACTGCACCGTGGTCTACCGTGGTTCAGGATTGCAAACTTTAATGTGCTTGCCTACCGTTCCCTAGCCAGTTTATTTTGCCATGTGAAAATAAGCGTTCGGGTGTAGTACCGCACGATTTGACATGACGCGACAGCACGCGGCCACGAAGGACCAAGACCGAATTTGACGGGCACGATTCCTACCCAGGATGGTCCCACTAGTACAGGGTCTGTTCTTGCATGAGTGTACAGGTTTTAGTTGCGTTTTAGGTTGCGGACTTATAATTACTACAATAAGCTGAGGTTTCACATCCGCAAAGTCCGCTGTGTACTACGTCGTAGTCTTCCTTTCCCGCCTCACTCACTCTACTGTAGCCCTACAGCAACTCCAGCGCACTTTGTTTGTCTTATAAGGTCTCTATCTGCGCGTCCTGACAGCACTCCAGCGCGTCTATCAGTCTATGCGCAATCCCAGGCTCCTCCCCCACCGGCTGTGTTTGGGAGCAGAACGACGGCCGGCGGGGGCATACCACCACTCCAATCGTCAATGAAAAATGAAATGGTTCTATTTTGAGTGTCATCGAAATAGTTCTTTTTGAGGACATTCTACAATCAGAAACCCGTTTCATCGGGTGGCACACGTGCTCAATACAATTGTCACTCCTGTACAATAATTGTATGAAGGAATGACTCTCGATTAGTCTACCTAGGGGAGAGTAGCCTTACTGCTATGAATATCGTCTGGTTTCGCCCGTTGGATATCTACTAACTACCCACAGCGAAGGCCTGTACGCTCATCCAAGAACTTATAGATGAAAATCATGGACATGGACATCTCAACTGTCCTCCCAGTGCCTTTCTCACCAAACGCATGGAAAGTCAGGTCAGTGCTAACAGCCAACACCTCTCAGCAGCGCCTTACCAAGTTCGCTTCCCGCAGACTCGCACTCAACCAAGAAACGCACCTATCGAGACGACTGACATCGCATCCGAGTGCAAGTCGCTCGAGATACCACCTACAAGCGCGTTACCAGACGGGACGTCGAAATACACCCTCCCCGCACTAATAGATAACGTCACCTCCCCCTCCTGCCCTTTCCTCCCGCGTGCTCTGCCCAGTTGCCAGTCGCGCCATTCGCGCCTTCTTTGGATACCACGTCGCCCAGTCTATCACAGCGCAGTTGCTGTCCGTCATGGTCATGCGTAGGTACAAGAGGAAGACTCCACGGAATCACATCCGCTTCTGTCAGTGCACCGAAGCGGCGTTTGGGAAGAAGCTCGAGCTTATCGAGCTTAGGGGCGAAGAACACTGGAAGAAATTTGAAGGGGCGTCCGACCTTCTTGCATCATTAATGCAGGCTGGAAGTATTATTCACGTGATCGAATCTATCTTTACTCGCAAAATATATGTGCTGATAAACGCCATACGAGCTGTGGGGTTTGTCATCCCCGAAGTCTTTGGGGTTACTGTCAACTAAGGTGGGAAGCTCGGGAGACACCGAGCACATCGACAAGAGTCGCAAAAAGATCTCACAGCGCATCTACCGTTCAACCGAGACGGAAAATTTTTGAACTCCAACGAGTTTCTGATTCACCCTTATATTCATATCCAGGACGTGTCGTGCTCCCCGAACTCGACGCGTCTGACGGCCTTTCCGACCTTTCTCAACTCACCAGTCCTCCCTCTACTCCGCCACACTCCCCGCCACACGCCTCACCAGCGCCATCCTTATTCTCCTCATCTTCCAATTCGAGTTCCGACTCCCCTACGCCTTTTAGACGCGCATAATCCATCGTACTACCATGCCGAAGACTGCGACGGTTGAACAAGCAGCTCCCAACAAACCGCCCCGTCTCACCGTCGGCGATCTCACACCAAAAGCAGCCTGCGACAGGGAGAAGTAACACGTATTTTCACCATAAGCTGAGATCATTAGGCAGCTTGATAGAGAGGACCGTTCACTTCTTACAGAACAGGAATCTTTGACCTCTGCTATCGACTCTTCCATGTAATGGCCTGGTTTCTATCCTGCAGGTGAGGTAGTGTTGGTAATATTGCTGAATCTTGGAAGATCTTGCTGACGACATGCCAGCGTCACAATTTCCTACTGAAAGTTGTTTAGTGAACTATAGCCACCGAACGATGTCTATATCGATGCACACTGCACGTATGCCTTCCAAATGATACAGCATACAGCACGTATGAACAGGACATGCTACACAAAATTATTTATATTATATCTACCAATGATTTCACGGACAATCAGGTTCAGTAAAATACTAAATATCGAGTTCACTATTTTTCTTATAGTACTACAGCTAAACGTACTGCGTATGGAGTGTGAATTCAATCAACCCCGCCAATTACGTTAAGGGGTCTTTGTTGACTTTCCGTTACGTTAGCCTGGATGAAGCTTGCATTAAGGTGCCGTCTTTGAACAGTGGGAAATGGACAGCTGTAGAGTAAAACGGTTATTTATACCAGAATTTCTTAGCCGAGAGCCTGAGAACAGTACGAGTTCGAAGGGGAAGAATGAAAATCGCGAAAGATGGGCAACTGATAATGACGAGAATCATTGATTCATTGATAGACCTCCGACGGGCCAGATATCTAGAGTCAGAATTCAATTCCGACAGTATCAATATTCGAGACGTTACATGCCGTTTTATATACGACAAACGAAGGTCAAACCAAACGGGTATCAAACGAGTGAAACATAGTATAAGTCAACGACGATCAAAGAGCGTATGACTTGAAGAAAGCGCTATGCTAATCGCTCGTGCTCTGCACGAGGTGGTACAACGAAGTGGTAAAGGTGTGGCGCAGTGGTCAAAGTGAACGGGTAGGAAACGAATGGAATGTGAAGAGAGTAGAGGAATAATTGAAACCCATACAACGCGCACACCAAATTATCTTAATTGATGGACAAGCTGTACGCAAACCTGCAGACAAAACCCATTCAATATTCAGCCCCTCTGCAGAGCGCCAATTAAGTGTCACTTACGTCGTGAATGTGGCCGTTCCAGACGCAGCCTCTGTGCCTGCTTGGGCAGTGGTGAGATACTGTGAAGAGCTGATGTGCTCGTTATCAATCAGGTACTAAAGAAATATATATCAAAATCACTGTCCACACTCGTGATGAAGCGATCGCGAACGGAAGACTTACCGCAAGGAACTTGTAGACGTCGCCATTGAACTTCTTGATCGTACCGCTAGTCAGAACAAACGAGTAAACCTGGTTGAATCCATTGGATCCAGAGTACAAATCCCTGAAAAAGAACATCAATACTATGCATATAATAATGACTACAGCAAAGCCGCACCAGGTGTGATCTAGGATCGAGATGTCTTCCAAAATTGGGATAGGTTGGCCCGTGGCGTTGTATTGCGCAGCAAGTGGTCCCCAGTTGAAGTTTGCAAGCCAGATCATGATTTCGTTTCCATTTGAGCCTCCAGTATCAGATGTGAACAGGTCATAGGCGACATCTGCTTCGACCGTCCCAGTACTTGACTGAGACCAGTGCCAGGTAGACTATAGTGCCAGAAACATTAGCCTCACGCCCTTTGCGAGTTTGACGAACTCACAGGCATGCTGAAAATGGCGCTCAGTTGTTGATTGATGCCGCTGTTAAGCTGGATATTGGCGAAGCTCTTGACACTATACATACCGCCAGTCCAAGTCCAGTTTGTCTTCCAGGCAATAGTACAATCATGCATTGACGTGAGCTGAGAGGTTTGGGAGCCGGAGGTAGCATCAGTCTCGCCCCAGAGATTATTGAGTAGTGAGTACTGCCCCGCAGTGACTGAATCATATCGCCCGCTAATCGGCGTGGTGTTGACAGCCCTAACTTGGTTGTGCATGCAAGACATGCCGGAGACGAGGGGCGTCAATAAGAGGAGCACAGAGAGACACGACATCATGTAAACAGTTTTCCGTTCGTGAATTGAAGCGAGAGGGTGCAGATCGTGTAATTTGCAGGCTTGATATATATATGCCAGCAGATGATTTCCCCGCCATTCGACAACCTGCAGGGCGTAATGAGGTCCGGACGAAAATTACGACAAATTGTCTAGACAGCTTCGGGTCCGGGGATCTAGGTTCTGCAGGCACTGATGCCGAGTACGCGGTCTTGGATGGCCACCTTGTAGAGTCGCGGTTTTTGCGGTTGCGACATTCCCGGAGTTGATTTGCCTAGTCTCAGATTTCAAGATCTTGTTCGGGTATTTCTGCTTGTTCTTTGGTTATAACAAGGCATTCTTTCTGGGCCAATTCTGGGCTATCGATTTCCAACTGGAATTCCAGTTCCTTGACTTCCTTTGCCCCTCTTCGTTGAAGCGTCGCTTCCTCGTATCACACACGAATATTGTGATGGAACGAGACAGAAACTGGGAGTAGCCCGAGAAAAGACGACCTCGTAGCCGTGTATCCTGCCATGTGGGCCGCTGGAGATTTCTGGGTCAGGTTGGACAACACTTTGTGGAGGTTCTGACCGTTTGTTACGAGTCGCTCTTTTGCAACGGATGTTGAGTTTGAGGTTGTTCCTTGCATTTAGGTCTACGTTGTTAATGGCAAGGACTTATCTCCCCCATTTCATGGTAGCAGCGACACTTTACACCTTCAAGTGGGACAGCCGCCGAGTAAGTCGCGTCCGTAATCGGACTAATCAGTTGAGTATATCTTTAGGTCTAGTACCAATTGAACGCACATACTATTCATGTATTACATCATTCTAGATGCAGGCAGACACATCGGGGATCCGAATATTTAAGACTGGTTTGAATGTCGTGCGAAATGTCAAGATAATACTTAATATTTAGGTTGTCGTCTTAGCGGATGTAAAATTTCAAATGTTAAAGAGGTCTTGCACGACAAGAGAAATATAAAGTATCAGCGAACATTTTCTTACTGTCTGAATGTCAATGACAATAAGAAATATAAATATATCTTTAATGCTGGCATAAACTTCGAAATGAAACTTCACATTTAAGACTCGAAAAAACTTCAATTTTAGCACGTGACTGAACATCTGCTCATGTATGAAGTTTAGACCGTCGTTTAGACGGGCGTTAAAATTCAAAATACCCCCCTGACAATAAAATGTGAAAATAAATCATCAAGTTTTATCTCTAGATAAAACCGATCGCCCGACGATCGCCCACTCACGGCTGAATCATCGCCCACTTACAATGTCATCGCCCACTTGAGTTTGAGATGCTAAATATTAGGGGACTAGATGATAAGTTATAGACACAAGCGATGCCTTTCGGTTAGAAACACGCGTTAACGCACTCTTATTCAAACGACGGGGTGGACAGCTTATATATTGTAAATGTACGCGAAACTATGTAGTAGAGTGAAATTGAAAATCAATCCTGTTTGACAGTAGTTAGACACCGGTGATTTCTCGAGGTGAATTGTACTTACGCGAGATAGAGATAGTATGACTACAGTATCACTCGAAACTGCCCATCGAGCAAAGTGACTAACAACCCAGGATACCTTGACATTTTCCAAATGACTACTTGAGCTTGACGAGTACATTTTGGCGGGAAAATGAGGATACATAGCAAATGGATCAATGGACTGATCGTGACGCGGGAGGAGCTTGTGGACAGCAAACACCAGTTCACCCGTGGGTGTAGCATAGATATGTTGGATACTGCCGGGGACAGGAGATGATAAGCGGTCACCCTGAGAATAATAAAAAACTTGACTATTCCCGATGTGAGTAGAGGCTCTGCTATAGACAATCCCATTGAATTTTAGTCGTGCGCGTAATATTGCTGTGCGTCGTTTGATAAGCGCAAACAAGGCTTCAGGAACAGCCACAGCTACAGCGGAGGAAGGAGCCTGTAAACTGTCATCCAAAGGATCTTCAGCAAGTTCTTCACCGAGAGTTCCAGCGCTCTTGGGAGCATACATGCTGTCAAACAGAAATTTGCACTCTTGAATAGCCGGCGAACAGTCAGGTCGACTGAGCCAACGGTGAAGTTTTGAAGTTTTGATGAATGAGTATAACATGGTAGTTTCCGACTCGCCTTGAAAAGTCAGTCCCGCTATTACACTGGTGTTCCGTAAAAACTCACCAGTCTTATGATTTACTGGAAGACGCTGAAGTATTCCAATCAAACGTTCGAAAGGAAAGCACCACCAAGAGTGGGCCGGGCCAAATAGGAGTAGAAAGTCGTATATGTGGAAGGCAGCGTGGTGATTTGGACGCAGAGCGATGTTAGGGTATATCTTCTTCAAATTTCCAACATAAAGCGCAATGTGAGAGCAATATGCGTGTGCTCTCTCTACAGTCGTTGTTCGGGCGCACGTGAGATACACCGCGCAAACAAGTTCCATAGTATGGTCGAGAACAGCTCTAAGGTGAGTGCCGACTTCATCGGAAGGATGCGAGGTACCGGCCCCCCACAAGCTCACGAGGGCAATAGGAATGTAGACGGTGATTAGAGAGCGCCATTCGTCTGCTTTCATCGTCCCAGCAGATGCGCTTCCGAAATCGCTTGGGACTGAAGTAAACCAAGATGGAATGGTTATTTGTTGGATGACATCTCAGACACGATGAAGGGCATCTAGAGAACCAAGCTGAAGCTCCTTCTCAGGAGCAGCAAAAGGTTTTCCACAGCGCTGAGAACAAACATAAAAAAGTCGCAACAAAGTAGACATATTAAGAACTTACCCATTCCACGAGAGCTTTGACGTAGTCGATTTTGAACAATCTACTAGATTTCTGGGGAGCGCATCGCAAGGCCTCGCAAACAAACTTGAGAGGTCCCGTATTCTTGCGAAACAGCGATTTTTTTAGGTTATCCAGATTTTCGTCATCGGACGACAACTGGGAAACAAGAAGGGTGCGTATAGCAGCGACCTGAGTCATTTCCTTCGAAGTCATCCCCGGAGGCATATCGCCTAAGTCGCATGAAAAGGCCGGAGGGGGTAAAGTCGATGAAGATGAAGTGGTTGCTGTAGTCAAACTGAGAAGGGTACAAGGGTGATGCTGGACTAAACCTTCCAATATACAATGCATCGGGTCGACAACAAGCTGGCGTGAGGGATCCCAGTATGGCAAACGCCACATCTCTGAATAGCGCACACCGTGAGCTTTGAATAGTTTCTCTCAGTTCAGAGGTTGTCGCAGCGTCCCTCCACCGCTCAGCGAACTTCCGGAGTTCATCTTTATCACGAGGTTTCCAGCTTTCAAAGTCCACTCTACCGTACGTGGTCTTATGGTAGCAATTGCACGCGCTACAATAAAAATGGCTACTGGTTCCAGCTAAAGAAGCAAGATGATGAGCGGCAGGAAGATCACAAACTGCCAAAACAATAGCGCTGTGAGCGAGCCGGCCAGTGGGAAAACAAGCAGTCTTGGAAAAATTGATGCCGCGCTCCCATGAGTCTACCATGTCATCAATAAGTGGCCGGATGTAGTGATTGAGATGCTCGAGGGACGGCTGTTTCGGACCTGGGATGATTCCTGCAAGATACATGTTTTCGGGCTTATACCTGATATCCAATGGTAGATTCAAGCATGCCATAGAGATGATGCCAGAGGATTTGTTGGCACCACGCAAATTCATGCCCTCCGGATTGAAGAAGTCCACGAAAAGGGCGAAAGCATAGCGCCCTTCATCTCCTCTATCAATAAAAAGTGAACCTGGGTCTGGGCCACAAAATTGACGGAGAAACTGAGCCTCGAATGCGTGTTTCATCAAAGGCGGATGGGGGGAATTGATCGAGTCTTGCAAATCGTCGCAGGCTTGATCCATCGCCCCCTCAATATCTGCACTGGGAGAGGAGACCGGCGAGGTAGTCTTTAAAATCGTGGTAAACGAATGTCTTCTTCGGTCGCACTACTCCATCAGGGCCAGGGCTGAGCAATGACTCGCCACATTCGGCCTCTGGCGTGGGGTGGTGTGTGCAACGTTCAGGATATGTAGGAATAGTTGAGCCGTCTGCATGATGTGGGCTGTAAGTGCAGTGACAACTGGGGCAGACTGCATAGACGACAGTTTTCTCAGTGAGATGGAATCTTGAGAGCGCGGTGTCAAAACTCTTTGGAATTTGCCTGAGCACATTTTGATGGGAAGAGCTGAGGCTACCATCCGATCTCCGGAAAGCGAGGAATAACATGATTGAAATAAGTCCCAAGAGGAAATCGCAGGCTCGCTTGCTGACCCCCATGATGACTTTACACGTCACAGTGATGAATAAGGCGACCTGTGCGATTTCATCACACTGATCCAGCGGAAAATCATGGTGAACATCTATTGACTATTCAGGACACGATCACGATGAAGATAATCGACTCTTACTGGTATCAAATTCGACTGCTGCACGTAAGTCCATTTCAGGAGGCTTTTGACTGTTGAACTGAGCTTCTAAGCCATCTATCTCCAACATAATTGCCCTCTTCCGTGTGACCACAAGGTCTGCTTTTCGTTTGACGGACTCCACAGCTGTGTGAAGCAATAGTAGCTCGCGACCAACATCATTGGAATTACCCGCAAGTAACAACCGAAAGCACCGCTGAACGCGGAACTCTATGTTATTGAGGACCCTCAAGGCCTTCACAGTTGGCCGATGTATGTTCTTTTGGGAGACGTCGCCAGAAATAGCGACTCTGGGTTCATGGGCAACAAAATGATCTAGCAAAGTGAGTTGCTCAAGATCATCCGCGAGAGCCGTAATAGATAATGGTGGAGTGGGGTTGGGGTGAGAAACAGGCGGTTTGTTGTCGATAAGAGCGAGTGCGTCCAGCTGTGAGACTAACAAATCCGTGATGGCGTTCGTGCGGGGAGAGCCAGCAGCAGCACGTTCTGCTTGGGTACATTTGGTGCGTTGTAAATGTGCAGCCATAAGACGTTCTGCAATGAGTACCCCCTTAGGGGTGCCATCCTCAGCACGATCACCGGTTTCGATGCATTCCTCACAGAAGCACCGTTTGAACAGTGAGCGAGACACAGGCATGAAGAGCGGGGCGAATAGCAACGACAGTATGTACCGTCGTTTCTATGAATTGATGGGAGTGAATTGGAGAGCAAGAAACGACTGTGTAGGCAAGCTTTTGAGTCAGACGAACAACAACAATAAAAGAAACAACTTGCAATTTCCAGTAATGAAATAACAAGACAGCAGTAAGCCTTGTACGAAAATATGACGTTCATTACAAGAACTACCAAACAAGATATAACTCTGTTGTCAGGGAGAGCTGGCGGCGACCTGAGCTTGGTGTGGACTGATCGTTGGCAAAGAACGCCGGGTGGGAAGGGCTGCCATGGACGTCGAACCAGGAAGCGATGGATGTTGACTTAGAATTAGGACGTTGGCGGTGGCGATGAACGGGCACGACCGTACATACAGTCATGCCCTGGAGAAGGTCGTGAAAGGTCACTGCGATGAGACGTCTGGTGACGATGAAAGTAGAGAACACTGGGCACAACCGTACATACAGTCATGCCCTGGAAGAAGGTGAGGAAGGGTCGTTGTCGACAAGGAGAATGGGAGGCTCGACAGTACAAACCGTCGAACCTCCTAGAGTAATAGTTACTAAGTTCCATAGGACTTAGAACTTTGGCAACGAAAGCGCCCAACAATCACAAACACCCATATTAGGAAATTGTTACATAACATTGACATTGACTGCTTGACAGTTTGAACTTTGTACTCTGCTCATCGTCCCCATCCTCGGAGCACGACAGTATGTACTGTCGTGCTCATTGAGTTCATCCTTTGTACTTTCGAGCTGCTCATCGTCCCCATCCTCGAAGCACGACAGTATGTACTGTCGTGCTCATCGAGTTCATCCTTTGTACTTTCGAGCTGCTCATCGTCCCCATCCTTGAAGCACAACAGTATGTACTGTCGTGCTCATCGAGTTCATCGTTCCTATCTTCGGAGCACGACGGTATGTACTGTCGTGTCTCCTATTCCATTACCACCCACCACCTCGCCAACTCCATCCTTTTTCGCAGAATGATCAAGCCATCAACTCCAGGTCATCCGCCTTCGCTTACTGTGATCCTTTAGATCACGCTGGCCCGTTAGTCAGGTAAGCCCATTTGTTGACAGATCCAACCATTAATCAACCAACATGTCCAGCCGTCAACACACGTCATCCCCTCCACCGTACATACAGTGGAGTGGGCAATGGCTAACTCGCTCTCGCAACGATCCAGCCAGCCGTCAACACGCGTCATCCCCTCCACCGTACATACAGTGGAGGGGGAATTGACTTATCTTCCGTTCCCTGTGGTTCACTTACACCGTCTATTCAACACGCTACTATGCTACACCATCTTTCATCCATCGGAACGTCTCATCTGACACATTCAACCTTTCTACCTGACCTCCAGTAAGACCATCAAACCATCTGCCGTTGTATAGGGCCTTGGGTAATCCAGTGACCGGGTTCCGTACAGTCGTCGAATTTCCCGATGCGCGTATCCTCTTCATTGGTTTGGAACCCTGGGGCGCGAAAATTTCATCATCCAAGACTCTCTGATTATTGATGATATTCAGTTCTCGCTCTATCCCGCGACGCCATGCCATGTTCTTGACCCGGAGCACACATTCGACGTCATTTTCGATATCACTTTCTTCTGAACTCATACCCCCGTCTCCCAGCGTCTTGACTAGTTTTTGAAGCCACTGCCAAGCTGGTAGGTCGTCGTCCTCGCCATCTTTCTTCAGCTCAATAACTTGCTCCAGGACTTTTGCTCTGCGGAGATATTTCTATAGACGCATTAGTATCCGAAGAGCCTTGAGATCATGCTGCGGACATACATTTCGCCGACGAGTTGTTTGACGAACCGACTTCAGATTTTCACCTCTTTTTGCAATCAACCTCTCCTCCACTTCTTCCGCAGTCTCCAAGCAGCCCTTTGCTGTAACCTTTGGTTGGGCTGCTCTCCAGACCATCCGCATCCGCTTGTAGCGATCTTCGAGTATTGCCTTATAATAGGCATCCGACCTCCAGAACGGCCACTCCTCTTCTACACTCCTCTTTTTCAATTCTTCAAGGAGAATATCGAGAATTTTCGCATTCCAGGGGGTGTTAAATCCGTTTTTGAGATCAAAGGCCAGATTCTGGGTGTTGGGGCCTGGGCCATCTTCGTACTCGTACGAGTACACATCTTCACGATCCGCCGGCTGGTGCACAATAAAATCTGCGTCTTGAGATATACTGAAGGTATCTTTGAGGAGACGCCGGATTTCACCCTACTTCATGCTTAGCATCAGCATATACGTCAAAAATTCAACTCTCACAAGAAGGAAGTCTCTTTCGTGGCTCAAATCTGCGGCCCTTTCTATCCTAATTTCATCATCCTGCTTCTTTTTCCTTCGAGGACTACGCTTCGTGGATGTCAAAATATCCTTATCGACGAGGATGCGTCTGAGTGCCGCCTCTATGCCTTTGGAGATCACGTTTTCCATCGCAGACATAGGGTAGACGTCGTCAGGCTGAAATCGCTGTGGCTCTTGCTCAATTGTCGATGATCGTTCTCGATGCGTTTCCATAGGCTCGTCAGCGTCCTGCTATGACGTGAGTTTAAAACGAGTTCCGACCGCTTAGTACTTACCTCTACTACAGATACCAGACGCATCTTGCGTGTTGTTCCACGTGCCTTCCTGATCTTTTTAATTGTCTCGAGGCACGGAGTCTTGAGCTGTGGTTTCTGGGGCGTGTGGGGTGGCTGTTGAGCGTTCCTTTGGGTGGGGTCTGTGCCGATTTCCGTGGCCGCATGCTGTTGCCTACCGTGTCTTGCAAAGCGCTGCTCCATGTTAGCGAGCTCGTTCTCTTTTTCTACCCTCATTTTTTCTATTTCTAGTTGTAGCCTTCGCTCCATTTCGGCAAAAATGGCTCTCTCGCGTTCTTCTAGCTGCTTGACATCATTAGCGATTCCCGTGCTCAGTCGTTCTTCCCCACCTCTTGATTTTTTCTTGTATCTAAATCTGCGTTGTGTCGTGCCAGTTCTTCAGCCAACTACTTGCCATCATTAGTAATTCCTTGGTCAGTCGTTCTTTCTCACCTCTTGGTCTTTTTTTGCACTTATTTTTGCTTCGTGCTGTGCTAGTTCTTCAGCAATGTTCTTCCTCAGCAGTGCTTGCTGCTGCTCTTGCCATGTGTGAATTTCCTATTAACTTGTAAGCATGCATCTGACTGAATGCATCTGTTGCACTTACTTGCTTTTCCCGCTCTCGCTCTCTCAGAGCCTTTTCCCATCGCTCGTTGAAATCGCGCGTGTGGCGCTCATGCTCTTCTTCTGCAAGACGTCGTTGCTCCTCAATGTGGTCTTGAGCTTCTCGGCGTATCTGCCGGTATGATCAGCAGTGTATCCCCAATGAGCTTCTCATGCGTACCACTTCAGTTTCCTCTATAATGTTGTTAATACGTTCTTGTTGTTCATACACAGTCTGGCGAAGTACCTGCGAATAGTCGACTTCCTGAATGCGACGCTTCCCAGATATCTGGATGGGTATCATGAGTCATGGAAGCTGATTCGTACTATCTACATACCACTTCCTCTCTGGCCCTCTTTTCGAGTCGCTCGAGTCGCGGTACACTGGTGGGAGGCTGACTGATGTCGAATTGCGGTACACTAGTGGGAGGCTGACTGATGTCGAGTCGCGGTACACTGGTGGGAGGCTGACTGATGTCGAATCAGCGGTACGCTGGTGGGAGGCTGACTGAGAACATCCATGAAGTCGCCAGGACCCTTATCATCGTCTTCATCGTCTTCATCGCCACCAAATAAATCCGCGTCATGAGACAGTTTGTACGTCTTCTTGCTGAAACTCGGGATGCTGCATGTCGACATCAATGTTATTGGCGCTCATAGCGGGGGAATAATTCATCGTCAGTTTGCAAACATCATTCCTGGGTCTTTTTAAGTTTTGTGCATGTATTTTTGTCTTGATTCTTTTAGACGTCTTGTTGTATGAATGAACAACAGTTCCAACAGGTCCAGGCCCATCTCCATCGCTTTCAATTATCTTTTGCTCTATTCGCACTTACAATTATCTTGCTCTATTCGCTCTTACAATTACCTCGTACCATCACCCTTGACAACTAGCGCCGCAGGATTATCATTGCAGTATTGTCATGCTTCGGTTTGGCTCCCCGCTATTTTTTTCGTCAACTACATCCGAAACGATTATGGTTATTGTCTTTTGACTCAGCACGTGAAGTTATTAAAAGACAGATCGCTGCTATAGCCTGCTTCCATCGCCCGCTTTCATCGCCCGCATTCATCGCCCACCTCTTAGATTATTGCCTTGATCAAACTATAATCAGATGGTAAACACTCGCACATATATCCTTCCAATGTCTGCTGTAAGTTATCGCTTACTACCTCACACCCTTTATTTACCTTCAAATCAGACCCCGGAGCTTCACCTGCGGTGCAGGCTATATTCAGCATCGTGGACCAGACCCCGTCAGGTCACCATGTTGACGCGTTGCTCTGGCCGCTCACGCACTGCTCAGCGTTTTCCTGTTCCTGAAAGTCTTCTCGAGGAGGCTACCGTGCAGCCTTATGTTCACAACTGTTTCGTGAATGTGTGCGAAGGGAGACACATCCATCGATTCTGCATCTTCTTCAAGCGACATCTTCGTCTCCGAGCCAACGTGCTTCTTAGTACGGGTGATCATAAGTTCCGAGGCGATGCAGTGGTTATGAGGGTTGGAGTCAACTATCCCTCAGTTGTGAACATGCGAGGCAGAGATAATGCGCTTGCTGACTTTATAATTCACCAGTGAGTAAACTCGATGATCTATTGAGCCTACCATAACTATCTTTTCAGCTTTGCGCAAAGCATAAGTAGTCGTCCAAGAGCTAGGCTCCCATGCGATCTTACTCTTGTGAAACCCCTGAGTACTCGTACCAATTGTCGGTTAGCTGCAAGGTGTGGAGTAGTAGTATAATTTAAAGCATTGTTACATACCGAGTTTCTCAGCTGGACTGCAGATATATGCCAAACAAGATCCGTTCCATATAGAAAGCCATATTGTCGTAGTACAGTGCCACAATGATCTTGACTAAACATTCGAAAGCACCGGCTTGAACTGATACTGACGGGTTTCTGGGTAGCTTCGCAGATGACTTGCATGATGTAGTTTCGCTCTCCCTGATGCGCGTCTTGACTAAACATTCGAAAGCACCGGCTTGAAACTGATACTGACGGGTTCTGGGTAGCTTCGCAGACGACTTGCATGATGTAGTTTCGCTCTCCCTGATGCGCGTAAAACTCGTGGCTACTAATCTTTGAATGCCAGCTTGATATAGAATGCATACAGCACGTAATAATGACGGAGACATCTAATGCAGTCGGGGTATCACTTCCTGGCCTTGCTCTTGCTCTTGCCTACAGCCATTTCTCCCACCTTTCGTCTCGCGCGTCCAGACGTGTATTTCAGGCGTGTCATGATCAAATCGTTGACTGGCCACAAGTTGTTATAATTGTCAAGGTCTGGGAAGTTGTCGAGCTGCCTGTCAGAGATGATTAGTTCATTGACAATATCGAGACTCAGAGAAACTGTTCACCTTGCCACGCACGACTTCCAATAGCGCAGGACTTTGGGCAGAAGCGCATTTTGTCGTGTCAAGGTGGTTGTCGATGAGACTATGCATAGACCTCTAGGAATTCGCGAGTTAATTTGCAATACTAAGGGTACAATGACAATTTGCAAACCTTGAATTTTGTCGTATGCCTTTGGATTCCAATCTAAAGCTTCACGAAGTGTGTAACCCCCACGCCCCGGACGCCCAGGTTCACTGGCAGGTTTAGGAATCTTTGAGTCTTCTGATGAACTCGCTGCTCGAAGTTGAGGAGTCACTGTCTGAGAAAGAATCCGAAGTCGCCTGAGGAATCTGAGGGTGAAGGCATTCGAGAATGGGAGTGCGTGGAAGTGACTTTCTTGGTGTATGGAGAGGTAGAGTGATCAGAAGCTTGCGCATCTGCTTCGCAAGCTTGAATTCAGGGGCAGGTGTAGACGACGAAGCCCTTGCAGTGGAATG